GAAAATGGTTGGTTCTGTTCTATTGCATTTTTTTGAAGGACATTGTATATAAATGGTGTTAATTTTTCTACAGACATTTGGTAAAATTCTTCAGTGAAACCATCTGGTCCTGGAGATTTCCTTTTTCGTTGTTTTAAAATTAGGAATTGGGTGTATTTAATAGTTGAAGAACTATTCAATTATTTCTTATTGGATGAATTGCAGTTTTTAAGGAATAGCTCCATTTCATCTCAGTTGTCAAATTTATATGTATAGTTTTGTTCGTATTAGTCCCTTTTAATGTCTGGTGTTTTTAGCAATATCCTATTTTATTTTAGATATTGATAATTGGTAATTACCTTTTTTTTCCTTGCTAGAGGTTTGTCACATTTTTTTTTTTATCTTTCTGAAGAGCCAGCTTTTTCTCCTTAGAGATTTTTTAACATTGTTATTCTGTTTTCAGTTTCATTTTAGGGTTTTATTATTTATTTCTGTTGGCTTTAGTATATGCTGCCCTTTTTCTACTGTCTTAAGGTGTGATCTTAGGTTTGAGAATTTGTCTCTTTTAAAAAAATATTGTGAAATTGGTGAGAACACTTAAGTTCTACTCTTAGCAAATTTCAGTTATACAATACAATGTTATTAACTCTAATCACCACATTATGTATCAAATTCTCAGTCTTTATTAATCTTATAACTGAAAGTTTGTACCCTTTACTAACTTCTCCCTGTTGCCCTCTTAAGCACACCCCTTCTCCAGCCTGTAGCAGCTACCATTCTGCTCTCTATTCCTATGATTTCGGTTTTTTAGATTACCACAAAAAAAGTGATACCATGCAGTATTTATTTTTCTGTCTGGCTTGTTTCACTTAGCATAATGCCTTCTATGTGCATGCATGTTGCCACAAGGCTGAGAAATAATCCATTGTGTGTGTGTGTGTGTGTGTGTGTGACATCTTCTTTATCCATTCATCTGTTTTATGTGTGTGTGTTTTTAATATATTTTTATCGTTTTCAGAGAGGAAGGGAGAGGGAGAGAGAGAAAAATCAATGATGAGAGAGGAACATTGATCGGTTGCCTCCTGATTGCCCCTACTGGGGATTGAGCCCTGCAACCCGGGCATGTGCCCTTGACCAGAATCGAACCCAGGACCTGTTAGTCCACAGGCTGACTCTTTATCCAACTGAGCCAAACCGGCTAGGGCTCCATTCTTCTGTTGATGGGCACATGGATTGCTTGTATTATATATCTTGGGTAATATGAACATGGAAGTACAAATCTCTCTCCGAGATAATGATTTTGTTTCCTTTGGATATACTGTATACCCAGAAGTGCAATTGCTAGATCATATATGGTAGTTCTACTTTTAATTTCTTGAGATGCCTTTCTCTCTCTCTCTCTCTCTCTCTCTCTATCTCTATCTCTATCTCTATCTCTATCTCTATCTCTATCTCTGTATCTATCTCTCTCTCTCGATCTCTCTCTCTCTAAAATCAATAAGCATTCCATTGTGTAGATGTACCACCGTTTTTTAATCTACTCTTTTGCTGATGGGCACTTAAGCTGTTTCCAAATCTTAGCTTTTATAAATTGTGCTGCTGTGAGCCATAGGGGTGCATATATCCTTTCTGATTGGTGTTTCTGGCTTCTTGGGATATATTCCTAGAAGTGGGCTTACTGGGTGAAATGGGAGTTCTATTTTTAATTTTTTGAGGAAATGCCATACTGTTTTCCACAGTGGCTGCACCAGTGTGCATTCCCACCAGCAGCGCAGGAGGGTTCCTTTTTCTACGCATCCCTGCCAGCACTTGTTGTTTGTTAATTGAAGCCATTCTGACAGGTGGGAGATGGTACCTCATTGTCGTTTGTATTTGCATCTCTCAGATGATTAGTGACTTTGAGCATTTTTTTCTTGTCTCTCTGCCTTCTGTATATATCCACTTCTGAAAAGTGTCTATTTTGGTCTTTTGTCCACTTTTTTTTATTGGATTGTTTATCTTCCTTTTGTTAAAGTGTATAAGTTTCCTATGAATTTTGGAGATTAAACCCTTGTTGGATGTAACATTGTCAAATACGTTCTCCCATGCAGTGGGCTATCTTGTTTTGTTAATGGTTTCTTTTGCTGTGCAGAAGCTTTTTATTTTGATGTAGTCCCATTTGTTTATTTTCTCTTTAGTGTTGATTGTCTGAGGAGATGTATTGGTAAAGATATTGCTATGAGATATGTCTGATATTTTGCTGCCTATGGATTCTTCTGAGATTTTTATGGTTTCCCGTTTTATACTTAATGTCCTTTACCCATTTTTAGTTTATTTTTGTGTATGGTGTAAGTTGGTGGTCTAGTTTCATTTTTTTTGATGTATCTGTCTAATTTTCCAAACACCATTTATTGAAGAGATTGTCTTGACTCCATTGTATGGCTCTTACCTCCTTTGTCAAATATTAATCGAGCATAATGACTTGGGTCGATTTCTGGGTCTCTCTTCTGTTTCATTAGTCTGTACTAATATGTCTTTCTTATGCCAGTACCAGGCAATTTTGAGAACAGTGGCTTTGTAATGTAGCTAGATATCTGGTATTGTGAGCCCTCCAATTTTGTTATTCTTTCTCAGGATTGCTGTGGCTATTCAGGGTCTTTTTTTATTCCATATGAATTTTTGAAGAGTTTGTTCTAGGTCTATGAAATATACCATTGGCATTTTAATGGGGATTGCATGGAATATAGATTGCTTTGAGTAGTATGGACATTTTAATGTTGATTCTATCAATCCATGAACATGGTATATCCTTTCACTTGTTTACATTTTTATCTCTTATTTTCAACATCCTGTAGTTTTCTGAGTACAAGTCTTTTACCTCCTTAGTTAAGTTTATTCCTAGGTATCTTAATTTTTTTGTTGCAGTGAAGCACAATACTTTTTAACCATCTTGTTTATGAAAGTTTAAATTAGGTGCTGCATGGGCAGGCTAAGTAACCATCTCACACGGTGGCTGAAAAAAGTTGAATTTATTTAAAGAAAAGGAGATGGGAGATGGGGATATCCAAAGGGAAGGGCTACACAGGTTCAAGGGGTTAGCCCAGGACAAGCTGCCTGCTGTCCATTGCTCTCCTGGTTGCAAGTGTTTTGGGGCCCCTTAGAGATTCAGGTGATACATACCTGCGGGGCAATGACATGGGTGTGCTCCTTGGAGGGAGAATACACACTGGGTTCTTTGTCCTGAGCCTACTTATCTATTTCAGGTGAAAATCTTAGGAGAAGCCTCAGGGAGTCTTAATAGAATATTCATCAGCTTTCCAGGTGTGCGCTTTCAAGGTCCTGATCTTTACTGATTGGTCAGTGCCAATGGGTCATTAGTCAATGTACCGTAGCTGGTCCTGAGCAGCCATGGTGCCATTTGTCTGTTTTTGCTGCTTTTTTGGGCCTGGAGCTCAAATACAGCTGAGGCCTAGATGTTATGTTTAGGGAGGAAAAGGTCGGAGTGAGAGGGTGGGGAGGGGTTTAACCGCCTGACCAGCAATATGAAAAGGTCACAGGTCTAAACCATATGACCTGTGATATGCTGGGGGCTGGGGGACAGTAGGTTACCCTTGGGGGAGGTTCTTGTTTTGCCCCTCGCTAGCATCCAGGGCTTTTTGCCCCGGTGACTTTATGTACCTGGCCCATTATCCTTGCTCTGGGCGTCTAACAGTTTCCTTATCCAAGCTCATAGAACATGAGACTAACTTTTCTGGCAGTGCTTTTGTGCTTCTCATATCTCATCTGTCTCCCATTTGCCAGCACGTTATTTCAAACCTCCTCATGCCTCCTTAACTCATTCTGTTCCAATTATTTATTTCTGGTTAATAAACCACATTGGAGTTAGTGGTGTAACACAGTGATCATTTTATTATGCTCACAGATTTGTGTGTCAGGAATTCATATGGGGCATGTTGCTGTTCCAGTGTTTGGGGCCTCAGCTAGAAGACTCAGGTAACTGGAGGAGGTGTGAATGTCTAGGAACTGGGATCCTCTGGAGGTTTCTTCATTCACTCACATATCTGCCTCCTGGGCTGTGATGACTTGAAAGCTGGGCTCAGCTGGGATTGTTGACTGAACCACTTACATGTGGTCTCCATGGGGCGTGGTGCTTCTCACATTAGGGTTCCACATTGGGTGTTTGGAGACCCAGCATTCTAAAACATTGAAGCAGGAGCTGCGTGGCCTTTTCTGACTCCTTATAAACACTAAGGGAAATTTTTCCATTAAGTTAGATATATGTATTTTACAGTGTCTAGTAGTCATAAGTAGAAAAAATGGTTAAATATCATTTGTACATGGTCAGGAAGTTGCAGATTTTGCCTGATAATCGTCACAAGAGTGGTACATTGAGGTTCTTTTCCCTCATCCAACCTGTGCCTTATATTCTGTGACTTGAATACAGCATACATAATATTCTGTTCTTAGTATTAATGCTTCTGGTTAATATAAATTGTTCCTTGACCAAAACACACACACACACACACACACACACACACACACACAACTTTGAGAAAAGGAAATGCTTTGGGAATTAAATCTGCAATTATAACATTCTTGTTAATGTATTTTTTTGCATTGTTTCATAAAATTAATTTGTGTAAATTAATGCATTTAGTTGCAATAGAATTTTAGTATTTTGTTTTTTTTAATTTGTATGCTTCCTAGTTCGTTACAGAAATTAAAAATTAGTTTGTATAGCCAAAACCGGTTTGACTCAGTGGAAAGACCGTCAGCCTGCGGACTGAAAGGTCCCAGGTTCGATTCTGGTCAAAGGCATGTGCCTTGGTTGTGGCACATCCCCAGTAGAGGGTGTCCAAGAGGCAGGTGATGGATGTTTCTCTCTCATCGTTGTTTCTAACTCTTTATCCCTCTCTCTTCCTCTCTGTAAAAAATAAGTAAAAATATTTTTTAATTAGTTTATATAATCTGTAATCAGATTACTTAATGATCCTTGTTCTGTTGTCAAGTTTTCTAATGTATGCTTTTCCCCCCACCCACAGAGGAAATCAAAGTGGAGACTGAAAAACAGAGGTTAGTGGGGTTTCTTTTTTTTTTCTTTTTCTTTTTTTAGTGAAAATAATTTGCAAACTTGTCAGTCGTGACCAAAATAATAATATCTATATTTTATTGTGGCAAATTTTTCCATGTGATCTTTAAAATAAAATCAACTTTTAAAATGCTTTTTAAGAAAAAAAATTATAATCATACTTATAGATATATAAGGGAGTTTCTGAAATACCATAAGACACGTTTTAAGTCTTTGCTTAGATTTTTAGAAAGATTACTAAATATTTAGTAACCTAAGTAATTACTTTATTTAAAGTAAATGATTACTTTCTTGCATTTAGTCACAGCTCTAGCTACTAGTTTTTGATCTGTAGCAAATCATTTAATTTCTGGGTGTGGTTTCCTTACAAAATAATAAGGGAAGATGAAAACTGGTTTAGCAAGGTTCCTTTTGGAACTGAAATTCTGTGTTTTTATATGCGTTTATCATCAATATGATAAACGTAGCATTCTATTTTACATTTAGCATTCTTTTTTTTTCTTTTTTTTTTTTCCTGTAGTCCTCCTCATGGAGAAGCAAAAGCTGGATCAAGCACCCTTCCACCAGTGAAATCAAAGGCAAATTTTATCGAAGCAGACAAGTACTTTTTACCCTTTGAATTGGCCTGCCAGTCCAGATGTCCCCGCATAGTTAATACATCTCTAGATTGTTTACAGGTATGTATAAAATGGCTTTAGCTGAAAACCAGCTCCAACTGGAATGTGTTTCTGAACATTACTCACAATTGATAATTCAGACATTTTCCATGATAGCTTTTAATATGCTTTTTGGTAAGAAACTAAATGGTTGCTTATATTCGAGACAATAGTAGTTGCAAAAATGTTGTTAGTTTAAGGGTAATAAAGACCATTAGTTTAGTGCAGTGGTCGGCAAACTCATTAGTCAACAGAGCCAAATATCAATAGTACAACAATTGAAATTTCTTTTGCGAGCCAAATTTTTTAAACTTAAACTTCTTCAAAATAGACTCGCTCAGGCCAAGGTATTTTGTGGAAGAGCCACACTCAAGGGGACAAAAAGCCGCATGTGGCTCACGAGCCGCAGTTCGCAGGTTTAATGAATCACAGAATCTTTCCTATGGTTATCAGTAATGAAAGTGTTGATTTGGTCTCTTTTTCCATCAGTGAAATACAAGAATCATACTTTTAACCTGCCGCTTTACATGATACATGCATCATTATTTGCAAATGGTTTTACTAAATGCCTGCTATTTTATATAAGACAATAGGTTAATATGGACAGCGTAGTATTTATATTCTTTGTTGGACTTTAGTTCTGATTTTCATTTATGTCAGGAAAATTTCTTAAATCTTTTATTCTGTTTTACTTATGCGGATTCCCTTACATATTTGTAAGACAAACCTCCAGATTTAGAGTCCTGCTCTTTTCAGGTGTTTTCACTGTTGGTTCATTATACCTATTTATACCTATTTAACAGTGGAAAAGACAGTATTCTTTGGATTTGTTCTTAAGATAGGTTAAGGGTAAGTTTATTTGATTTGTAACCTTGTTTTTCTTGAAAAATTAAAACTCTAATATCTGAGGCCTTTCTTCAAGGGCTATACTGATAATGTTGAATGAACAAATCTGTGATTTTTTTTGTAGCCAATGTATGGAAATTCAGTTTTCTTCTTATTTACAGATCTAATTTGGAAAGAGATTTTGGGTCATTAAATGAGTGAAGGTAGCTTTCACAAAAGCAGTATTAATACTGTTTAGATAGAAAGCAATAAGCTATTCTAACTCATCAGAGACAACTAACTAACAAGTCTGGTTTTCTCTAAATTTCATCTAATGGTTTTGTTGTAGTTATTATTCTGTGTTCATAGTAATTGCAGTGTAAATAATTTCACACATTTACATCTAATAAAACTTTCTTCGTGAAAAGTTGGTATAGCCTTGATTTTGACTATGCCTTAATGATTTATGAAATAATTTTAATATATATTCAATTATGTTATAATTTTAATGTATATTTAATTAGTAGACATATTAGCTTAGTTATATTCTTTATTTTTTTCATTTTAGAAGCTTATTGCTTATGGGCACTTGACTGGCAATGCTCCAGATAGTACAACACCAGGCAAAAAATTAATTGATAGAATTATAGAAACAATTTGTGGCTGTTTCCAAGGTCCTCAAACAGACGAAGGAGTTCAGTTGCAAATAATAAAGGTAAATAATTATATAAAGTGAATTTGTTATTTTTAATCTATATTTTTAAAACGTTTTTACCATGGAAAATATTTAGAAAGGTAATCTTATGTGCTTTCTAGGAATAATAAAGGTTATTTGGGTGCTTTTTAGATCCTGTATCAGAGGATTTTGTTGTTGAATGCCAAGAGTTCATTAGAAGACTATATTTTCAAATACTTTATTTTGAAGATCTCAGTTTAGGTTTGGGATCCCAGCATCTTCCAGAGTGTTTCAGTTTCTATCATGTTTACCATACATATTCCATCTCTTGAGCTTTACGGTTCCATGTGAGGGTCCCATGTCCCCTATAGTTTCTTCTGTACTGCTTCACCCCCTGTAGTCTTCCTTCTAGACCCATGTTTCACCAGGTGGACTCTCCTGATTGCTTTGGGCCTACCGATCTGCTGAACCTGCTTGGCTAAACCCTCTTCTGGATTTATACTATATTTCTGGCTGATGAAACTCCTTAAAGAAAATCACTCAGTTGTGTTTTTATTATAGTATTTTATGAATATTGAATTCTTTCTTTTTTTTTTTTTTCTTTTTTTTTCCTTTTTGCTTATCCTCACCTGAGGATATTTTTTCCATTGCTTTTTCAGAGAGAATCAGGGGCAAGGGGGAAGAAGAAAAAGAAGTGTGTGTGTGTAGAGAGAGAAAGAGAGAGAGAGAGAGAGAGAAAACGCGCACGATGCGCATGCATGCAACTGACCTTGATGTGAAAGAGACCCATTGATTGTTTGCCTTCAGCATGTGCCCTGGGGAGGGAACCCATAACCCAGGTACATGCCCTTGACCGGAAATCGAACCTGAGACCCTTCAGTCTGTGAACTGACATTCTACCACTGAGCCACACTGGCCAGGGTTAAATATTGAATTCTTACTGTTACCACTAATGGCAGTGGATGTATGTTTATATATCAATAAAATTGTCTTGTATTAATAGTACTTTTGAAATTGCTTACATGTATAAAGTGTTTCTTCATGTGTGAATACAGTCCCTTCTGAGTCTTTCAGTTTCATAGCTGTATTTAGTTCATGGGTCATATCTTTATTGTAAAAATCTGTCCAGATCTTTTGGCCTATCATTTGCTGTTTCGTGTCAGTCAGTCATGGCTTATCTAGCATATAGTCAATGTTATTGTATAACTTTAAAGGACAAAAGAATGAGTTTTGCTTTTGAGAAATTGCTAGTAAACTGATATAAGGCAATTCATATAAAGTTACTCACTTTATTGATTGATTTATTTTAGTATTATTTTAAATGCTTTATTTAACTTATTTTGTAAACATTGTCAGCAATAACAACAGCATGTTTATTGAGTCCAGTCTATAAGAAAGATCTCAGAAAAATTTATAAGTGAATAAGACACATTGTATATTCTCCAAACTTGACACTCTAATTCAGCAGCTATAATACATGAAGCACATCTGTGCTTCTCAGTGACAGAGTTTTAATGTACATTTTAATAAACTAAAATATATTGAAGTGAAACTTGGGTTGAAACAAATAAATTGGATGGCTTTCTAGTGTTTTGAGTTTGGGAAGATTATGTAGGAACTATTTATTGCCAGTATGAGGAAAACAAAGTATTTTAACAGTTGATTCAAAGTAGGTAGAAATTTTGTTAATGCATACAGAAAATTCTGTCAATTTATATCTGAAAGTGATAAGGGTGCCTGAAGGTTTTAATTTTAATATAAAGATACATTTTTGTGCTGAAACTCTGGATACAGAAAATTGCTTTAATTACTTTAACTTTGTCTTTTTTTTTTTTTAAAGGCATTACTTACTGCAGTAACATCTCAACACATAGAAATTCATGAAGGAACTGTACTGCAAGCTGTGAGAACATGTTACAATATTTATCTAGCAAGCAAAAATCTCATCAATCAGACAACAGCCAAAGCTACTCTTACTCAGATGCTAAATGTGATCTTTGCACGCATGGAAAACCAAGCAGTAAGTATTTAAAAAAGAGAGAGATTATATAAAATACCACAAGCATCAAACAGAAAAGAGTTAATAGAAATGTGTAATGAAGTCTTTTTGTGTTTATAGAGAAGAATGACTTTCATTTAGTCTTATTTACTGGAGATGTGTGGTATTGTTTTGTTTTGGGGTTTATTGCCTTGACTTTGGATAAAATTTGTTTTTATTGTTCACAAACAGGATTTGAGTGATTGTGTTTGCCATCATCCTCATGGCAGTGTTTATCAATTGATATTTTTATTGCACTCAAGCTCAATAGATGGTGAAAGACTTCCATCTTTGTCCTTGTGTACCCCTTAAGAAGTGACCATTGTTACTTGTTTTTGTTTTTACTATTTTTAATGTTCTTTGTTTCTGATAGACTGTAATTTGTAATCAGTATAACATTATTTCTCCAAAATTCAAACAACTTATTTTACAAATATTAGAAAATTATTCTATTTCTTCCCAGTTGCAGGAAGCCAAACAAATGGAAAAAGAGAGGCACCGGCATCATCATCATCTGTTGCAGTCTCCAGTAAGCCATCATGAGCCTGAGTCACCTCACCTTAGATATCTGCCACCTCAGACTGTTGATCATATATCCCAAGAACATGAAAGAGACCTTGATCCCCATGCAAATGAAGTGGATAAAAGCCTTCAGGATGACATAGAACCTGAAAATGGATCTGATATTTCCAGTGCAGAAAATGAACAGACAGAAGCTGATCAGGCAACTGCAGCTGAAAGTAATCTTTTTAAGACGGGGTTGGGGTGGGTGGAGCGTGTGTGAAGGGAAGAGTGTAGGAATGCGTTTTGGTGAAGAAATGTGGAAAGGGTGTATGTGTTCATAGGTATCAGACACATGGTGGTAATTATGAACTTTCTCTATCCTAGGTGGTAAAAGTTAGTTTCACTTCACCCACAAGCCATCTGTTAATGATACTATGCATTTATTAGCATCTCATGAGCAGTAAAAATTTATAGACTTGTTTTGGAGGAGGTATGTGTTACTAAAGGTTATAAATATCTCTTAGCATGTTATGTAGGAACTTCAGTTTTCTTATTAAAATTAGTTTTACAGCAAACAAGAGAACCATTTAGTAAGATTTTTCTGGATGTGACTGAAAATTTTAGGAAATGATTATATTATTTAGAAAATATGCTAAAAAAAAAAAAGTACTGAAATTAAATATAAAAAATTTTTTTGAGTAATCATCTGACATGAAGATTTTTTTTTTGAGATGTTCTCTGACAGTTTTTCTAACTAAATTTATAAGGTAAAGATGACAAGATTACAACAATTGTTTATTTTACAAGTTTATTTCTCTAAAAATAGTACATGAAGTCATTTTTTCCTCTAAACATTGTCCTCAACTCTAGCTATTCTATAAAACTGCCAGGGAGTTTGCTTGTTGCTTTTGTTCCTTCTTAGGTTGGTATCAGAAAATGATGGAAATTTTGTTCCTCTCCAGTGTGGCATGTGGAACTAAGAAGGTTAGGGCTCAGTTACAGCTTATCCGAATCTGTGTTTTTACTTCACCTTGAGGAAAGACTTCTGTAATATATTTTAAGCTTTTTTTTTTTAACCATATCTTTTCCATAACCTAATAGTGGCATGAACATCAGCACTGGCATGAATAGATGTTTTACTGTTTTTAATAGTACTTTATTTTCAGAGAGATAATTTTGATAAACCAAGCATCCATTCACAGTACCCAAACTAATAGTGAATCTATATTGCTTATACAATTTACATTTTCCTAGCCTGCCCTTGTCAAAATTTCCTATATTTTCACTGTGAGCTTATAAAGGGGCTGATTCAAATGTTTAATCACTAATAAAGCTGGGATGTTTTATTTTCCTTTATTTTTTTTATCCATACATTCAGCATTTATTTAGCATATCCTGTCATAAGCACTGTGCTAGGACTTGGGGTTAAAAACCTGATGGAGATATAGCCGTTGCTCTTAGGGTATTCATGGTCTGCCTCAATGGATGGTCATATATATTTAAATGAGACATAATGTGATAAATACCCTGAAAGTAGCATATAATTCTGCTGAGGAGAGTTAGGACATACTTTTATAGAGAAAGTGATGTTTTAGATGAACTTGTTGTATAAGGGTAGGTATTGGCTAACTAGAAAATTTAAGATGTTTTCATCAGAATAAATAACATGGGCTGAGACCCAAGGAATGAAAGGATCTACTGTACTTACTGTGTGTAATGTACTTCTGTGGGTACCTTAATGGATACAGAATTATAAATAAGACTTAATTCCCCAGGGCATAGTCATGATGATTTTGGCTTCCAACAGCTGATAAAAATAAAAATTTTACCTGGGAGCCATTGGTTAAGAATGCATGCTCTGGGGTTAGATTACCTGCTTTGATTCACTTACTAGCTGGACGTTATAATCAACTTTTCTCATTTCCTACGTGTAATAAATGTTACCCACTCTAATCTATTTCTGTTAGATGATTTATGTAAGAATTGACTCTTGATTCACTAGTCATTTTGTGCACATTTTAATGACGGTGTATTCAGTTATGTTGAAACTCTAATTTTCAGACTAATTTTAGCCAACTAGTGCTCAGAAATACAAAGCTTAAGGATGGTAGAAAAATTATCTGTCAAGACATTTATATGGTTTTAATCCACAGAAGACATTAAATGCTATTTTTGGATTTTAAAAAAAATAAAATAAGGTAACTGATTTAGCATGCTTATTTATTAATTTTCACCTTATGGCAGTCAGTATTTTGTAGAATGCAGCAAACAGTAATTTCAGATCAGTGAACAAAAGGGAGGAGGGCAGGCTTCCAAAAGCCAGAATTATAAATAGTGATTCTTTATGGAGTTGTGAGTGGGGGTGGGGTATAGACAGCAACACTAACAGCTAATATGCAGTCTGAAGCCATTGATGAAGAACAGTGGCTTCCAGACAGGATCCTGGTCCCCAATATATCCTAATTGAGCCTTCCTAATATATTTTGAACATTTCAAAAACACCAGTAGAAATTCTGTTTTTATCTACAATAGTCCAAACAAGCTAACTGTAATGTTAAGGTTTTCATTAGTTCCTCTTATACTGTTCAGAAGTTCTGATTCACAGTTACATGTTTTTAATTAATGTTAAATTGGAGGGTGCATTCCTTTTTACTTACTAAATTAAATTACACATTAAGTATGTAAATTCTATTGGGGAACAGGTAGTAAGGAAAGGCTGGAAATCACTGGTGGAAGGTAAGATGGTCCTATCTCTGCTTCTTTAAGGAGCTCACTGTGTTAGGTTAATTAAGTTAATTAGTTAGAGCACAGTGATGAGCTTGTTGTTATCGGGGAGCCTAATTAATCAAAACAAGTTATAATTGCATTGAATATGTTATTTGGAAGTATGGGACATGTTTAAATTGTTTCATTTAAAAGTTTTGGTTCTTAAAGGAATAATCTAGAAAATTCACATAATCACTATTCATTGAATAGTTTGTCAAATGAATCATTGATGAAACTGACTTGAATTTATATTTTAAATTTTGATTTAGTTACAAGTTTTGGTTTAACATATATTGCTTCTAGTTTCATTTATCTATTTGATTTTTTCTTTTGTTAATTTCAAAAGAAAGCTTTTCATTATGTTTAGTAATAGTTTCTAAAATAATGTTTTCTTTTTAAAGCATTATCTAAAAATGATATATTATATGATGGAGAAAACCATGACTGTGAGGAAAAGCCACAAGACATTGTACAGAGCATTGTAGAAGAAATGGTGAACATTGTTGTTGGAGGTAGTGTATTCCACTAGGAATTAGTGTATTCTGTCTTACAGTATTTCATTTGACTGTGAAAATTATTTTTACAATGTGTGGATTAAAAAGGGCAAAAATATAACATCTTCCTCAAATGTGTGTGTGTGTGTGTGTGTGTGTGTGTGTGTGTGTGTGTGTGGAAACGTATTTAAACTAGAGGCTCAGTGCTTAAAAATTGTGCGTTGGGGGGATCTCCCTCAGCCCAGTCTGCACCCTCTCCAATCCAGGACCTCTCGGGGGATGTTTGACTGCCAGTTTAGGCCCAATCCTAAATTGGCAGTCAGACATCCCCCTCACAATCTGGGAGTGCTGACTCCTAACTGCCGCCCCACTGGGACCGCTGGCTCCTAACAGCCTAATCACCCTTAACCTCTTCTGCCTGCCGGCCTGATCATTCCTAACTGCCACACACATTCCCCCCCTTCCCCCTCCCCTCCCCCCACCAGCCTGGTCACCCCCCCCACCAGCCTGGTCGCCCCCAACTGGTCCCCACTGCTGGCCTTATTGCCCCATGCAGCCTGCTGTTCAGTCATTTGGTCGTCCCTCACTAAGTCCCCTGCCGGCCTAGTTGCCACACACAGCCTGCTGTTTGGTCATCCGTCTATTTATTTTGGTCATGATGGCCCCTGGATTTTTATATATTAGGATATATTTGGTTATAGAAGTCCACTGAAACTTAGTAATTCATGATATCTTGCACAGGACTAGTATAGTACCTTCCTACATATACTTCTAGAAATAGGATTAAATTATCTGAACCTGTCCTATTTTCTAGAATTTCCTCTTAAAGTTTTGGCCCATCGATCTTACCCTTCTTAGTTTTCCTGTGCTATTAAAGATTTTTGTCTCTTGTTTATATTTTTCATAGTAATTTCAGTGGTATTTGTTAATGGAGAAAGTAAATTAATGGGCTCCATTCAGCACCTTTAAAACAGACCTTTGCACTTAACATTTGGGGGATAGTTAAAGGAGAAAACAATGGAGAATAATATCTAACTCCATTAAGTGATTTTATATGCTTTACTTGCATTTACTCATTTGACCCTTCCTAAACACTGGGATATTTTGGTATGATTACTTTTCCCTTTTTTAAATTTTAATATATTTTTTTAGATTTTATATCTCATTTATATTTTTACTTTTTTTACCCCCACCACCATTTATCCTCCATATACCCTCTTCTACCTCTACTCTCCATCCACAGGCACTGCCCGCACACACAATCAGTATGTTTTCCTCATGCTAGCTTATATCAATAGTTTTCTTTTAATGGGTAGCATGAAAGAAGCAGTGTCTTGAGATAGCTTCTGAGTTATGGCCATAGACATGTATGTGTTCCTTTTAAAAGAAATGCACATCACACCTTAGAGTAGTACTGAAACTTGGTATTATTTACATTATCTATGTTTGTTCTATCAGAAATCATTTATTTCTATTTATTTCTATTTATTTATTTATTTATTTATTTATTTATTTATTTATAGTAATCACAAGTATGATGATTTAGAGTAACATACTAAAAATAGTTCAGGGATATAGGCCATTATTTTCATAGAAATATTCTAAAGAATATGTTATTAGAGGTATTGAAAGATATTCTTTAAGAAAGGGGGAGAAGGCTCACAGTAAAACAAATTTGAAAATACTGCATATTTTATATTCCTTTTGAAGAGCTCAATGCATATTAGGAAGTTAATATTATAAAGAAATCTATTTCCAAGTATTTCCCTCTTATTTGATAATGGGATATTTTTTTCTGAGAAATTTCTAGTACCTGTTAAGGCATTAGCATTCATTAGAACCCAGTTTAATAAATGCTGATAAGGACTAAAAGTAAGCTTCTCTTTTGATACATTTAAGCCTTTCATCAGCTGTGTTTCATTGTTAGAGCTACTTAAGAATCATATTTGGATGTATTTCCAATGCGTATTTACATACTAGTAAGTATGCTAACCTTTAAATGGTACCAGTATGTGTTACTTCACATCATTTATCTGCCACTATTTAATTTTAAATACTCTCTGCTTTTATATCCTTAAGTCAGGTGTGTTTGTATATTTTTTATTCTTAACCATTTTAGATATGGGAGAAAGGACCATAAATGCAAATGCAGATGGCAACATTGGAACTATAGAGGATGGTAGTGACAGTGAAAATATTCATGCAAATGGAATTCCAGGAACACCAATTTCTGTTGCATATACACCGTCCTTACCTGATGACAGACTCTCTGTCTCTTCCAATGATACTCAGGTATAAATGGGAATGGAAAATACCTGTTAATCTTACACATTTATAGGTCACCAGCACCTTCTGGTAAACTCATCTATGTGATAATACTGACTAATTTCAGTTTGGGGATATAAAAACTTGAGTGTTTTTTTTTCTTCTTCTTATCATTGTTATAAACCAAAACAGTTTATTTCCTTAATAAATTGATAGCTAAATTTTTAATTTTACAGTGTTTCATAACTTCCCTAACCCTGCCCCATGGAAATTACTTTTAAAAAGAATTCTTATCACATATTCATAGGATAATTCTAGTATCATAGGAAGGGGGAAAACTTTTAGAAATCTAGGAAACTTCATCTTTCCTTTGTTCAGGGCTACAATGAAATCCATACCATGGTAGTGGCAATTTCTCTTTCCTACCCTATATTTTTATTCTTATCCTAAAGGATAAGGGCTATCTTAAATAATTGCTCCATGCACAGGGGGAAGCTTTCTTGGCCTTGTTGACCTTCATCAGTTAACAATTTTTAAACATTGCCTTGATTATTTCCATTGTTTTATTTTTATCTGCACAAAGTGCAAAAACACAAAACACCCAATGACAGGTAGTGGAAAGCATAGTTTAAGCTGTGTATGAAGTATCTTGTCAGGGCATAATGTGCTAGTTTTTGTTAGTAATAATATGAACTGGGAAATGGTTGAGGATAGGGGTGCGATGTCAGAGAAACAATGTGACAAATTCCTCATGTGGTTTCCCTTCCAATAGAACCTCAGCTATTACTGAATTGAACAAAATGTATAAAAAGCTGAAATCATTTTACACTGGCAAATATACTTATTTACATACTATGTTAACTTGTTTAGGAATCTGGAAATTCTTCAGGACCTTCACCTGGTGCTAAGTTTTCCCACATTTTACAAAAGGATGCCTTTTTAGTATTCAGGTCATTGTGTAAACTGTCAATGAAACCCCTGTCAGATGGACCACCAGATCCAAAGTAAGTCATTAGCTATTCTGCCTGACAACAGTTTTAAAACTCAAAATGTACTCTAAAATAGTCTTTGCCTTTTCTTTTGTTCACTTGTCCTGTAGGATCCTAATATATATATATATATATATATATTTTTTTTTTTTTTTTTAAACTGAGTGTTCCAAAACTGTTAGATAACTTAGAGCATACCAGAAGCATAGAATTGTGTCTGGTACAGAAAATGCTGACTGGTTGAGTGAATCCCTATTTCAGTTTGTAAGTAACTTTGGAGCTAATGTAGCTCTGTTCACATGTAGCCTCATGCTAGGCTCTGAAAGCTACCAGTTGGTTTATTAAGAGAAATAAATCTTAAAAGCCATAATATAAAAGAGGACATCTGTAATACTTTCCTTCCACAATGAAGATTTTTTCTTTCAAGTCATAATATGTATTCCTTAAGGTCTGAAAAATGTCCTAAGGTGATACCTTTCTTCATGGGGAACAAGAAGTACTTTGCAATAGGAGTCTCTGATTCTCATCAGTTATTTAAACTCTAGGGAACTGCCATTTTTTAAGTAATATCTTTCATTTTATCCGATTTAAGTATAACTAATTTCTGCTTGAGATTGAGTTTGGGAGTTATTAGAGAGGCAGAACTTTCTATGGAAAGAACCTTGGAGAAGGCCTCAGTGACTTTCAGAAAGGGATATTGAAATGAGGGAAATGTAAGCAACACTACTTCATTAAAAAACCCCAGAGCATTTTGGTTTCTTTGTCAATTAAGAAGACTAAAGACACTTACTATAAAAACAAAATCTTCTATAGTTTTATCTTGTGACATTGTACTGAGTCAGTGGGAAACATCTTGTAGGCCCAGAAGGCTAAAGTTCTAAAATCTTTTGGTCCAGTTCCTGAGAGTCAGAAATATAATTTATTGATTCTTCGGTATTTTGAAAATATGAACTTTACAGAGAAAGAATTCAGGTTGTTCAGATTTCAGTCTAAATTCAATTATACCCTATATATTTTGTAAGAATACTAGAGGGTCTGGTGCATGAAATTCATGCACTGAGGGGGGTGGTGGTCGGGGGTTGTCCTTCAGCCCAGCCCGTGCTCTCTTGCAGTCTGGGAGCCCTCAGGGATTGTCTGACTGACAGCTTAGGCCCCCTTCCCAGAATGGACCTAAGCCATCAGCCAGAGATCCTTAGCGCTGCCGCGGAGGTGGGAGAGGCTCCCACCAGCTGTGAGCCGGCTTCTGGCTGAGCGGCACTGCCCCTGTGGGAGCGCACTGACCACCAGGAGGCAGCTCCTGCATTGAGCCTCTGCCTCCTGGTGGTCAGTGTGCATCATAGCAACAGGTTGTTCCACCTTTCGGTTGATTTGCATATTGTCCTTTTATTATATAGGATATTTAAATTTTTTTAAATTTCTTATTCTCATTGAGGAGAGAACTTGCTCAAAAATTGACAGTTTTGAGGTCTCATTCTGAATTGATGAAGAGTTACTTTAAGGATTATATATCATAGGAATTTGGTGTTATTGATGAAGGCCATTTTTACCATGATTTAAAAATGTATTGGCTATAAAAGCTTTAGATATTTAGTTTTCTCAAATATATTAAAAAAAAATGTTTATTAGAAACAGAAAAGTGGGAATTGTTTAAAAAGACAAGAATTAAAAGAACAAAAGAAATTATATAAAATTTGAGGAGTATTATGTGGGGGAGAGTATTTATATTATAGTTAGCCCTGAAAAAAAAAAAAAAAGTAAATCTAGTTTTTGGAGAGCTGCTCTTATGAGGAATAATGTAAATTAATTATCTTTCCACATAGTGGGCTTAAACCAAATATTAGGAAATATTGTATGTACATTTAAAAAGACTTTTTTGACCATCAGGACCTAATCATTGGCATTGAATACTAAAAGAGATCACATTTTCACCTTCTAGAAACTCTTGTCTTTCCAAAAGAGAATATATGATTTCCTAGCTTGAGTTTTGTTTTTTTTTTGACAAAATCAATGAGCTTTTTATTTATATAATTTTCTTTTTTGTCTCTGCTTCTCTTCTTTGTGATCCAGGAAGTGTTCTTTTAAGTTGAATTATAATTTGAAACTACCACATGAAAAACTGGTGTTAAAAATTATGAATGATTGTTTTTCCATTTTGGAAGTTTGTGAAATTTTGTGGTACAGGAAAACATCAGTGAAACTACCCATTATTAGTGTTTGAGCTTACTCATATACTGTAGTTTTTCTTGTTTTGTTTTGTTTCTATGTTGTAGAGTTTTCTGTGCCTCTGTATTTAAAAGTTTGTGAAATTATATGGTACCAGGAAATACCTTAGGAACAATCTATTAATACCATAATGTTAACTTGTCCATACACTATGCCTTCTTTTTTTACATTTTAGGTCTCATGAGTTACGATCCAAGATTCTTTCATTGCAGTTACTTCTATCCATTCTGCAGAATGCAGGACCTGTTTTCAGGACAAATGAGATGTTTATTAATGCTATTAAGCAGTATCTGTGTGTTGCACTCTCAAAAAATGGAGTCTCATCTGTGCCAGAGGTTTTTGAGCTTTCTCTTTCCATATTTCTTACTTTGTTATCGAATTTCAAGACACACCTGAAGATGCAAATTGAGGTATGTTCTGCATCAAGGCGTTGTTGCGCTTTCATTTGTTTCATATTCAGTCAAATGATTAATACACTGGAAAGTTTTTCAGAATGTGAAATATTTGTGTATTGTGTGTACTTAACTTTTTATTCACTCATTCAACTAACATGTACCTACAAAGCATTAGGCACTAGGTAAGCTCTAAGAATGCAAAATCAAATTAAGACACAGCCCTACCTTCAAGGAATTTTACACTAGTTGTATGAATGGTCCTAATTGCCTGGAATTAACTTGGTCCTCACAATAATTTTGCCATTGTGTATATTGTATGTAATAGTGCTTTTGACTATCTTAAAAGAAAGCTCAAAATATATTATTTGTGTACATGGTTTCAAGTAATTTAAGTTTTAACACTTTAAAAAGGTGATTGAGAAGGGTTATATTTTTTATTTTCGGACATTTGAGATTTTAATTTTTGCTTTATATATTTTCTCTAATGTACATATTGTATTCCTACACATTTTTAAAAATAAAATAGCTGTCATGTTGTTTTAAAGTATTTCCAGATGTCCTTGGACTTGGGTAGAGTGGCACCTGGTTTGGTGATACTTATCTTATATCAGCCAGGGACAAAGAAACTCCTTTATCCCAGCTTGGCTTTAGGTCTATGCCCATGCCTGGTTTATGCCCTGGACAGGTGAATTACTGAGGAAAATAAATAAATAATAAAATAAAATATTTCCAGAGATTTACCAAAACTGAATTAGGGAATCTTTAAACTATGTCTGCATGTATCATGCAGATATAGAAATTAGTGATCTTTTGTTTTCACTTTCTAATAATTAAGTATTTTAAAATAGTACTTTATGTTTTGCTGATTTAATGGATACCTTTTCCAGCTTGTCATTTGTCATAATATTGTTTGGGTTGGGACATTGTATATTTTATGAATACTCACTTTCATGCTGGTCAACTTTGACATTCATTTCATATTTGGTATGATATATAGTTTAGATAGATCATAATTTTTATCTTATATTTAATCCTAACTCAAGACTAATAATTCATTACCTCATAGGAAAGGATAAATTACTATTTCCCCAGAGTTTTTAGATGGTAAAGATAATCATATCTTTTTTAATGTTCTGTAGTATATATATATTAAAATTTATTTAGAACATTATTATGAGAGTGATACAGAATAAGGCCTTGGTAAATTAAGTGAAAAGTTATTTAATTTGAGCCATATTTTTGGAAAGGGAACAATTTTTGGTCCATACATAGTGTCAAATTTTAGAAATTTGTCATATGTCTATTAAAATAATGCAGGTCATTTAACCAAAACACTTGTTATTTTTCACAGTTTTTTTTCTCATTATCTTCAGGCACTAAAAATAAAAGAGACTTTAAAAAATTTTTGGAACTTTTGCTTATATAACCAGTTAAAACTCTCTAATTTGATAGAGACATTAAATTGCCATTAAAGAATTTTGGAAGACTGTGCATTCAGTTACTTACAGAATTTTGGACACTGAGACTATTTCTTTAAGTACTATTAGTAGACTATGTGAAACATAACTTCTTAAAGAATCAATATCACAAAAATTAAATTGGAATTACTATTTTTATAGAGTAAATTTTATATACAAAGTTTTTGTTAAGGACAAGTTTAAAGAGAAGTACTTCAGGAAATTTCCTGTCTGTTCATAAATGGTAGGCTCTTACTACAAAATTATTGTAATGTTTTTTAAAATAGATCAAGTTTATTTCTCTCTGCATTGTCTCTTCTGGGGAGATTATGAGGATAAAAAAAGATAAGTGTAGATATGCTTTTGAAAATACTAAACATTCAAATGCAAGATAAGCTGTGTTGTTGGAGAAAACTCAACGTTTAAAAATATAAATCGCAAAACAAAATTGAGATGTTCAATGAAGGTTCATTTAATGAGAATATTCACTAAAGAGTTTCTATAATGTGGTTTTTCCATGGCATTAACTTATAAAACTATTTCTGAAAATACAGTTTTAAATAGTCACAATTACTGACCACTACAATATACGTGCATATTGGATACTGTCAACTGCTCAGACCTTGGAATCAAGTTGGATACTGCCATCCTCATAACTATTTCTTTATTGATTTTGATTCAGTACCTGCTTTTTAAAAATATATTTTTATAAATTCAGAGAGGAAGGGAGAGGGAGAGAGAGAGAGAGAAACATCAATGATAAGAATCATCAATTGGCTGCACGCCCCCCACTGGGGATCAAACTGCAACCCAGGCATGTGCCCTGGTCTGGAATCAAACCAGGGACCCTTTAGTCCATGGGCCGACGCTCTACTGAGCCAAACTGGCCAGGGCTGAGTACCTGCTTTTTATCATAGCAACCACTAAAACCCAGGTTTGCAAAAATAATGATGGCTTTCAAAGGACTGTAGTGAGATCTAACTGATATAATGACACCAATTTTTCAAGATGTCCAACGGATGTATTTCTCTATGAATTTTATCTTAAAATTCTTATAACTCTCTGGGTTTGTTTTAGCATTCTGGGGCACATTGGTGCAGTTTGGGAACTGTGGCCACAAATATTTATTGAATGCCTGCTATATGCCGAGCAGTGTGGACACAATGCTTGGCAAGAAAGACCTGGCTCATACCTGCTAAGAAGTTACAGTCTTATAAGAAATAATGAAATTAGTCAAATACTAGAAATATGTTGAGTTTTGTGAAAGAAAAGCACATTCCAAGGGTACCTTATCCAAATTGGGAAGACATGTTAATCATCATTCATTGTAAATATGAATTTCTAAGTTCATAATACATATCCTATGTAATGAAAACCTAATATGCTAAGTGTCCTGTTGTCCATTCAACCAATCAAAGCATAATATGCTAATGATATGCTAAGGCCACTCAACTGCTCACTATGACATGCACTGACCACCAGGGGGCAGACGCTCCAACTGGTAGGTTAGCTTGCTGCTGGGGTCCAGCTGATAGGGACTGAGCAAGACAGGCTGGACATACCATGGAGCCCTCCACAGTCCCTCCCTGGCTGGCCAACCTCCCACATCTCTCCCCAGCCCTGAACCTGCACTGATGGGGTCCCTCAGCCTGGCCTGCACTCTCTCACAATCCAGGACCTCTTGGGGGATGTTGAGCTGGTTTTGGCTTGAGCCCACAGGCATGGCTGAGGGACCCCACTGGTGCGCGACGTGCACCGGACCTCTAGTGTCCCATAAGTGTTAATACAGTATGTTGTTTCTGATTTACTTTTTTAGCCATCTCCTCTAAGTCACTTGAAAATTCTTAACTCTTAAATTGAAATGTATTTAATTAGGTTAGCTCCTTTGTGCTTGACATTATTTGGTCTAAAAGAATAGTGAAAAATAGTTTGTAGTTTTCAGACAATCGGGATTTTCACTTGTGTGAGTAATGATAAAAGTAGTCCATGAGAATTGGATAATTAGATACTTTTTATTGTGTGGATTACAACATACTTTTAAAACTAGGAACAATTAGGTTTGCTCAGTATTATAATGTCTGAAAAATACAGGGTGGGCAAACGTAGGCTTACACTTGTTTATGTGGAAAATAATACAATAATTAATAAATAATCTATAATAAAGTATAATATGCTAATTAGACTGGACAGCCGATTGACCTTCTGGACATCATTCCAGGCATCCTTCTGGACGAAGCCGCAGGGTCTGAGGCAGGGGCGACCTGGCTGGCAGGCGAGTGGTTAGGGGTGGTCAGGCAAGCAGGCAGAGGGGTAGAGGCGATCAGATAGGCAAGTGAGTGGTTAGGAGCGATCAGGCAGGCAAGTAGGCTAGCAGTTAGGAGCCAGTGGTCCCAGATTGTCAGAGGGTGAAAGCCAGGCTGAGGAACACTCCTCCCTCCCATGCATGAATTTTGTGCACTGAGCCTCTAGTACAAGAATAAACTGTGTTTCCTATATTTACAACTATCAACTTGCTATGGCCCACCCCATCCGACTGATGAACAGAATATGGTTTATGCTCTCTGGTGTGTTAAAATGAATTATGAGTTACGTTAGTTTTGTAAATATGTTCAGGAAATTATTCAGAGGAACTACATATCTTTGTAGACTTCTTTTGTAGTGGCCGTGTGATAGCAAAGAACTAATGTGAAGTGCAGTCTCCTACTGCAAAGGCTCGCTTCAGTCACCCACCTAGTGGTTTTAGTCCTGATGCTTCAGAGATGGACTCAAAAGGAATTGACGCCAGAGGAACCTGGATCCTAGTCTCTGTTGTGCAACTTTGGGATATTTAAAAAGTGATCACATTTATGAATTATAAGCAATATTTTAAAACGAATGTTTTCCCCTAATCACAGGTGTTCTTTAAAGAAATTTTCCTATATATTTTGGAAACTTCTACCAGCTCATTTGACCACAAATGGATGGTTATTCAGACTTTGACAAGGATTTGTGCAGGTATTTGAAATTACCCATATTACCTCTTTTTTATAATGAGATATTTAAAAGGTTGAATATACTCATATACTAGATGCCCTTTGTTAATTAATATATTGTATTGTTACAGATGCTCAGAGTGTAGTGGATATTTATGTAAACTATGACTGTGACTTAAACGCAGCAAATATATTTGAAAGACTAGTTAATGATCTATCAAAAATTGCTCAAGGCCGGGGCAGTCAGGAACTTGGCATGAGTAATGTTCAGGTAAGAACTTTTAAAAACATTTTCAAATTTAAACTTTGCCAAGGAAGTGCTGTGTGTTTTGCTTAAAAGATCTTGTTTATATTTTTCTGAATTATTTTGTAGGAATTAAGCCTGAGGAAAAAAGGTTTAGAGTGCTTAGTGTCGATTTTGAAGTGCATGGTTGAATGGAGTAAGGATCAGTATGTGAACCCCAACTCTCAGACAACTCTTGGTAAGGTGACATGTTGAGTATAATTCTTCATCATTTTAAGCAAATGATACTTTGAAGGCTAGTTGCAGAAGCCATTAAGCCAGTTTCATAATGTCTGTGTTCATTTAGCTGACGAAGAAGCGTTGTTTGTAACTTAAATAATGAGATTTAAAATAATGAAGTTCTCAACATAGTTATCCAAACTTTACTCTTTCTAGAAGTATTTTGCATATTATATAAAAATGAAGCATATTTATGCAACTTTGTTAAAGTATAGTTGTAGGAGAAAATATGTCAGTATAAGAAGATGTAATTGTTTGTGCATGTTTGAGATTTTTCCTTACTAGGAGAAGATCTCATAGTTGCAGGTCTACCTGGTGTTATCTTAGTCAAGTTCCTATAGGAAAACTGGTTGTCATGAGCTGATATCTGAAACCCAGCAGACACTAAGCACTGTGACTGCAAAAGGAACTCTTTTTAATGATGTAAATTGTATATGTATATATCGCACCTAATATTTTTATTTGTCTCAAACAGATATCTAAGCAACAGTGAAATATCTTGCCAATATCTTGAATTTTTTTTACCTTTTACTTTTTTTTTTTTTTCTTTGACCGAGTAATTTACTGTATCAGTTTTTCTACTTACAGGTCAGGAAAAACCCTCAGAACAAGAGACAAGTGACATCAAACACCCTGAGACAATAAACAGATACGGAAGCTTAAATTCCCTGGAGTCAACATCATCCTCAGGAATAGGCAGCTACAGCACACAGATGTCTGGCACCGATAATCCCGAACAGTTTGAAGTCCTAAAGCAGCAAAAAGAAATAATAGAACAAGGGATAGATTTGTGAGTGTCTGATTTTAAAGAGAAATTTTCTTGGTTATCCCTCTGCCTGTACTGGGCCACCATTGCCCTGGGTTTCTCTGAATCTTTGGATTATTTTTATTTTCTTCTTATCATCATCTTGTAATGAGTAAAACAGGACAAAATCTTTGCTGTCTTCTGCTGGCTCCTTAACCAGCTCCCCTTTTTCATGGCATTCTAGCCCAAACAGATTCTATAATGCACATTGAATTAATTTTGCACCATATTGTATATGCTGTTTTATGCATCTGCAGTTTTGTGTTATTTAGTTCAGTTATAAAATCCCCCAGTATATTTTCTAAGCAGATGACAGATAAAAAAACTTAAAATATGGGACTGGTTAGTGTTGTTCCTTTATGGGTGTTTATATTTTCCTCACCTGAGTTACAAATGTGCTACTTTCATTTTTGATCCATTGTTAATTTCTTTTTTATATGTTCATATGGTGATAATGACCCTTTCCAACCTGGTCACTAAACTGATATCAGCCTGTTTCTGGACTATTTCCTGTCTAAGTACTACTATTCTGCTATCCCTCCTATTACCCATATCTTTTTTCAAAGAGATGCTACAAGGAAAAATAAACTTGTTGACCTTTTTCCATGAATCTAGCGACTGTAAACTATTAAAAATTCCCCTGTTTGTTTAGTTAGCTTGCTCCTTCTGTATTAAAGCATTTCTTCCTGAATCTTAAGCAATGCCTTTTGATGAATGCCTTTTTTATAGTGTATTTGTACCTTTTTAAAAATTGACAAAATGTACACACGTTCTTTGTCATAAAATTATAAATATCACAAAATTGTCCCAAGAAGTTGCCATTAATACTTAATTCTAATTTTCTGTCATTATTTACAAACTGTTATGTGTTCCAGATATTATGCAGGGTCCTGGAATGAATAATAAATGAAACATCCATTACTTATAGGGGCACAAGATCTAGTAGTGTAAGCAGATACTCATACTGAAGTTCGGCTGATCACTCAGCAAACACATATTTGGTACTTGGGACTGTGTGCCAAGAACCATGGAGACACTGGTCCTTGTGTTCAAAGATTAGTCTAAATCTTGGCAAAAAAAAATATATATATATATTTTTTTTACTGGTACTATGTGAAGTCCATATAGAATGCTGTGTAAAGTACTGCCAAGGTATGAATCTCCCGTAAAGTACTTAGCAGTGAGAGGGAGTTTGTCATAGGACTTTAAAGTGGAGGTCTCCCTGCTTTCAGCCACCAGCCTCCCTCCTTTCAGCCATTAGGCCTGCTTTCTGCCTCAGACTTCCATGAGAATGCTTTCCTGTGGCTGTGCTCAGTGCACCCTTTCACAGCTGTTCCTTCCATGACACCACTCTGCCCTGTCCCTTCTTCCAGTTTGATCATGCCATCTTAGTCTTGGTCTGGACTGTTTATCTCCCGCATAACCTCTTAGCATTTCAAGGGTTCTGTCCCTCCATCCTTATCTTACTTTATATCTTCTTCTAGATCAGTGTTTCCCAAACTTTTGACATATGTGTACTCCTTCTATAATTTACGTAACGCTGAATACCCCTCGCACTCATGAGAACGTAGAATTAGGCGCCGCTAAGCACGGTGCAGTGCATGTCCCCACCAAACTCCGGTGCAACGCATACCCCCACCAAACTCTTCCGTACCCCTGGGGGTACGGGTACCACACTTTGGGAAACACTGTCCTAGATGATTGTATTCTTTTTCATGACTTCAGCTACTATTTACTAACATCTCACTACCCCCAAGTGTTAACATAAATACCTCCACTGATGTGCAGACTCATATCTGTAATTGCCTGTTGGGCATCTCTACTGGATATTGCAGTTTCTTCTACTCAACATGTCCATAATCAAATTTATCAGTCTATTATACATTCTCTCCATAATCAACTCCCCAATACACCTACCCAAAACAAAAGACAAACAGAAAACCCACTTTTTCTGTATTTTTTTATTGAGGATGTTACTAAATTTATAAGCTAAAATTTTGGGAGTTACCTTAGATTTCCCCCTTGGATTTGTCACTAAATAAATAGTATAATCTAATTAGTTTACCTTTGTTTGGTCTTATTTACTCTCTCATCTTTTTTCACAGCTATTCTTTTTGAATGAAAGTCTTAGTTCTGATTCTACCCTCTCTTGCTCTTTTTTTTTTTTTTTTTTTTTTTTTTTTTTTTTTTTTAAAAATATATTTTATTGATTTTGTACAGAGAGGAAGGGAGAGAGATAGAGAGCTAGAAACATCAATGAGAGAGAGTCATCGATCAGCTGCCTCCTGCACACCCCCTACTGGAGATGTGCCCGCAACCAAGGTACGTGCCCTTGACCGGAATCGAACCCGGGTCTCTTCAGTCCCCAAGCCGACGCTCTATCCATTGAGCCAAACCGGTCCCGGCTACCCTCTCTTGCTCTTAAAGAATAAGGCCACAACTTGGATCTGATGAACTCTTAAACTTTATCACCTGCCATTTCTTTATCTCACTTCATTGCTCCACCAATGCTGAACTATTTATTAGGCTGTTTTATGCTTTCATGTATTAGTCTGACCTATTTCACTCTGGGATGTTTTTTCTTACTATTTATAAAAGATATGATTATTCCTCAAAGCTCAGTTCTGCAGTCACCTTCTCCTGAAAATAAATCATGACCGTCTCTGTAAATTAGTCACTTCTTCTGTGCTATCTTCTTACCTTGTGAACACATTATTTGTTGCACTTTTACTATAGTAATTTTTGAAAACCATGTTTCTTGCTTTAGAATAAGAGCTTCTGTAGAGCCAAGACTACGTTTATCTCAGTGAAAATGTTTGATTTTAATTTGTGTACTTGGTAATGGTTAAATTAGGACTTTCTGGGGAAATGATTAGGATGACTGAACAGGGAAGGACATTTCAGAGAGAATAAGATATGCAACAGCACAGAGAAAAAAAAAGGAGAACATTTGGGGACTATTGTTAAGCACAGCAGGGGTAGGGAGAGTTGTGTGGGGAAGCATGTAGCAGGAGGTGAGATGAAAGCATTGAGCTGGATCCAGATTACAGAAGGTCTTATTTGCCATGTAAAGGAGTTTTGTCTTGTACCTCCTGGCATTGATGTACTATTGAAGGATTTTAAGCTGAGGAGCAGCAGCACCTGATTTCCTCTTTTGGAAAGATGCCTTGCCAGTAGTCTGAGGATGGATTAGAATGTGAACAAAACAAGAGATGGGAGACCATTTAGGAATGCTTGCAATACCCAGGTGACAGGTGATGAAGTACCGAAGTAATTAGTGGTACAATAAAAGTAGAAAGTAAATGATTTGGAAAGAAAGAGGTGACATTTAAATTGGATCTGTAAGCATGAAGCGGAGTTCCCCAGTGAGCGGAGCAGGTGAAGGGCATGCAGAGGAAATGGGCCGCAAATGCATCCTGTTTAGGGAATGAGACGGTATGTGGGAGTAGATGAGAAGAGGGGATGAAACTTTAATGAGTATATTAAGAAAGATTTTATGTGGCAGTCTAATCATCAATTTGGACTTTATTTTGAAAACATTGGGTATCTAGCGGTCTTTTTTAATAAAAGAAATAGTGCTGTCAGATTATAGCTATCAGATATAGTCACTGTCAGATTATAGTCACTGAATTCAACTGAGTTCAATAAAAGGAAACAGAATTAATAGGTGGAAAACTTTGCATAGTATATTTTTATGTTTTCATGCACGGAATATATTAAATAAGCTATTTTCTCAATGTTATTAGAAAATCAATTTACTAAGGTCTTTTCCAGGAATACCAATGGTTTTCTATTTATAATGTCCCTATTAACTTTATTATCATCTAGGTTTAATAAGAAACCAAAGAGAGGAATACAGTACCTCCAAGAACAAGGGATGCTTGGCACTACACCTGAAGATATCGCTCAATTCTTACATCAAGAGGAAAGATTAGACTCTGTAAGAGTACCATTTTAGTTCATTCTAACCTTTTCTATAAGATTTCTTTTTAAGTTAATAATGATATGTAATGTTGCCCTCCCAAGTATGCAAGTAAAACTTACAGAATATACTTAGGTATTCTTAATTTTGCTCTTTAATTCTTTAAACTCAAAAGAATATCTTGATTTTTTTTTTATCAGTATGTTTCACTTATAGCTTCATGTTTGAAATAGTTAAACCTATAGTCAAAACCTGTGGGTCTTGTGGGTTTTTCTGTTTTTTAAATAGCTATCTGGCAAATGTTCCATTGGGATATCAACTTGTCTTTTGTTCTTTAGACTCAAGTGGGTGAGTTCCTGGGAGATAATGATAAGTTTAACAAAGAAGTCATGTATGCATATGTGGACCAACATGACTTTTCAGGAAAGGACTTTGTTTCGGCCCTTCGAATGTTTCTAGAAGGATTCCGTCTTCCAGGGGAAGCTCAGAAAATTGATCGATTGATGGAAAAATTTGCTGCAAGATATCTAGAATGCAACCAAGGGTAAGCAAGATTCAAATTCTTACTGGTTGCCAGCTATCAGGAGATTCATAATCCTCTGTCCCGGGAAACTTAGATTGTCTATGATCTGGGGGTAATCAGATAGTTCCATTTAAATATTGTAATATGATATAAAACATAAGTTCTGAAAAAGTAAATTAAAAGTGCTTTGGGGTTTGCAGTGACTAATTTAATGAAACTGTAAAACAGTACAAGTTTATAACATGCATTTATTTTTTCAGACAAACCCTATTTGCTAGTGCAGATACTGCTTATGTTCTGGCTTACTCAATTATTATGCTGACCACAGATCTTCACAGTCCACAGGTATGTTTTCTTCCAAATCAGTTCTATAATAAATAATACAAATTAAGTACTCTGAGTTCTTTTGAATTAATAAGTAGTAGTTGAAATTTTAATGTTGTTTAGTCAAATACCCCAGTTTGTTGATTGGTTTAATTTAGTGTAATATACATTTACAAATGCAGTTTCTGGTAGTTATTCTAATTAGATTTTTAGATATCTGTAAAATTGATCTATATTTGTCTATCTTAAGATTAACAGCTGTATAAAGCTTAAGATAAATTTTAATCTGAGAATATGATATAGTTCTTCTGCCTATACTTAATTGCAACATGAAAAAAACACTATATATAAACTGTCTTCTTTTTTTTACATTTTAAACTTAAACATTTATTAGAGTTATTAGTATAGTGATTCTTCCTATGCCTGTCACCGAGCTTCCTCTCTCCCACAGATTATTTGGAAGCAAATCTCAGGTATCATATCATTTCATCTGTATTTATTTAATTCTATATCTCTGAAAGAGAAATACTCTATTTAAACATAATCTCAATACCAGTACACAGAAAAATTAACAATACTTTAAAATTATCAGGTATCCATGCCCTAGCTGGTTTGCCTCAGTGGATAGAGCATCTGCCTGCAGACCAAAGAGTCTTGGGTTCAATTTTAGTCAAAGGCATGTACCTTGGTTTCAGGCTTCTCCCTGGCAGGGGCCCTGGTCAGGGCACCTGCAGGAGGCAACCAATCGATGTTTCTCTTACATCAATGTTTCTGTCTTCCCCTCTCTCCTCCAATCTCTTTAAAAATCAATGGAAAAATATCCTCAGGTGAAGATTAATAAAAACAAACAAACAAAAAATAAATAAGTAATAAAATAACATATCCATGAAGTATTCAAATTTTATTTTCTCATAAAAGTTATAATTCCTTTTTAAATGTTAGGAATATAATTTGATTTCTGATATCCACTTGCAATCACTTATTTTAAGCATTTTAGGTATTTTATGCTTAGTTTTCAAAAACATGCTTGGGTATCCTTGGAGAAAATTACCTTTATAAATTAACCTATTTGCAAAAATTTATTTGTACTTCTTAGGAATAGTGCAGCATACGATATTTACTATTTTTAGGATGTGAAATAAACTTTTTTCCTAATCTAAGGTATATTAAAAAATTAAAACCTATTAAGTTTTAGATAATTAGGGATTGTGTATGAGTGTGTGTGTGTTTTGAGATGTTTAAAGCAGGGTTGATATGGAAAGTATATACCAAATGTATAATGGAAGAATTACAGAGTTGTGGATACCATACAGAGTTGTTCCTAGTTTTAAACACCAGAATTCAACAACTGTGCATTTACCAGGATTGCTTGATTTTATATAGACCTTTGAAAAAAATCATTTAAGAGCTTACTCATTTAAAATATTCCTTTGTCATATTACTGACAGTGTAGTAAAAGCAGCCCACTTTTAGGGTTTTCATTGTCTAGCATAACACTTTTCCCATGGGTTTATAAGGCAGTCTACATTTAAAGGCTTACTTGGATATCTTTTTATTTTTCCCATCATCATTTATGCCTTCCCTCCTCCACCCCTAGACCTGGCTATCAGTGCATTGTTGTCCATGCACATGAGTTCTCGCTCTCTTTTTCTTTTTTGCTAAGTCCCTCCACACACCCCCGACATCCTCCCCCGCTCATCCCCTAGCTGTCTGCCTCCTCTCAATCTGTGAGTCTGTGTCTATATATCAGAGTTTCCTATCTGGTTTTTCTGTCCAAACCAAAAGTAGAATTATGTTTTACACTACCTCCCTTTGTTTTTAGAATGTTGTATTTTAAAGAATATGGTTCTGTAAATAAATTTCAATGTTATGTGCATCTGAGTCATGTCTTCCTATACATATGTACCTTCTCATGTAAGTTATTTTGAAGAAATGTTAAAACTTCCTTTCATACTATCAGATAGTTAAAAGTTTTTGAACACATGTCAGTTAAGGAGTGTGAAATCTTGAGAACAGTGTGCTGTCTTGATTGCACTAGTGTCTGTCTGCACAGCATGTGCTGGTCTGGCAGTGGTAGCTTATTGTCTCGTGGCTCCTGTCAGACTGCTGGCATCATGTGTTAATATGCAGCATGCCACTGTGCTCATGGGTTCCTATGAAGCTAAGTTGCCCATGGGTTAATAAGGCAGTCTATATTTAAAGGCTTATAATGATTCCATATGATAAACACTTTAAGACTATATGAACTGTAATAAATGATATCATTTTTAAAGAACATTTTAGTCCTAACAAGTTTAGGTCAGTAGATAGAGCATCGGCCTGCCTACTGAAGGGTCTCGGGTTCAATTCCGGTCAAGGGCACATGCCTGGGTTGCGGGCTCGATCCCTAATAGGGGTGTGCAGGAGGTACCTGATCAATGATTTTCTCTCATCATTGATGTTTCTATCTCTTTCCCTCTTCCTTCCTCTCTGAAATCAATAAAAATATATTTTTTAAAAGAATACTTTAAAAGAGTCCCTAAAATAAATTCTTCTAATTTTTAATTGTTTTCAAAGTTAAAATATAGGTGAATTTTAACAAGTCATTTATGTTTCTTTTTCACCTAGAATATAATTAAACTACCTTTTATATATACTGTGTCAGCTATTTTTTTTTTTAATTTGAGGAATATTTAGAACACATATTTTTGTGTTCCTAATCTTCTTCATTAGTAACACTGGCTTAGATTCATGTTTATAGTAGAGCAAGTTGAATTAGCATATGCCAGGATGGGTTTTTTTTCTACATTGTTGTAATTTTCTGTGAATTTTTTATTTTAATGTATGTTTTGTTAAATATTTTTCACTTCTTGTCTTCAAAGTATAAATTCTCTCATAAGAGTATTTAAATTCTTAAAATACGAGTGAAATTTTTATGTTAATTTTTAGGAATTATAATGGCTTTTCATTTCTAGGTTAAAAATAAAATGACAAAGGAACAGTACATTAAGATGAATAGAGGTATCAATGACAGTAAAGACCTTCCTGAAGAGTATCTATCAGCCATCTACAACGAAATAGCTGGCAAAAAGATATCATTGAAAGAAACGAAAGAATTAACAATCCCTACAAAATCAAGTAAGCAAAGTAGGTATCCAAATCATTTGAATCCTGATTGGTCAGGAGGAAAAATATGGGTACTTGAAAGAGTTCTTCACTTAGAGTATTTATTCTAGTGATAGTATTTATATATTGATATTATAGCATTTGCTGATATGGTTATATTTTTTTCTCACATGCTGAAGAAAGGTAGCTCTGATCAATGACTAATGAAAAATACTACATAATATGCATGGATTAGTGTGTGTGTTTAATGTACATGTGTCCATTTAGCGGTTAATCTCAGCACAGATTTGGAGGTCAGAGAGATTGGTCAGAAAACCCCATTAGTCAGACTTCAAATCTTAATCTTTGTTTCTGCCTCCTTAACAGCTACAAGCAACATATTTATATCTCTTCATATATCCTTATAGGTAAACAAGCTGAAAGAAGGGGTGATTCAGGGAGATGGGGAAGGCTAGGATTGTGAGGTAGCTGTGGAGTCGGAAATCACTAATTCAGATGTGCCACAAATTGTATCGATGTAGAGTTCCTAGATCTAACTAGCATTAGGGACCTGGCTCCATTCTAGACTTTCTGTACATGTAGACAATACTTAGTGATGAAATTAGAGCTAAAATCTGATTACAGGAATGAGACGAGGGTTGTGTCTTAAGAATATAACAGTAATATGGAAAGAGGACACCTTCCACTTAGAAATGAACTCCCAGATTTTATTTAACAGAACAAGTTATAGTAGCAAAATTCTGTTGATAGAAGAGAAGTAAAAAGGCCTGTGTGATGCATGTATTTGTAGAAGCTGATGAAGAATTACAAGATGAGAGTTGGGGGCTAGGGAGATGATTTTAAAAGGAAGAGTGGAGCATGCTGACCTTATCTTTCGGAGTAATATGGGGAATGATCCTAAAGAATTTTAGTAAGTTCATCCTCATTTTATAAATGAGGAAACTAAAGTGCAGAGGTTAAGAAATTTAGAGTTATAGAATTTATGAGCTGTGTTTACCTAATGTAAAATTTTTATTAAATCGCTACATCTAAAACCCAAACTGTGACAAAGCCAGATGTTGTACTAGGCATCCTTGACTCCTATTGCAGTTCAGTACCAAGCAGCAGTGTATTTGGGTGTGTTAATTTCAGTTCTGCTTGTAACATTAAGTATATTGATCAAGAGTTCATTTTTACACCTGAGTTACCAGTTTCCTGATTGTTTTCTTCTAATATCTTCACATTCCTCTTTCTATGGCCTATTTTGTATGTGGTAATAGCAAATTAGAGAGCTAGATATGGGAGGGAGATGGTGGTGTTCTAAAATATTAAAATCATTCTGGAGTGTCAGGGCCATCATTTTCTTAACCCAGGAGATACCATTCAAAGATGCCATTTCTTCTTAAATCTCTTTTGCTAACCCAAGTTTGTGGTGTTTCCCTAATGCTACTTATTGTAACAGGTTTGTATGTATTCTCTTCCCTCTTCATAGGTTTTCTACTTATCCATGACTCCTAGTACAGGATTTTTTGTACTTTTCATTATTGGAGTGAAATCATTTAATATAAAATGAACCATTTTCCCCTGGCTGGTGTGGCTCTGTTGGTGAGAGCATCATCTCATACACCAAAAGGTGGTGGTGGGTTTGGTTCCCAGTCAGGGCACATAACCAGATTTGTGGGTTCAGCTACCCAGTTGGGTGACTTGTGTAGGAGATGATTCAAGTTTCTCTCTCACACTGATGTTTCTTTTCCTCTCTCTCTCTCAAGTCAATGTTTTAGAAACAGTGTTTTAAAAAATTAACCATTTTGAAGTGAACAATTCAATGGCATTTGGTCCATTCACCTGTTGTGCAACCCCTACCTCTATCTAGTTTGAAGACATTTTCATCACCCCAAAATAAAACCCTGTTCCAATAAGCAGTTACTCCAGGTTTCCTCCCATTCTTAGGCCCTGGCTATCCCAGTCTGTTTCTGTTACCTATTCTGGATATTTCATATACATCCAATCACACATTATGTGACTGTTTGAGTCAGACTTCTTAGGACTATTTTTAATTAGTGTATTGGTAATTATATCATGTGGTATATTATTGTTTTGTAGTAAGACATCAAAATAGCATTTTTAAATGCTTCCTATTTTAAATGCTAATGGTGTTTGTTTTAGATGTAGCAAGTGAAAAACAAAGAAGACTTCTTTATAACTTAGAAATGGAACAGATGGCTAAGACAGCTAAAGCACTTATGGAAGCCGTGAGCCATGTTCAAGCACCTTTTACAAGTGCAACACATTTGGAGCATGTGAGACCCATGTTTAAGGTAAGAGTTACTAGTAACTTTTGGTGGCAATATACATTTACACATAATTTTGTTGCGCATAGTTTTCACGTAAGGAAATATAGTGACATATCCCATTGGTGTAGACCTGGAAGCAAAAGCCATGTTATTAAGGACATGGCAAACAAAATTTTTCCTTAAAAAGAAGAACAAATGTTTGCACTATCAGGAATTAATAGCTGTATGATCTTAAGAATAGAAAGCGTTCAGAGAATGATCATTAATCCTTCACCTGGTTTTCTCTAATAAATTTTATTTCAACCTTTGAAGTTACCTAAAATGCCAAAGGATCCTCATTGAGTTGCTTGCTCTCTTTCAGTGCCTTTGGCCCAGGAATTAATATAATAGGAGGGTTCTGATGTGCCTGGAGCCCAGAAAAAAGAGTAAGGAATAGCAAGGAGCATTATTTATTTTTATAGGTTGATCTACTAAGATTGGTCCTGGTTCTTTAAATTTGATTTCTTATTCCTTTTTCATTTCCTATTCTTTTTTTCTACCCTTTCTCCAAATTTAGAATGAGGAAGCAGTGCATCGTAAGGATCGTAGGGAAGTGGAGGGGAGTCTAGTTAAGTTTGCAGTTTGTGTGGTTAAGATGGTCTGTGGAAGCGAAAGATCATAATTTAAATTCTAATGCAGACTTCACTATACATATGGATGGTGCAAATGACTACAAGATTTCTGTGCTTCCTTTTAGGTGTAAAATTTTATAATTACTTTTACCCCTACTTCAAGGTCTGAGTGAGAATGATATTAAAGTTAATGAATTTTAGAATAGGAGGGGGACTAGGAAGCTAATATACTATAGAAAATCATGTTGAAATATTATAAACACTTTATCTTTATTATAAAATATATTTTATAAGGCAGCTTTTGTTTTTTGGTTTTTTTTCAAGTGTTTTTTTAAACAGGAGGCAGAAAAAAGCAAAATAAAGATCTAGCCATAATTCAGCCACTCAGAAAAAACTTGTGTTAATATACTACTTTTTTATCTTTTTTTTTATTAAATTATTATCTGTGTACATAGTTCAACATTGCCCCCTCCCCCAATTACTTTTTTATCTTAATCAGTTGTGATTGTACTATGTATAGGATGTTTTTATCTTGCTGTTTCTCACATAAGTATTTTCCCATATCATTAAAAATTTGTCGGTAGGTTTTATGATATGGATTATAGTTTATTTAAACATCCTCTAAGCACTGCCATTGTTCTCTTCAGACACTCTCATTTCTCACTCTTACTACTGTAGCGTCCTTATGTGCACTTTTTATCCATTTACAGAAGCCAGAGTAATCTTTTTAAAAGAAAAAGTGCAATTTCACTTTCTTCCTTAAGGCCCTTCACTGACTTTGCATGACCTTGATGAAATGAGCACACAGAGGGTCTAGAGACCACCTGCCTTTCCAAACTCATTGCTAGAACTCTTCTGTTTCTTCTGTCTCTTACTGAGCTACAGTTACACTGGCATTATTTAGGCTTCCAGAATAACGTAAATTATTTTTTCTTCAGAGCATTCTTATAAGCTGTGTCCTGTGTCTAGAATGCTCTTTTCTTTGCCTGTATAGTTTCCATTTATAATGTTACTCTTTCAGAAAGTTTTGCTCTGACTCCTCTAATTCAAATTACATCCCTTTTCATAACAAGCTATTCTTTTCCTTCATTGTATTCATAACCATTTGTATTTGTACATTTATTTTAATATTTGTATCAAAATATATGGCTAGTATACCTCTTTACTTTAAAATCCAAGAGGCAATAGACTAAATCTGTTCTGTTCACTTTTCCCAATATCTGGTACAGTTGCTGGCTTGTAGCCAGTGCTCAGTAATAAGCATTGACTGGGTCAAGGAATAAATGAGAGATTCCTAGAATGCATTATACTATGAAGGGATATACACATTACTAGGAATCTTTCTACCATTGGCAGGTTGTATTCTGTAAAGGTTTATACAATTAGGAGTGGGCAATTTAATTTCACTGTCTCTGGATATTATTCAGCTAGTAGCCCTGTGCACGAATCTGTGCGCCAGTAGCTCTCTTCAGGGCCTGGCTGCTCCGGCCTGGCCAGAGGCCCATCCATGGCTGGGTGCAGAATGCTTGCCTTGTCACTGAGAGGATGTGATTTGATTGGAGAAATCATTGTCTTTGATTTCTAATAGAGTTAAACATTTACTGGCTTATGGACCATATACTTCTATAAAATGTTATATGGGTTTCTAATGGAATATGTCATTTATTACTTCCATGTAGTACTTTGTATTTTAAAAGTTCTGCACTTCATATGCTTCCCACAGGATCTCTCCAGAGTGATAGTCAAGGTATTAAACAGGAAGAAATTGAGTTTCAGAAAGATTAAGTAACTGGCAAAGCTAAGACTAAAGTTAGGTACTGTGGCTTATGTTCCTTTGTTAGCGGTTATACACTTTACTTCTAAACTTTCTGCTGTTACAAGCAAAGTGTTGGGTTTTCCTTCGTAATGCTAAAAACTTTTTAGATCTTTTAAACTTTTCAGTTGTCATTTCTATAGCACACCCATAAACATCTCTTCATCTGTATGGCTATATGGTTTATAGTTTTGCTTCATGACGACTTACTAAAAGCAAATACTCTCGCATCAGGCACATCAAAGTCATACACGCACACACTAATATAATCCCTATGTTTTGACATTAGTATGTTCAGCAGTCAAAAGGTAGCTCTTTTTTTTTTTTGTTTTCCATTAAAACTAGTTCAGTTTTTATAGTAAAATTTAGTGTTTGTTGGCTTTCACTGTATATAATGAAGAAATATTTTATTGAACTATATATTTTTAAAGTGTTGTCCAGGGTTATTGCTGATATGTCAACGTAAAATTTTTGAAAAAAGAAAAAAGGTGTCCAGGAAGCAAGCTTAAAGAAAGTAATAGAATTGCTGCAAGTAGAAAATGCTAAAGAATTTTCTTGGAAATAAAAGGCCCATGATATTGCAAGGGATAAAGCTTGCAAAGAGAGATGAGTTCTCAAGTCAGGGGTACAAGTAATATTATTTTTTAATATTGTCTACCCCATTTTATTGATGTGAATAATTTATAAATGCTGCACTTAAAATATGCCTCAGGCCTTCTACTGAATTTATGATCTTGTTCTTTCATTTATTTAAAACCAGTTAGCATTAAGTCGTTTGGTGTTTTTTTTTTCTCTTGTCTAGGAAAGCTTTCCAAATAGCTGTGCTAAGAAATTTATTGCTTTTTTTTTTTTCAGAACTTTAAATCATTTGTTGTCTGAAAGCCTTGAGAAATATTAATGTAGTATTATCATAATTTTTAATTAACACTTGATATTCATGATATATTTTAAATTTTAATTTTCCTAGTTGGCTTGGACACCTTTTCTTGCTGCATTCAGTGTGGGTCTACAAGACTGTGATGATACTGAAGTAGCCTCTCTTTGCCTGGAAGGTATAAGATGTGCAATCAGAATTGCATGCATTTTCAGCATTCAGGTAATAAAGAAGTTTGCCTTTGTAACCAGTCTACTTATGTCATTACTATAGTTTAAATTATTTTTTTACGTTTGCCTTATGAGAAACTAATTTCAAGTTTATGATGTCATTTAAATGAATCTTAATATTTAAGAATCTGAGAATCTATGACAGACGAAGTAGTTCTATACTGATGTACCTAAAATTCATCATCATAACTTTGGTTTGCAATTCTTCCCCAAGACTTTGAATTCCTTTATGTTAATTTCAACATCTTACTTAAATAATTATGTTGGAAGTTCTTACTTATTGAATCATATATATTTTCATATTTTATATAGAGAGAGTAGGTTTATAATTGTTCATATAGAAAATACAATAATTAATAAATAACAATACAAGAATAAACTTGTGTGTGTGTGTGTGTCTTAACCCTCAGAACAAGTTTAAGAGAACCAGGTCTATAGTACATAATTTTCATGAAAATAGCCCCTTCTAGTAATTATATGCTTTGTCTGATAATAAATATAGTTGAAGCTTGCTTTCTTTTTCAAAAACTGTTTTATATTTGATTATGAATGATAGGACTTACAAAGCACAGTCTAGTTGTAATGAAAAAGTGAGCAAATTTACAAAGTTTCTGCTAGTTCACACAGTACTTGAAACTGAAATATTCAATGAATGTTTTTCTACTATATGAATTTGTTATTAATAAAATCTCATCTTGATTTTTACACCTTGTTCACCTTTGTATTTTAGAAATTTCTGTTTCATTTATCTTTAAAAAAAATACTCTAGTTTGAGGTATTGAATATAAGTTATGATTTGTCAGTTAAAAACTTATTAACCAAGTAAACAGTTTGTCATTAGGGAATTAAGGATCACTCTGTTGTGTTTATAACCATGTCAAGTATACTTTTCTCTTTTTTATAGCTGGAAAGAGATGCGTATGTTCAGGCACTAGCAAGATTTACTTTACTTACAGTGAGTTCTGGTATTACTGAAATGAAACAGAAGAACATTGACACAATAAAAACGCTTATCACAGTGGCTCATACAGATGGAAATTATTTAGGAAATTCATGGCATGAGGTATATGCACTTTATTTTTAATTTTGTAATTTGGTTTATAAAATCTAAATATTCAATCACTGACATGCTTAAGTGTTTGGGGAGAAAATTAAGTACATTCAGGGTAAATACAGTTAGCTTTTTATAACCTATATATATAAAAGCCTAAACGACGGGATGTCCGGCCAGTAGGTATGATGTGCACTGACCACCAGGGGGAAGATACTCAATGCAAGAGATGCCCCCTGGAGGTCAGTGTGCTCCCACAGTGGGAGTGCTGCTCAGTTGACAGACGGGCACCAGATGCTGAGCTGACGGCTGGGGAGTGCAGCTGCATGAGCTTCCTGTGGACACTACCCCTGCATACCCTAGTGATGGCAGGCGCAGTGGGGCCCGGATGAGTGGGAGCGCAGGTTGTCCAGCCTGGGCTCAGGCGCCTCCCTCGCCGCCTGCCACTTTGTGCACTACTTCGCACTGTGAGATCAATGCAGACAGTGGACTAGAGCCTGAAGAGCTGGTGGGTAAGGCTGGGCGGCAGCACTGTGGAAGTCTACTGATCCCCACAGGCCAGACTGAGGGACTCCACTGTGCATGAATCGGTGCACTGGGCCTCCAGTGATTTATGATGTAGCCTAAGTTTAAATCCTGGCTGCATATATTTAAATATATTTGCAAACATTTTTAACATGAAATTAAGTCTTTTCTCCTTTTTTAAAATTAAGATTCTGAAGTGCATCAGTCAATTGGAGCTTGCACAACTTATAGGAACTGGAGTGAAACCTCGATACATTTCTGGAACAGTGCGAGGCAGAGAAGGATCTCTTACTGGAACAAAAGATCAGGCTCCTGATGAATTTGTGGGGCTAGGGCTGGGTGAGCATTTTATAAATTATTTCTATGAAGTATCAAAAATTGTCTAACTTGCTCAATCTAAGTAACTTTCTTGTAGGAATGAAATATAATTGGAGGGATATGATAAAATCCCCAATGGCTATCATTTTGAGGAAAAGCAAGATAAATGTATAGAGAACTAAGTCTTTTTTGCTGAAATAGTTTGCAACATTAAATGAGGTTTAGTCTTAATCTCATAGTTTGGGGTAGAAGAAAGGTATAATTTAAAGTTAATCTGCTTTTAAGACAAAAATAGGTAACTTAAATGAGTGAAGACTTGTATAAGATGGTAAATAGTAAGGGCAATTTGAGAAAGCACTCACATTTAGATTTTTTAAAGGTACTGTACAGATCTATCTAAATTCTTCTGCCACTATGGAAACTTTCCCATGGCTTCTCATGTGCTTAGTTTGGCCAGGAACTTCTAGATTTAACCCAATAGAAAAAAAAGGAACATATTAGTGAATACGGCAAACCAAAGGCAATGCATTTTTAGTCATAAATGGGGGAAAGTTTCATTAGGGAAGAGGCAAAATTTAGACTGTCTTTCACTTTGAATACTATACTTTTGGGTTTGAATTCTGCAAATTTCCTGACTGTATGCAAGTAATTAACTCTCTGAGCTTTGGTTCCCTCTTTTGCAAACTAATGGTAATAGCTACTTATAAAGTTGTTAGGATTAAATAAGAATATATATAAATGGATTTTGCCGAAACCGGTTTGGCTCAGTGGTAGAGCGTCGGTCTGCGGACGGAAGGGTCCCGGGTTTGATTCCGGTCAAGGGCATGTGCGTTGGCTGCGGGCACATCCCAGTAGAGGATGTGCAAGAGGCGGTTGGTCGATGTTTCTCTCTCATCGACGTTTCTGCAAAAAAATCAATAAAATATATTTTTTAAAAAAAATATATATATAAATGGATTTGGTATTGTGGAAAATCTTTCAATTATCTGGGCCTGAAATTATAAGCATCTCAACTGAGTAGGAATGAAAATTAATGAATGATATGAAAACAGGTCAAAAGCAAGATTGAATGACTAGTGGAAAGATCTTAAAGATGATTGTAAGGTTAGGCATTTGAAAACTTGGAGAAGTTGTTATTCTGCTGTCTGACATATGGAACCAGTGCTTTGGGGAAATATTCTTTTGAATAAGAGGATATTAAAACATATAGCTAAATTTTCCAATAAGCATTTATAAACAGGGACTGAAGATTAAATGACAGGGGAGATCTGGTTATGTGGACGTGGGAGTCATCCTTAGAGGGTATCAGAACCTGAGCAAGTGATGTCTTTCTTAAACATTAAGTGTAATTATGCCTAATGTCATTAATTTTGTGCTCTAAATTCTCAGTGGCCTTAATTTGTGTAATTTTTGCAAACACAGTTTACATCTTTATAACCATGTCTGTGTACTAATTAGTATAGCTCATTAAGCACATTTTGTCTTGATAAAGGTCACTGGTGCCAAATGAATTGTTCACCCATCGCATTCTTTCTTTCATTAGGAAAATAACTGATTTCAGAAATGTATTTTAGAACTCTTAAGTGAGTTCTTCCAGCATTCAGGATTATTTTCAAACTGAAATAACTCTCTTTTATGTGTGGTAGTTGGAGGAAATGTGGACTGGAAGCAGATAGCAAGTATTCAAGAATCCATTGGAGAAACCAGTTCTCAGAGTGTTGTTGTTGCTGTAGATAGGTAAGCTATTCACTTTATTCCCTTTTCAAATGAATACTCATTTAATTCTGTCGAATTTAGATATTTTTTTTTTTTGCACAGTAGTAAATAGAAAATTTTATCGCCAAAAACAACTTTCATTAAGTAATGTAAGATTATTGTAATATGATATAATTTAAATGATGAAGCACATACTTTTGCATTTTAGGTTATAGAATATAGGAAAGAAACAGGATGATAATGTAAGTTACAGTAGATAGTAGGGGCATTAAGGAAATACTAACCTTGATGAAAAAGAGCACAAATGTTTTATTTCCTGTTTAGAAAACATTCCCCTTGTTATCCCTATTGGGAAACAGAATGTACTTTCTCTCTCTGATAGAGGACTGCATTAGGGGTAAAATGAAGGGATTTGCTGGCAATTCTCATTATAAGCTTCTTTGAAAAGGACTTGGAAATGGGTATATTATAGACATTACCAGGTGTTCCTCATTTTTAGTTTGTTTTTTAAAAGAAAATCCATACTCTGGATTATTTTACTATGGGAATATTTACTTTCTTTAAGATTTCTAAAATTTCCAGTATGTAGAACATTTAGTGTTCTTTTTAATATTAGTTTTTTCCAGATGAATGCCCCCCAAATTGAAACTTAACATTTTATAAATCTGACATTTAAATTGGGTTTTTTTTTGCCACTTCTTATGGACACTTTCAAAAGTGTAAATGTAATTAATATTTACTGGTTTGTTTGTTTGTTTGTTTGTTTGTTTTGATGCTTTGGGACTTATGCTGATCCATTGTTTTACTTTGCATCAGATAAAACTTTTTGCTCTAAGTACAGACAGAACTAGAGTGTTCCAGTACTTGGAAGTACTCCCTGGAACTTTTATCCTTGAAAATCTTAATGTCCACTTGCAGTCTTTTTTATTAGGGGAAGGAGGTTATTTGCATTTTTCTTGGGAAGGATGAAGAAAGATTGTGTGTCATCTTATACCCACTTTATAATTAGAAGGTTTACCACATGCTTGGTATTTTTGAAAGTGCTTTACCATATTATTTAGTTTAATCCTTTAGTAGCCTCATGAGATGAGTATTATTGTCCTCAATTTGCAGATAAGGAAACAGAGACATGGGGAAATTAAATAACTTGCTCATTCCACAACCAGGCTAACTGGGTCTTCATTATTTTCATAATCGTTTTATTCATGGTTTCAAAGAATGGAGCCAAGGTGTGCAGTTGAACAGCATGTCTTGAGTGTGCACTCTGAACCTCTCTACCCACAGGTGCAACTTCAGAGCAGTATGATGTCTGCCTTTCTGCCATCAGGGTAGCTTTTTCCCAGTAGTTTTCTTGCTTTCCAGAAAATCACCTTCATTATGGGAATCGCTTCAGGCAAGAGGCAACATTTTACCTACTATTTCTGTTTCCATAATACACTTTACATGACCATATCTAGTTCTGATTTATACAGATACTCAGTTTATTATAGGTGGACGTGTCACTCATTTGAACAGATAATATGCTTATCTGTTTTAATAATTTATACTGTTTCACAGGTATCCTAGCATAAGTACTATTAGTACTTTGTCCTCTCAAACTCATCATCACCAAAGGCTTCTGAAAACATAAAATTAATGTCCAATTTTATATAAAACCTCAGCATTTAAATTTTAGTTTATAATGAAAACAAAAGCTACATCTTGTATATATTATAAGATTATATTATTGTGTGGTACAATTCAATTTTTTATTAAATTTCTTCTGAATTTCTTCTCAGATATCTGAGGTTATATTCATATGTAAAATTTGGACTCTACTCTATAAGCTAACTAAGTGAGATTGCCCTGGAACTAAGTGAGAATATTACCAGGTATCATCCTTGAAAACTCTACTTGTCCAGCAAAAACAGTAATTTTCCTACTCTTAGGCCTATTGTTCTGAAAAATCTCTTCTGACAAATATAGAAATGAAAATAAAAATAATAATTCTTTGTTTAATTACTTATAGCTTCTGTTTCTTAATCAACATAAAAATTGCTGATTCCATTAAAAACCTTCAAGTTTTTAATGATATATCCTAATTATCTCCACTTTTTTGGTATTAGGAATCCATTAGAACTTAGGAGAATATTGTGCACTTTAATTTGGAGTACCTGATCCTCTAGGATTTGCTAGGGAAGAATTTGCTAGCCATTGCTAACCTAGATCAATTTTATTGGTATCACTAAACTGCAGGGATGGTTTTTGTCCCAGAATGGATTATCTCTCTAAAAGTTAAAAACAAACAAAAAAACAATTAATTCCATGGTTTTTGAGGCGCATCAGACCTAGCTTTGTAAAACTGGCCCATCTCACACTTTTAGAAAGTGTCACCTTTTAGAAAAATACATACAGCTCACCCCCCCACTTCATTTGCTCAAAAATATCAGGTAGATGTAAGAAATAAACGTTAACTCAGATATTTCACTGTGAAAACTCTTTACATATATAGTAATTTACTTTGCCTGTGTGTTACATACAGTTTAACATTTTTAAATTTAGCATCTGCAAGTTTGGTTAATCTTTTATTTTTCATTGTTGTATTATTATCACGATATGGATGAATCAGTAATATATCAAATTTATTTTTCTACTCAGATTTCCGGACATGTTTTTTAGTATTAGCACACAAAATCTCATGCTACTGTCTTTTGCTTTTCCTCTAGGGACTTTAGAATCTATTTCATAGGCTGATTTTGTGAAACTTAGCTTTTTTTCTCCTGCCTTAGTATATAGTAAGGCTTAATTTTAAATGCTTCCACAGACCACTGTGCTTTACATATCTCTTCCGTTTAATGAAGCATTACTAGAAATAGGGCACCCCTCAGAGGCTACCAGAGCAAGTTGCATCTGAATGTGCTTTCCCAGGATGCATGCTTCCACTGCCTTCCATCATCACCTCAGTCTACAGGGCCCCTCTAATTGCTGCTGAAACCCCTTTGTGGCCTTTGTTCTCCATTATTTCACTGCATTCAGAGTTGTGTATATCCCCTCTAATTGTATATAATCTCCATTTCTGTTTCTATTTTTTACCCCTTCAACTTTTGCCATTGCCTCTTTCTCAGTTAAACATTTTTTGTTGTTGTTATTTCATTTGTTTCTCCTATGTTATTTAGTTTTGACTCTTGTTTTAGTGTGGGTTGTTTTTCTCTTTTGTTTTTATACATTGCTCCTTGGGATACCTGTAGTTTGATAAATTGGCTAATGACACATATAATGCATAGTCCAGCAATTTTCATTTTTTGTTCATGTGAGAGCTTTGTACAGAAGTTTTGTATATGTTAATATCTGGATCCAGTTAAATCACTGAATTAAATAGGACCCTATTACTCTTATATTTTCTCCCAGATTGTGTTTTTAGCCAGATCTTTGAATCATTGTTTTGTTCTCTTGAGAAAAGCAGTATGGGAAATCCTAAGATACTCCTTTAGCAGGAGGTCAGATTCTGAGTTATGTTGTTAGTTTCTAAGTAGTTTTCACAGTCTTGTTTTTGTTACTCTGATAGAACACAAACATAAGCATTCAAGGGCACTAAGATTAAAACAGTATAATATACTCAGAACATTTATATTATGGATGCAGGAAAAAACTAGAATATACTTAAAATATTTAAATTATGTTTGCTCAGGTAGGTGTGGGGCGATGTAGCACCGTGGTTAAGAGGGTGGCTTCTGGAGTCAGCCTCAACTGGTTTGAATCTTGGCTCCAGCACTTACTAGTTTTGATACTTTTAGGAAATGTCCATAAAATTGAGAGTATAATGGTACCTATTTCCCAGGTATTGGTTATTATTTTGAATGGATATATTAAGCTGTCAGGATAATACCCACCTTGTGATTATTGGTAGCTGTTACTATTACTTATGATTACTTTTACTTCTAAGTTTAATATTTGACCTGCTCCTGCCTTTAAGGTTTCTTTTTTACCATGCAGATCTTATGGTGTTTATTTTAAATTGAGAAATATCATTTCATTCTGGAAATCACATTCAAACCCTTAGTTATAAACCCTTTGAGTGCATGGATAAAAATGCAGACTTTAAAAAAGAGGACTAATATATTTATACTGAAGTCTTTTATGAAACTTTGAAACACAGAAACAGAGCTTGGTGAAGTCTGGACAAAGCTGGACAGCATAACTTAACACTAAGTATTTGAATGTCCTAAGAAATGTCACTGTTGGAGACTATTTGCAAGGTTCTTTAAAATCACTTGTAATGTAACATAAATGAACCCTTTGCACTCCGAACCATTCTGGACATTGGCTACCAGCTACTCGACGCTACTCTGCGAAACGTGCGTTGAATTAACTCAATTCCCCATAATCACTAATAAACTGCAATGTCCCCTGAGAGGGGACATCCGAGTGATATGCTAGAATTCCGATGTCCCCGGAGAGGGGACAGCCGAGTGCAAAGGGTGAATTTTCTAATCAAACATACATTACTTGTAGAAATTAAATAGAATTTTTCATTTTAAAACTTTGCTAATATTAGTAGATAATCAGGAAAAGATTGAAAATTTTTCTGTTTTATAGTGTACCAATTATTTTACAAATTAATTTTTTCTTATTCTCAGAGTCTCATAAGATAATGAGTTTTTATAAATTTTTAATAATAATAGAACCATATATTCTTTAATATATTACTGAATGCAAAGGTAAGAGGGAGGAACATCAAATTATAGTTACTAAAGTATAGAATAATAAAAAATTTTCATTTGACTACCTGGTTTCTTTAGTTCCTTTAAAACAAATAAAAGTAGCTACATTTGAATTGATGTAATAGATGTGAGACTAGACATGTTTTTTTCAGGCTATTCATTTTTTAATCATGGGGTTGTTGTTTTTCTTTAGAATATTTACAGGGTCTACAAGGCTAGATGGAAATGCTATTGGTAAGTATGTACATTTATTTCATTTATAAACTGGTTGGCTAAAAGATTTGAACATGAAGCTAAAAAATTGTAAATCTATTTATATTACAGTGGATTTTGTCCGTTGGCTCTGTGCTGTGTCTATGGATGAATTACTTTCCACTACACATCCAAGAATGTTTAGTCTACAAAAAATAGTAGAAATATCATATTACAACATGGGAAGAATAAGATTGCAATGGTCTCGAATTTGGGAAGTTATTGGAGATCATTTTAATAAGGTATTTATATAATTATAGGATTTGCTTATATTTATATTCTTTTTTTTAAGAAATTTGAACATTTTTATTTTATATAGTTTACATTTTGTTTTGTTTTTTGTGGGGTTTTTTTGTCTTTGTTTTTTTAAATATATTTTATTGATTTTGTACAGAGAGGAAGGGAGAGAGATAGAGAATTAGAAACATCAATGAGAGAGAGTCATCGATCAGCTGCCTCTTGCACACCTCCCACCGGGGATGTGCCCACAACCAAGGCACATGCCCTTGACCGGAATCAAACTCAGGACCCCTCAGTCCGCAGGCCGACGCTCTATCCACTGAGCCAAACTGGTTTTGGCTATATTATTTCTTATTATGTAAAATTTCTTTACCATAATTGAGAATTTTTCTTTCCAAGCAATTTTTAAGATTAAATTTGGAAAACCCTTTGAGTCTTGTTTTTTTCTTTAGCTCTAGGTTTTAAGTAATTAGTTAAAATAATGTTTTTCTCATTAATGTTATTAGCACTTAGTGCTTTTATAAAGAATTGTAGGATTTACTTATATATGCTATAAATGATACAGTATTTTAAAACAAAAATAAAATTATGTTTTCCCTGCTGACATTAGCACCCTTTATTTCTGTTGCCATTGCAGGTCGGCTGTAATCCTAATGAAGACGTAGCTATTTTTGCAGTAGACTCCTTGAGACAGTTGTCAATGAAGTTCTTAGAGAAAGGGGAGCTTGCTAATTTCAGATTCCAGAAGGATTTCTTAAGACCTTTTGAGCATATAATGAAACGGAACAGGTATTATATTTGTTAAATTGCTTAATAGCAGAAAAATACTTCATTATTTTTCACAGCAGGGAGAAAAACAGAAGAAGGGAAAGAAAATTGATGTTTTATCTATATGCTTATTTAAGAAATCATATTGATATTTTAGGTCTCCAACCATTCGAGATATGGTTGTGCGATGTATAGCACAGATGGTGAACTCTCAAGCTGCTAACATTCGGTCTGGATGGAAGAACATTTTCTCTGTATTTCATCTAGCTGCATCCGATCAAGATGAAAGCATAGTGGAACTTGCATTCCAAACAACAGGGCACATTGTCAGTGAGTATTTCTTTTAACAGTGTTTAAGTTTAAAAAAAAAAAATGAATGAATGAATGAAACAAACTATAATGTGTTCAGAAGATAATTCAAATATAACATTGTAGGCCTATTATGGTTTTTAAGTTTACCAAGTTTTAACTACATAAGCAGAGTAAATGATGAATATATTATTATAGTTAACATTTATTGGACATGACAAGCACTGTAAGAACTTTGCATGTATTTTCTTCAGTCTTCACAACTACTCTATGAGATAAGTATCTTTAATATCATCCTTCTTTAATACATAGGTTGGGAAACTCAGGCCCAGTGAGATTAAGTATTTTCGTAAGGGCACAGAACTAGTGAGTGAAAGAGCTGATATTCAAAGCTAGGGAGCCTTAAGACAAAATCTTTGTTTTTACCCACTTACTTTGACTGAGAGGGAAAATAAAATATTAAAAATGTAAGTTAGCCGAAGCCGGTTTGGCTCAGTGGATAGAGCACCGGCCTGCGGACTGAAAGGTCCCAGGTTCAATTCTGGTCTAGGGCATGTACATTGGTTGCGGGCACATCTCCAGTAGGGGGTGTACAAGAGGCAGCTGATCGATGATTCTCCCTCATCGATGTTTCTAACTCTCTATTCCTCTCTCTTCCTCTCTGTAAAAATCAATAAAATATATATATTTTTTAAATGTAAGTTATACCTATCTGGAAGATTATAATGATGATCAACATCAAGAATAATGACATCATCATAGTTATCATTTGAGTGCTTATTTGAAATAAGCATTTTTACTTACATTATTTTATTTAGTGCTTACAACTATCCTGTGGATATTGTGATTCTCATTTTATAGATTAAGAAACTGAGATACAGAGAGATTAAACATAATTTTGTATGCTCACTCAACAACTGTTGATACAGTACCTGCTGTGTACTAGTCACTGTATTAGCTGCTGGGTTTATAATGTAAACAAAACGCAGACCTCTTGCTCTGCCTCTACTCCTCAAGGCGGTCAAGTAGGTGGTCACCACAGACTTCAACCCTTCTCTGGTGGACATCAAAGCCTTTAACCTTTAGGAAGTACACATTATATCCAAAGGTTGATGTATTTTTTGATGCAATTAAGAATAATTGGCGTTATAATTACTTTGATACATTTTCCCTTTTTTTTTTTAGCCCTTGTGTTTGAAAAACATTTTCCAGCAACCATTGATTCTTTCCAGGATGCAGTGAAGTGTTTGTCTGAATTTGCATGCAATGCAGCTTTCCCAGACACAAGTATGGAAGCAATCCGACTTATTCGCCATTGTGCAAAATACGTGTCTGACAGACCTCAGGTACAGTGTCACTTTGTAAACAAAAATTTTACTGAATTTTTATTCCCAGTCTAAGATCTGCATTTATTTAGAAATTAAGAGACTATGAAGCATTTATTTTTCAGTAAACCCAAAAATATCTGAAATTGATTCTGAGTCATAATGGGTAGTACTGATAGTATTTTTCTGAGTGTTTCACCTGTATTAAATGGTTTCATCTTCATAACAATTCTACTGCCATACAGATAAGGATTCTGCAGCACAAAGAAGTTAAAAAACGTGTCTGTGATTACAGGGCTAGTTAAGGAGACCTAGAGCTCAAACCCAAGCCTGTGTCTTAACCATTACTGTGCTGCCTTTACCTGTTGTATTTCGTCTGCAGTACTAAAGCTGACTGTGGGCTTCAGCACTGGAGTAAAAAGGTTGAATTGGCAACCTGCCTGCCAACTTTAATTCACATATTTGAGTCTCTCTTTATAACCATCATAAGGAGAAGCGATACGGCATAGATTTAGTAATAAGATTTTTACTACATACTGACATGGACCTATGGGGTGCTTAGTACTTTTTATCTAAACATGCATTGACTCATTTGACCTCACATTTCCCCAGGGTGGTTAGTGTGGCCACATGGTGTCATAACCATTTAAATGGTAAAAATGAAAACCTGATTTAACCTGGTTAATAACGCAGAAATCTGGTGTCAGCGTTGAAGCTGAAACCAACTTTTGAGTTCTGTTCCAGTGTTCTTTATAGGAAGTTATAATCTCCAGCATTTTTATAAATTATTGTTTTATCAAATTGTTCACTTTGATTTGTAAAGCATTTTTTAAAGTTTCAGAGAAATGTGCTTAATGTAGGTATTATGTTTTGCCTTTAATAACCTTATCTTTCTTCTTGAAGGCTTTTAAGGAATATACAAGCGACGATATGAATGTGGCGCCTGAAGACAGGGTGTGGGTGAGAGGATGGTTCCCCATCCTCTTTGAGTTATCCTGTATCATCAATAGATGCAAATTAGATGTAAGAACCAGGTAACAATCAGTATTTGTAATTAACATTTTGTAAGGCTTATTTTAACTCAAATTAGCTTTCTTATGTGGACACAGAGTTTAATAGTGAAAGGCCATAAATCATGTGTTTTATCAAATATAGCAATTATTAGGTAGGCAGATTTAAAAATACGTTAAGCTATAACAGTGTTAAAAAATGGAAATATATTGCTTTTTTCTTAAAAGTTAAATATAGCCTAGTGTTTTAGCTTCCATGTTAATATAACATTTCACACATTCTGTTTTTTTCATACATTTGTTTCTAATTAAAAATAGAAGCTAGTGGCAAATTTATTTTATTTCCTAAAGAATGATGGAAGAATTCCCAAATGCTCATCCTTGATGCATTTTAGGTAAATAACCTTTTCTCTAAAGACTGGGTCAGTAACATAACTTTGAATAACATAGGTCTATTAAAAAAGAATTGAACTCTTTCCAAAGTATATTCTCAATAAAAGGTCTATATGAACATATAATAAATCTGTAGAGAAACTATTTTGGATATGATGTAACCAGACAAGCGCTCAGTGTACACTTCTCATGTTATAGCTCAGATCAGACCCGTAGGATAATTTTTCTCTGTATTTGTGACTGTGAAATTGAAATGGCCAACTTGTATTACAGTATCTGTCAAAAGTGCTTTAGTGGATTATGAGTTGAGTTTCATGTTAAAATCCCTCATTTAATTATCCCATCTTCTTTTTAGGAGAATCATTAGTCAATTGGACAGTTCACTGAACTTTTTAAAACCAGAAACGTGGTCAGACTTACAATAAACCAATGCTAGAAATGTAGTGAAAGAATGAATATTTCCTCCCCTTATGCCAGAATCACCCCACTGTCACCCCCATCCAAGGTTAAGTTTGATTTATTTCCTAAGAAACTTCACTTTTATAGTATTATTTGTAATAACAAACAAACAAAAAATGAATGAATAGGAAAGTTATCCAAAGTAGGACTCAAACCTTGACTCAGCCTTGGGAGTTTCTCAGAGTGTAGTAATCACAAGAACAGTATAACGTTTTATCTTGACAAGGGCCCTGCCTGCTTTCTTAGCCTTATAGCCTGTCCTTATTCGGGACCTCACTGAATTACTTCTCACCATATTTATATTCTGATTACGGACAGATTCTGGTTGTTAAAGGGAGAGAAAGTATGTGTTCTAGTTAGTAAAAGAGAAAATATGAGTAAACTCTTCCATGTTGGCTTTCATTTTCTTACCTCACCTCAGGATCTGTAGGGCTGTCATTTAGATTATATGTAAAAATGTAACACTATTTATAACACACTAATCACAAAATACTTTCACATGCATTCTCATTTGACTCCTTCACAATTTTATAGGTTTATGGTTAAATAATTAGCCTAGAGCCCCAAACATTCTTTTTCCCTACACTAGCAACTGAAGTATTGCTTTTAAAAGGACCTCTTTGCCGAAACCGGCTTGGCTCAATGGATAGAGCGTCGGCTTGCGGATTGAAAGGTCCCGGGTTCGAATCTGGTCAAGGGCATATACCTTAGTTGAGGGCACATCTTCAGTGGGGGGTGAGCAAGAGGCAGCTAATCAATGATTCTCTCTCATCGAGGTTTCTAACTCTTTATCCCTCTCTCTTCCTCTCTGTAAAAAAATCAATAAAATATATATTTAAAAAAATAAAAGGACCTCTTTGATAGTAAAAATTCATAGAAACCTCTGTAGATCTGTGTTTGTCCCGGGGGCCTAGAAAAAAACAGGATTCTCACATTCCCTCTCCCCAGTCATGGGCGTTAGCATCCAGTTGCTTAGCAAGAGAGGAAATGAATCTGGAGCTCAGGAGATGGAGGAAGTGGGAGCCCTTTCTGTTGTGGAGGGAAATGTGGACTAGTTTCTTTACTTCCAAAACTCATTACACATTCGGTATCTTATGAATCAAATAAACTGTTAGGAACTTGCGGTAAGGCAAACTGCCATAATGTTACTTTTACACATTCATTTAACAAATACTTACTTGGAGCTTAATTTGAACCAGGCATGAACTAGACTTGAGGGAAGCATAGCAACAAATAAGCTAGGCCATGAGCCGTCTTTATGGAGCCTTTCAAAGAAAATCTGTTTTGGCTTACCATCAGACTTACTGGAAATAAAAAACCTTTTTAAATTGAAGGATACCGATTTTTTCCTAGAAGAAAGTAGAACATAGAGGAAACATCAAGCTTTTTAACAGCTACGTGAAGGGGTTTTTTTTTGTTGTTTGTTTTCTCTTTTTCTTTTTTTAATCCTTATTCAAGGATAGTTTTTCCGTTGACTTTTAGAGAGAGTGGAAAAAAGAGAGGGAGAAGGGAAGGAGAGAAGAGACACACCAATTAGTTGCCTCCCACACTCTCCAACTGGGGCCAGGGATGGAACCTGTTAGCAACCCAGGTACATGCCCTTGACTGGGAATCAAGCCTGGGATAATGCTCTAATCATTTAAGCACACCAGTCAGAGGTTTTAAATTGAATTTATTGGGGTGACATTGGTTAACAAAAGTTTACGGGTTTCAGATGCACAGTTCTACAACACATCATCTGTACTTAGTTGTGTGTTCTCTACTTCAAGTCAGGTCTCTCCGTCAGCCTTTACCCTCCCCTCTCGCATACCCTCCTCCAATTTTGAGGAAGATAATCAGGAATTGGAAAGACAATTTTGAATTTTAGTTTTAACATTTATTCAAAGATAGTGAAAGTGATACTAAGCACTTTATTCGTTCAACAAGTACTCACCATGTGTCTCCTAGATGACAAGATTGCTCTGTGCCTGGAATACAGCAGGATAGACCTGCCCACATGGACGGCTTATGGATTAGCTTTACAAGTTCTTTTGTTTGAAGACGTTAGATGAACAATGATAGCATTCACTAAAAGCTCCTATAGCTCTTTGAAAACGGTTTTCTAAAATCTACTTTTTCCGACTGTTAATTGATATATTTTCTTCCTGGTCACGGTGTCACAAAATTAATATTCACTAATAAGATGGTCTTTGTCCATCTATAATTTCATTTACTATTTTTAAATGCTGATTGATAGGGTATGGAAGAAAAGTAAAATAAAGAAAAATTTGAAATGTTTTCCTAAATGATGCATTCTAAAGAAAGCTGGGTGCATAACAAGGTAAAAGTCTTAAAACAACCAGTTTTAAATATTGTTTTCTATAGTTTTATGAATTGGAACAGTTATTACAAGAGGGAGATGTTCAATGCTTTTTGATGTTATAGTTTTACTAATTACATTATATCACTTTAGGGGTTTAACAGTAATGTTTGAAATCATGAAAACTTACGGCCACACTTACGAAAAGCACTGGTGGCAGGATTTATTTAGAATTGTGTTCAGAATCTTTGACAACATGAAATTGCCAGAACAGCAGACAGAGGTAAGACATGAAATGTTCATTTAATATAGTCAAGTCAAGAGGTTCTTAATATTTTTTAATTTTTTGTTTTGTTTTGTTTTGTTTTTTTATTGATATTTTACAGAGAGGAAGGGAGAGAGATAGAGAGCTGGAAACTTCGATGAGAGAGAAACATCGACCAGCTGCCTCTTGCATACCCCCCATCGGGGATATGCCCACAACCAATGTATATGCCCTTGACCGGAATCGAACCTGGGACCTTTTAGTCTGCAGACCGATGCTCTACCACTGAGCCAAACCAGTTCCGTCTTTTTCTAATATATTTTAATATTTTATATTAAACACATTAAACAGAAAAAAATTCCCAGAGAAATTTTCTTTAAGGCATTATAATAAACTAGAGGCCCACCGTGTGATTGAAATTGTATGAGGAGGTCCCTTGCCTCCCAAAGTGCAAGGAGGCACCCCACAGGGGGCCGGGACCCACACCTGATAAGCCTCATCCCCCAGCCTCCCTGCCTGTGTCAGCTCTGGGGCTGTACGAGCCACTGAGCAACCTCCTCCTGTCTGGTCATTATTCGTTACAAAGTCCCGGCCTAATTCTAGAGGCCTGGTACACAAAATTCGTGGGGGTGGGGGGTCAGTGTCCCTTAGTCCAGCCTGCATCCTCTTCAATCTGGACCCCTTAAGGGATGTTTGACTGCCTGTTTTGGCAGGCAGTTGGACATTTCTCTCACAATCCAGGACTGCTGGCTCCCCACTGCTCACCTGCCTCTGCCTGATTGCTCCTAACCACTTCTGCCTGCCAGCCTGATCACCCCTTAACTACTCTCCTGCCAGCCTGATTGCCTAACAGCTTCCTGAATGGCCCAATTGCCTCTAACTGCCCTCCCCTGCCAGCCTGGTTGCCCCTAACTGCCCTCTCCTGCAGGCCTGGATCCCCCACAACTGCCCTCCACTGCAGACCTGGTCCCCCCCCAGTTGCCCTCCCTTGCAGGCCTGGGTCCCTCTCAACTGCCTTCCTCTGCTGGCCTGGTCACCCCTAACTGCCCACAACTGCCCTTCCCTGCAGGCCATCTTGTGGCAGCCATCTTGTGTCTTGGAATGATGGTCAATTTGCATATTACTCTTTTATAAGATAGAATATATATACATATATATATATATATATATATAGAGAGAGAGAGAGAGAGAGAGAGAGAGAGAGAGAGAGAGAGAGAGAGAGAGAGAGACACACACACACACAGACACGGGGTAGGGAGGAGGGGAGATATTGTATGCCTTTATAAACAAGAACACTACTTGGGGATAGGACTGAGTTAATGAATTGGTGGGATTTTGTTGTTTTGTTTTTTATTTTTATTCAACTTCCAGTTTCTTTTTCTCACTTTAATATTGTCACAATTATAAACACCAGTAACTTTCTTTAGTATTCATAGTGACTTCTCATAACAGAATCCTTTAGTATTCATACTGAATTAAAGACTACATGGTAATAAATAGACATATGTTTGCACTGCCTCAAAACTATGTTTGAAAACGTCAGTTCAGGTTAATCCATTATGTATTTGAGAAAAACACTTACTTTATATGGCCCTATTTGTCTTTTATAGTGTTTTTAAATAACTGTACTTCGTGAAAGTTAATTTAAAATATATAGTGATCCCACTTGGATAAATTCTTACCCTTCCTCTTTATTTCTCTTTCAAGTTCGGTCATATGCTGGAGCAAGGCCTGCTGTTTATTCATGCATATTGTTTGAAAAGTCATAATGCTAAAAGCAAGAAAATGCTGTGATAGTTCTTCACAATCAAAACAATGCAAAAAAATAGTTAAATTAGTTTATACATAGGGGTTATGGGATAATGGAGAAAAATAGATTTAAGTGAGGTGAATGTAATGTTCTGGGGGAAGTAAAGATCTGAAGGGAGCAGGGATAGGCTTACATTTTGCACGTGCAAACCTCTCTTTTTTAATTCTAGTAATTGATGAATGGTCTGACTCTCCCTTCCTCTCTCCCACCCCCAGAAAGCTGAGTGGATGACAACGACCTGCAATCATGCCCTTTATGCCATCTGTGACGTGTTCACTCAGTATTTGGAGGTGCTCAGTGACGTGCTTTTGGATGATATTTTTGCCCAGCTGTACTGGTGTGTGCAGCAAGGTATGTCTGTGCCAGATGGCGACACAAGGTGTTAAATTGGACCCTGGTGATATACAAATGAATTGTTCTTTTCTTTTCTAGACAATGAGCAGTTGGCACGATCTGGTACAAACTGCTTAGAGAATGTTGTTATCCTGAATGGGGAAAAATTTACCCTAGAAATCTGGGATAAAACTTGTAACTGCACACTGGATATCTTCAAAACTACAATCCCACATGCGTAAGATGATTTTATACAACTGTATATACTGAATGATGGACATAAAAGGTTTGATAGTAACTTGTGGTTTCTCATAACAGAATCCTTTTTCAAACATCTCATTGGTCCTTGAATTTTTATTTATTACAAATCCAACTCCTATAAACTATAACAAATACATGAATTAAATTGCTTATAAACCAAAACCTTTACTCTGATCATCCAAAAATGGGGTCATATTGAAGTGATTTCACTTTTATAAGAATTTATTCAGACTAAACCAAGCCATTGTCTTGAATTAAAACAACAATAATATATATTTCAATTATTGTAGACTTAATAACGTTAGGAAGATTTATTTGCACCTATCACATTTTACAGTTAATTTTCATCTCTTTTTAGGGGGTAAATTTGGCATTGAATTGTAGTGAAGGAGTTTCTATCCACGGGGAAACTAAGCTAGAGTCTGCCTAATGGCTGATGCCCTTGGACCTCGTGCCAGGCAGACCTGGAACCTACTTCCCGATCCCTACGGCCCTTAGGCATGCACTGAGCTTCACCCTTACATCTACAATATATAAACCTACTTAGAGGTTTTAAATGTTACCTAAAACATCTTATTAAGTAGGTATATATGAATGCACTGGCATAAAACTATGTGCAAAACTTTCAGTCCACATTTTTAAGTATCATAAACTTTTTCTTGACATGAATTAAATATGTACTGGTATGATCGCCTTGTAAATATCCTCATCTCTAGGAAATATAAAGTCAAACGAGGAATACACCCCTAGGAAATAACGGGGTAGGACTACACCAAAGGACACACAGTAATTACCTTTGCCTATGTATAATTATTTGACAGTTTTTACTTTTTGGTGCACATTTTGTTGGATCAATGTAACTGACAAATGGTAGATTTTTTCAGTTTTTCTATAGCCGCTAATGTATGAATTCTTAGCTGTTGTCCCTGTGAAGTCTTTATAAAAAACAGTTGGGCTGAATTTTTAAAAAAAATTTTTAAAAATATCTATTTATTGATTTTTTTTTTTTTTAAGAGAGAGAGAGGAATGGAGAAAGATAGAGAGATAGAAGCATGATGAGAGAGAAACATTGATCGGCTGCCTCCTGCATGCCTCACACAGGAGGATCTATCCTGCAACCCAGATATGTGCCCTAACCAGGATTTGAACCAGTGATCTCTTGGTTTGCAGGTCGATCTCAACCACTGAGCACACCAGCCAGGCTGAATTTCTTTTTTAAAGAACTGCTTCTGCTTTAATTCATTGAATGTACACATTCTAGATATAAGATGCATGTTCTTAAAGATCATCTAATTATGTTAACTACTAATTGTTTTTCTGGAAATACATATTTTAAACCTCTCACTAGAATTTTTTTTTTTTCTTTTCAGCAAATTGCTTTTAACAGTAGTTAAAGAAGGAATATACTGTTTTTGGTGTATATGTGACTTTTTTGTGCCCATTTCAAAATATGTTGGATGCAACATGTTTTACACTGTGATTGATGGTGTGATTTTGGTATTTTAAAGGCTTCTGACATGGCGTCCCACTTCCGGAGAAACTGTTCCCCTGCCTTCTTCTCCTGTGAATGAAAAACAATTGGTAAGTTCTAATAAATAAAGCGTATTTTAAATTATTTAATTATTTGTGAAAAGTAATTATACTATGGACCAAATTCTTTTGTATGACCTTTTGTCCTTTAAAAAGAAGGCATAAATCTACTATCCAGAATTCTCAGGTTAAATTTCATCATGGTCAATTTCCCAAGTAGCTAAAATTTATCTCTCTTCAGTGCCATACAGGCAGTATTTTAAATTATTTTATAAGATGAGACATAGAGTAAAATGACTTCAAGAGTTGTAAGAGGCAGGCACCAGATTTTGCATGAATTTCCATGCCAAGCTGAAGATATTATTGGATATATCATTTAAACTTTTAATATAATTTGACCTTAAAGCAAAGTTGCAAAACCAGTACAAAGAATTCTGATATGCCCTTCATCCATTGTATTTATTTGCCTAGGACTGATGTAACATTACCACAAACTTAAGTGGCTTAAAACAACAGAAATTGATTCTCTCATAGTCCTGGAGGCAAAAAGTCCAAAATCCCGGCATCTGCAGAGCCAACTCCCTTCAAAGCCTTTGAGGGAGAATCCTTTTTTGCTTCTCTCAGCTTCCAGTGGCTGCTGGCAACTCTTGGCATTCCTTGGCTTGTATACACATCACTCCAGTTCTTCCAGCATTTTTTGAACCAGGTTTGGTATATGTTATCCCCGTTTTATACTAGTACAGAACAGTGAATAAAAGATCATGAACTGCAGATCATAAACATAAGTCCAAGTTAAAATACTATTTTGATTAATACTATTTGGGGGAACACAGACCCCTGTGTTCCTTTCAGAAACCCCAGTGAAGCAGCTGGGATTGTTAGGACAATCTACACTGACAAAAGAGAAACATGCAAATTAATCATCACTCTGCTACACCTACCAGTCCATCAGAGCAAGTATGCAAATTAACCCAACAAAGATGGTTAATTTGCATACACAGGCACAGATGGCAGAGCAGACTGAGAACAGTGTACAAGGAAGAGGGCGGGTGAGCACAGGGAGTTGGATGTGGGGGCAGTGGTTGCGAGAGGGGGAAGCCCTCCTTGGTGGGCTTCGCTGCCTTCTCTGCTTGGCTCAGGCCGCGGGAAGTCTATTCTTGCAGGAATCTTCCGGTAACAGGCCTCTAGCAGTTTATAATAGGCCATAGTCTGACTCGCTGAGTGCATTGTATTGCTATCACTCCATATATTGCCTGACATGCATTGGTGCTTTGAACTTATTGTCTAATCCGTAGATAATAACAACCCATATAGGGATAAATCAGAATGGGGATTAATTCTTTGCTTTTTCAATGTTACACTTAGTAACTCTGGGGCGAAATCCTGTGTAGCTCTGTTGGACTTGAATGTTCAGCTTCTCTTCATGACACCTCACTCCTAGTTGGTCCCCTCTCATCGACCTCTGGTTGTGGGTTCCTTGGGTGACAAAACATCCTTCCCTAAAATTCATCCCTAAAAAGCTTGCCTGAGCTGAGCATGCATAGCCTGGCTCAGATTTCTGAGCCTGCAGAAATCTCTGGTTAGATTTCAGGACAGTTCCTGAGTGTTGTTGACTACTTTTCCCACACAGTGAACTTAGCATTTTTATCTCTTGCTCTTGGGTAGTGTCAGGCCTAAGCCTGGCGGTCAGAAGGGAAGCTTTTCACTTAAAGACTATTGGCTCTGTCAATGGACAGGTAATTTTAAATAATTTTCTATCATTACATCTATAATTGCAATGTGTAGAATGTCATTTTCATAGGGACACGGTCTTTAAAAAAACCCCAGCATAATAGAAACTATTTTCATTTCATCTTATTTTTTATTAAGGTATTACATATGTCTTTATCCTTCCATTGCCCCCCACCGAATTCCCATTTATGCCCTCATGCCCCTGGTGTCTTTGTCCATTGGTTATGCTTATACGCATGCATACAAGTCGTTTAGTTGACCTGTAACCCTTACCCCCACCCTCCCCTACCTTCCTTCTGAGGTTTGAGCATCTGATTGATACCTCTCTGTATCTGGATCTGTTTTTGTTCATCAGTTTATGTTGTTCATTATAATCTGTAAATGAGTGAGATCATGTGATATCTATCTGTCTCTGACTGGTTTATTTCACTTAGCATAATGCTCTCCAGCTTCATCCATGCTGTTTTTATTCTTAAGCTTTATTCATTGTATTTATAATGATTTTTTTTTTATTTTGTTAGGATACAATATCACAGAAATCTGTAGATATCCATGACTCTGTTCAACCAAGATCTGCAGATAATAGACAGCAAGCAACATTGACTTCTGTCTCTACTGTGAATGAAGAAGCCAACAAACTTAAACCTTCAGCAAGTGAGTTATTTATACTCTTAGTAAAACTAAGTTGTGTATGTTGTTTGATGTAGAAAAGGAATGAAATTTGCTTGCACTTTTATTTCTAACAAATATTCTGTAACTGATTGTATGGTCACTTCATTACTATGTTTGCTCCAACCAGCACCCCCAGTATAGTTAGATACTCCCTTGAGGAGGATCAGGAACTCTGCTAACACCTGCAGTACCAGCTAGTGTTTGTGTTGAGCCTACGAGTCTTCCCTCTCATCCCCTTCTTCATGTCAGCCCCATTGTTTTCCTGCAATCGCGGGGCCTGACGGGCCCTCCCCTACCCATCTACGGGGGAGACTGTGAGGGTCAGTGCTGCCAAAGCTGGAGCTCCGTACTGAGGAGCGAGCCCTCCTTATGCCCTGCTGCCCCACCCCCATGTCATCCCCACTCCTCTCCTCCCCTTCTCAGTTCTATTTTTACAAAACAGGCTAAATTTTGTTTACTAAAGGAAAATTGTAACATTGAGGAAAGACTGCCTCCTCCCCAGAGGAAAATAGGACAGCTTTAAAAATCGCTCTTTAAAATTGAGATGAAATTCACATAACGAAAGTAACCTATTGAAAGTGAACTATTCATTGTCATTTGGTAAATTCACAATGGTGTGCAGTTGCCGCTTTATCTATTTCCAAAACATTTTTTTATCCCAAAAGACAACCCCATAACCATTATGCTTTTCCTTCCTATTTTCCCATTCCTCAGCCCCTGGCAACCATCATTCTGATCTGTGTCTATGGATTTGCTATTCTGCACATTTCATGTAAATGGGATAATTCAGTATGTGACCTTTTGTGTCTGGCTTTTATCTAGCATAATGTGTCAAGGTCCAGCCACATTGTAAAGCGGATCAGTGATTTTTTTTTTTTTATGACGGAGTAATTGTCATTTTTATGGATGTGCCACGTTATCTATCCATTCATCTGTTGGTGGCATTTGAGTTTATTCTACCGTTTGGTTATCATGAATAAGGCTGCTATGACTGTCCGCTTACAAGTGCTATTTCGTACCTGTTTTAATTCTTTTGCGTAGGAACCTAGGAGTAGAATTGCTGGGTCATATGATAATTGTATATTTAACTTTTTGAGGAACCTCTGAAATACGTTCCATAGTGGCTGTACCATTTTACATTCCCACCAGCAATTCCAATTTTTCCTCATCTTCACTAACATTACTTCTTTTTTTAGTATAGCCATCCTAGTGGGTGTGACGTGGTAGCTCATTGTGGATTTTATTTGCATTTCCTTAATGATTGATAATGTCAAGTAGTGTCTTTTCATGTGCTCATTGGCCATTTGTTTATCTTTTTTGGAGAAATATCTATTCGGGTCCTTGGCTTATTTTTAGTTGGGCTGTTTTTCGTTTTGTTTTTTTAATTGTAGGAGTTTGCTGCATGCTCTGAATACTACCCCCATATCTGATATATGATTTGCATTTTCTCCCATTCTCTAGGTCATTTTTTCACTTCTTTGATAATGTCTTCTGTTACACAAAAGCTTTGATAAAGTCTAATTTATCTTTTTCTTTTGTTGCTCATGTTTTTAGTGTCATAGCTAAGAATCCATTAATAAGTCATGAAGATTTTCCCTAATGTTTTCTGCTAAGAGTTTTATACTTTTTAAACTCTTATATATAGATCACTGATCCATTTTTTAAAGTATATTTTTTAAAATATATTTTTATTGAATTTTTATAGAGAGGAAGAGAGGGATAGAGAGCTAGAAACATCGATGAGAGAGAATCATCGATCAGCCACCTCTTGCACACCCCCAACTGGGGATATGCCCGCAACCAAGGTACATGCCCTTGACCAGAATCGAACCCGGGACCTTTCAGTCCATAGGCTGACGCTCTATTCACTGAGCCAAACTGGTCTCGGCTTAAAGTATATTTTTATTGATTTTAGAGGAAGGGAGAGGGATAGAGAGATAGAAACATCGATGAGAGACAACATCAATTGGCTGCCTCCTGAACTCCCCCTACTGAGGATTGAGCCCGCCACCTGCGTGTGTGTCCTGGTTCCTGGGTCAACGCTCAACCACTGAGCCACATCAGCTGGGCTATTCTTATATTATTATTCTTGTATTATATATTTTCCTATACAAACAAGTATAAACCTACTTTTGCAACTCTTACTAGAATATATTACCATCAAAGGAGGAGGACAAAGGGAAAGCCCACCTAAATGTCTGAGTTCCTTTGTTTTCTTTTTCATAAAATGCCCTAAAAATATTTAAGTGATTATTTTGCTTTCAAAATATCAGGCAGCAATTGTCAGACAGAAACCACCATTGCCATGAACCAGAAGGTCAGTGAAATGGAAAGTTTCTCTAATGAATAGACATCGTCCTGTTGACCAAATTTGTTCAGGCTAGAGGGACGTAGCTATGTTCCAGTTCACCTGGGCACTATGAAAACACTCTGTTACTTCATGATTTGGTTACTTTTGTAGTAACACACTCAGCATAACTTTTTATAGGTTTCTTTGCTTATGGATCCATTTGAAGATATAAGGTCATTTGAGCTACAACTTCTAACATGGTTCCAAATAAAACATACACTATGGTTAATCCACAATATTCCCCCATTTTTCAAAATTCTTGGCTTTCTTTCTTACTTCCTGTCTAACAAGTCTAGTTCATGTTGTTTTTCTTTTGGTGTAGGTTTGTACATTAACTATATTCAAAGGCCAAACTTGTGTTTACAGTAAACATTTAAGTTTTAGCTTTTAATTCATTGTTATATTTTGTTAAAAAAAAAAATAAGCTACATTTTATTTTAAAAATTAATGTTTTCTAAATATTGATTAAACTTTTTGCTGAATAGTGCTTATGTGCAAAAACAGTAAGTATGTCCTTCTCACTGTGGTATGTGCAAGTTACCTTCATACATATTGTGTCCCCTTAGCATTGTTATATCATAGAAATGATAAAGGATTCGAAATAATTTTTGTTTGCATGTGCATTGGGGTGGGTTTCCTCACAGAATATCCAGAACAAAAACTGTTTGCTGCCCTGTTGATTAAATGTGTTGTGCAGCTGGAACTCATCCAGACTATAGACAACATTGTGTTCTTCCCCGCTACAAGCAGGAAGGAGGACGCGGAGAACTTAGCTGCAGCCCAGGTGAGGAGCGGAGACAGTCTGGGATTCAGAGCTGAGGTGGAGCTAGAGATGTAATTTGAGGGTGGGGGTAGGTCTTTATCACATTGATCTCATTATAAACTATGATACTGGATGCCATGACCCAGGTAGGGTGTGGTCAGGGACTGAGCCCTGGAGGCCTCCATGGTTTAGCTCCTGGTGAGGCAGTTGGTAAAGAGCCAGAGACCAAGAACCAGGAGACCTGGAAGCCAAGCGCAGAAGTGTCTTAGGAAGAAGTCCTAAGTTCTGTCCAATTCTCAGAAGGTCAAATAATTTTGTGTCTGAGAATTGCCCTCTAGAGATTTGGTGGACTTTAGTAACCTTGACATTTGTGTTTAATTGTGGTAATATTATACTGGGTACAAGAGAAGAGAGCAATTGAAGACAAATATTGGAAACTCTAGGGGTACAGAGAAATGGGGTAATAGCTGGAGGAGAATGATGGGGTCAATAAAAGGTGTCTTTAGGATAAGCAGTATTGCAGCATGTCCTCTGATGAGAGCTCTGGGAGAGAGAAGCCAAGTGCAGACGAGAGAGGGCCAGCTGCTGGAGGTGGGCCCTCGGGCCAACTCCCCGGGGTTGTCTCGGTTAGAAGCAGACAGCTCATGCATTGTAACAGGAATGCAAGTGAAGTGGACGGGCTCTATGTAAATGTATGAAGGCCGGTGGGAGTTTGTGGAGATCTGCTAGCGCTGGTTTCTCATTTAGATAGGAAGAAAAGCCACCCACCAAGTGAGTTTGGGAGGAAGGCTTTAGCTACTTGAGAGAAGGAAAACAGGAGTTAGTGTCCAGGGGAATGGACGAGGGAAGTGCCAGAGGATTGCTGGGCAGCATCCAGATTTAATCCATCATCCACTGGATTTAAAGATAAGTCAGTGCGTTTCTCTCCAGTTAGGTTTAGCATGTGGGAGCAGATATGGAGTAGGCAGCTTTCCAAACAGTTACTGTAAAGGGGTTGTGCAAGGGAATATTTATAATCACATGGGTGTGATATTTCTAATCACCTGGTGAAGAGCCGCGAGGACCTGCAGGGGGAGGAACGGGGAAGGGCCGGGAGAATGGCGGTTGGGCCTAGTATGCGCAGAGCTCTTGAATTAGGAGGATAGAGCTTGGGGACGAGGGTGCATGCAATGAAGATTCTGGAAATCGAGTAACAAAAGATGGACCTTTCCCTACCTTACGTTGAGATAGAACAGATGAGGTTCTGGGACTTGCTTGTGAATCTAGTCTTTGGGAAGCATTGATTTCTAAAATCTGTGACTCTGCGTGCACACCTATGCTGGTTTATCTCCCAAAGAGAGATGCCGTGGACTTTGATGTTCGAGTTGATACTCAAGACCAAGGGATGTACCGCTTTTTAACATCACAACAGCTTTTTAAGCTACTGGACTGCTTATTAGAGTCACATCGATTTGCAAAAGCATTTAATTCCAACAATGAACAGAGGACGGCTCTGTGGAAAGCAGGTAAGCTGCACAGTCCCACATCTGCTGTTCACTGTTCAAGAATGTACAGCAGATACTAACATTGCTCAGAACTCACTGTTTAAACTTCCACCTTAACAACTATAATAGGAAGGCAGTCTACCAGCCAGGTCTGCCAGGTCTTCAGTAGATTAAGTAACTGCCTGGGTATATTTGTTTCCCCTTGTTTAATCGACCTTTATTTGACTGATCTGACCAGTCTTTCATCTTGTTTCCCAGCGTGGGCCTTCCTATTGACCCTGTCAGCACACTGCACTATGCCCTTTCATGAGAAACATATGTATTCAGATGACTTCTCCATATTGACCTGGGCATGACCGAATCTCAGAATGAAAGTAAATGGTTAAAACTGGGAGGCATATTTGTTTTAGAACATGTTGGAAATTTTTTCTTTAAATCCGTTATTGCTGAAAGTATTACGTTTCCTCTTTCCCCCATTGACCTCTCCTGCGCCCACTCCCCCCATAAGTTTTATAATTTACTGACATTGCCAATTTTTTATTTAAGAAATAGTTCATCAGAGCCTATTTGATAGTGCTTGGGGACTAGGGTGCATGCAATGAAGCGGGGGCAGCCGAAATCTGGCAGGAAAAGGTGACGTTTACTGAATGTCCACCTCTGTCAGGAGGGATGTGGTTGCTTTATATTTGATTTTCTATGTCATCTGGAATGTCTGGCTGCTGATGAAGCCCTGGCTCTGTCCGTCCTCTTCTCCTTGCCCCACAACTGCAGGAAAGAGTGCTCTGGCCTTGCTTTTTGCCCTTCAACCCAACTTGTTGGCACCATTCTACTGGGCCCGCTCCCGTCAGGTCACCCGGCCCGTTTCCACATGCACTCGGCCTCGTGCCGGGGCCTTGGAAACAGCCCCTGCCGTCTGCTCTGTCCCCGGAGCCCTGCGCTGCACGGGGCCTCCAGGCACAGTGTCACTGGGAGAGTTCCGCTTTCCCAGGCCAGGGCAGTCTTCTGTCTTGTGTCCCAGCTTGAGAGGGGAGGAAATTCTAAGCACAGTCACTACCTTCACATCAGGCCTTCAGCCAGGCATGGTCTCCACTTTCCCGTGTGACTTCTGTCCATGGGCCACCTCCAGAGAGCAAGGCTCTGGGCACTCCTGCTGTGGCTCAGGTGGATGTGATGGCTGAGCACACGGAAAGTGTGGCCATCCAGGTCGCTGTACCTTAATGTAAGATACTCTCCCGATTCATCCCGAAACGTCCTCTCTCTGCAGGCTTTAAAGGCAAATCCAAACCCAACCTCCTGAAGCAGGAGACGAGCAGCCTGGCCTGTGGGCTGCGCATTCTCTTCCGGATGTACATGGACGAGAGCCGGGTCAGCGCCTGGGAGGAGGTCCAGCAAAGGCTTCTCAAGTAAGACGTGGCTGAGTTTCCACCTCCCCCCTGGGCGGCTAATGGGACAGAGCAGGGAAGGGCCACCTGGTGCGCATGTGGGCGGAGTCCACGGCCAACCCCACAGTTAGGAGCTGCAGGACACCAGGGCAGAGATTGCAATGCAGTCTGAGAGGAGAAGGTGCTTCTGCACAATTGGTGACATGAATAAGTCCTGTGTATTGTTCCTGTTACAGAACCAAGGAGAAAGTTTTATGTCTTAAAATTTTTACAACTTTATATTCTAGTTTTTAGGTTTTTTTGTGTCAGAGCTCATTTTCAAACCAATCATTTGTGAAAGGGAGAACCTGTCTGCACTTCATTTGAAAAAAATATTTGGAGGGTTTTTTGTTTCTTTTGTGTTACTATTTTTTTTTATATATTCTATTTTTATTTAATGACTAAATATTGTCTTTTAACATTTCAACTCATACTAAGGCTAAACATCCTGAACGACTACCGTCATCTGAATAGTATTTTTGTGTTTTGGGGGAACAGAGGGTCTCAGCGACCAGTTAGACGTTTTCAAACTCTATAAAAAGGTCCCCAATAATCACATACTCGCTACCCTCCATGTCTTTGTTGTGTTGCTCGGTGAGTGTGCAACAGGTGGATGAGCACGTGTAAGAGGGAACCTTTTGTGTTGCAGTGTGTGCAGTGAAGCACTGAGTTACTTCCTTACTCTGACATCGGAGAGTCATCGGGAGGCTTGGACTAACTTACTGCTCTTGTTTCTGACCAAAGTCCTGAAGATAAGCGATACCAGGGTGAGTGTGAGTTTGCGTATCCAGCCAGCATTTCTGGCTTAATAGAGTCCAAGTGCATCAACTGCAAACTCTGAATATGAGTTGTATGATCTTTGCTTGGAGACTGTATACTTTACATTGCAATGTTAGGTAGAATTTCCCCAGAAAATTAAAATTTTACTTAACGAATATAAGATGGTTTCAACGACTAATACATGGCTTACAGAACACACATGCAGTCTGAGAGAAGGTGCTTCTGCACAATTGGGGACACATGAGTGAGTCCTGTGGATTGTTCCTGTTACAGGACCAAGGAGAAAGTTTTACCACTTAACATTTTTACAACTTTATGTTCTAGTTATAAAATTAGGCCGTGGTTCCTGCTGGGCCTGAGCCTCCTTTTATTACCTGATAAATACTAAAAGTTTGTCAAGGAAATATCAATAAAATAAGATAGAAATTAAGTAAATTATATGCATGAAGTGAGTCTTGGAAACCTCTGGTCTTTCAGTTCCATAATCAGTACATCACTGCTTCACGCAGACACTGTCTCCATGGTCATTGACCCAATGACTTGTCTCTAAAGGGAGTTTTAGGTGGTGGTTTCGAAAGCAAGCACTACTAATGGAGAAATTCATTTTTCCTCCCAGTTCAAAGCTCACGCATCATTCTACTACCCTCTCTTATGTGAAATTATGCAGTTTGACTTGATTCCTGAACTTCGTGCTGTTCTTAGAAGATTTTTTCTGCGAATCGGAGTGGTTTTTCAGATTTCACAACCACCTGACCAGGAACTTGGAATAAACAAGCAGTGATGGGAACTTAGTATCTTTCTCTTGGCGTTTACATCCCTCCGCTCTTTAAAAAGACCCTGGAGCTGAGAGTTCCTCCCTGAAGAATGGTTTCTGTGAATTTCAGTGTCTAAGGGTTACTGACTGGGAAAGTGCTTAGAACTACAACTCAGTCTTGCAGCGCTCCAGTCCCTCTCGTGATGGGCCGTGTGTGTCATGTTGAGCAGAAAGCCCGTTTCCACGGTGTCAGCCATGCTCACGGGTCCTTCCCTGTCCTCAGTGGCAGGGAGAGCCCCACGTATTCTTGGCAGGCGTGGAAGAGAAACTTACCCAAAGAACTATAGATGTAAAGATTTTGAACTTCTGTAGGAAGTACAACTCAGGAGAGCTGTGTATTGGAGGATAAAATGTTTATAATTGGGGAGTGGGGGAGAAGAAATCATTGTTCATGGTAAAAGATATTAGCGACTATGGCATTCTCACTCTGAATTTCTGCACACTCAGACTGAGATACTGCTGATCATCCTTCTGTGAGAAATGTACAGAGACGCAGGTCTGTAATATAAAATCTTAAACATGATATAGTTCTTGCACTGTTTTCTTTATTTTCTTATTCATTTGCTAAATACCTATACTATTTTGTCAAATGCACTAAAAACTTGGGTTGAACTTTTGTCTTTTTATTTTGTGGGGATTTTGGTTTTGCCCTTTACGGAGGGTTGGTTAACTTTGAAGATTTAACATGCCCAGAAGCTATTGTGGCCGATACTTGTAATGATCAACAACAACAAAGAGTAAAAATATCCCTACTGACATAACTACCTGTAATATACTTCTCTTAGGGCTTTTAAAGATGAGCCATTAAAATAGAATGATCCTTCATGGACTGAACTTGAATCATTGCAAAATGAATCTAGGCTGCTGTCACTTTTTCTTTTGGGTGGCGGGGCTTGTTGTAGATTTTATTCTGTGTACAGAACTTAATGTTGAATATATTAAAATAATTCTGGCATGGTTTGGGGAGGTTAGATTTACTGGAAATGTATTCATACTGTGAATTGTGCTCTGATGGTTAAAAATTACAAGATTGTCAAGCATTCCGTATTAACAGTGGATGTAGAAATTTTTTCAGATGGATAAAATGTATATGGTACAGATGTAAAGTTTTCTATGTAAAAAATTCTGTACAACTTTCTGTACAATATTGATTCTCATCAGGCATATTCTAATCAGGTTATAGGTCAATAAAGTTTTTGGATTATTTCATCAGTGCAATCAAACCTGAGTAATCCACAGCCCCATGTTTCATTGTTTTTTTTTGTTTGTTTGTTTTTTGAAAAGCAAATAACTAGGAAAAGGCTATTTTCTGCCAGAACTACAATTCAATATTCTTTAGTTCTAAAGTTTTCTTTCTAGCTTCTGGCATTAGATTATCCCCCATACCCTGCTTTCTCAGTCATAGGATATTAGTAATTTAATATTTTGTATATTAATAACCCAGGATAACGCTACAGTATTTGAGTAGAGAAAAGACACAGTAAAGTTTCCTTCGGGGCAGTTGTGTGATGCAGCGGCATTAACGAGGAAAACAGTGGGTCAAGACCATTTAGTTTTAAGGTTGTGCTGAAAAACAGGTACGTGTTCAGCCTCTGTTCTCACACCTCCCTCTTAGACAGCGAGTAGTCACTGAGCTATGCACTGGTAAGTGAACAGTCTGGATCACCCCCAGGACGGAGCCTGTTCCAGCCCAGCTGGACATCACCCACCTGGGCTATCTGGGAGCCGCCGTGACCTTCCAGTCTGTCTGACAGGTGAGTGTTGTTCCATGGTGTATAGTATCAAGCTTTCCCTAGAGGAGACAGAGGCCTTCATCTAGCTTTCAGATGAAGAAAAAAAACCACTGTAAAATAAACAGTGGTTAGATTACAAATCAAGTGTTAAGATTTACATGCAACTAAATTTCAAATTATGAGGTTCACTCCTTAGGTGAGCGTGTCTGATCTTGCCTGCCTTGCACTGTGTCAGTGGAAGGAAGTGGGAAGAAGCTGTGCCTGCACTGTTCTCTGGTAAGAACGCTACATTATCGTTTCTTAGAATTTAAATCTTTTTTAAAGGTACCTCTCATGAAGTGATTAGAAAGACTGAGTCACTTATTCAGGGTCCACAGAGGCACAGCGAGGATTCCAATCCGTCTTTAATCCAGGGTGTTCTGCCTCCACCTTCTAGGACGCCTTGTCTAGAAACTTCAATTCCAGTTAAGAAATGAACATTGGTAACAAAAATAATTTATTTCTATCAAGTAGTTAAATCATATAAATTAGTAAACTTAATCCCTTAATTGGCACAGAAATAGAGGCAGGAGGATGTAACATTTTAGTGCAAGGCTCGGGGAATAAAATCAATTATAACCCATCATTCATACTGAATCAGTTATAAATAACATGGAAATAATTTGATTCTCATTACGTAGCAACTGGAATAGTGACAGCTAATGTATTTACTAATGAATTATTTCAATAACAAGTGTACATGTAACAGGGTTTCCTGGTTTTACAAGATTGTTAACACACTTGTGTTTTATTCATTCTTCTTTACCACCGATAAGCGGAATTTACAATAATGCACGTATGGTAGTTGAGTTCATTACCACCCTGATTTATGGCAAAACTGAAAAAAAATAATAATTCTATATAACTCTACATTATATATAAATTAATCATGGCCTTTTATTTATGTACATAATATACATTATATACATCACCTTATACACAGATGACATTAGTAATTCCAGGTAGGAGTCCAAGTAGCACATATTATTAAAGGTTCAGAGTAAACACCCCTTTCACCTTCGAAGGCACTGCTGGTCCAACACAGGTTTATTTAGCCGTGTGCAGTAGACAGGCCCTGCCAAGGGACAGCGCCTGGCTTTCCCGGAACCTGCTGCTGCTCTTGGTCCAGCTGCTCTGCCATGAACTGTTTCAGCGTCTCTGAGGTGCCCGGGCGGAGCCAGGGTTCAGTTGCTACGGAGTTTGATCCATCGTCACCCAAATGCCTCATGAAGTCATCAGGGTCAACCAGTGAGCTCTCGTCATCTAGAGGAAGCAGACACGTCCCTCAGGTGGGTACAGGCAGGGGTGGCCACAGATCTGCAGCTCTGCGTTTCTCCAGTTATGTTCTAAGCTTGTGGTTTTGGTCAGGTACCCCTTACTTTAGAGGCAGGAAAGCAAACCAGGGAGGGACCCAATTTTTTGAAAACAAAATGCAACTGAAAGTGACTCCATGATACCAACAGCAGAGCAGGCCACAGGAGTGTGGGCTATCTTGCTCTGTGTTACCTTCAACAAGGTTTTGGAATGTTCCCTGTGACACTGCTTTAAGGAAATGAAGCCACTTTAGGAAAGCACTAGACAGGACTGAAATGACTTCCACTCTACTAAGAGAGCTGTTCATTTGTGTTTCATTCTTTAATTGATTTGATAGTATTCAACTTCTACATCTATATTTTACTTACAAATATAATAGGAAAATCTGTCAATTTCTTTTTTTTTTTTTTTAATCTCCTGGTCAGTGAAGGAGTAGCCCAGCAAAGGGACCTGTGCAATCAATTTAATCCACATGGTACCAAAAAGCTCCTGTTTGGAAGGACAATGTTAAGACAGTTTAGGAATACCTTCCTAAAGAATAAATCCTTAAAATACTGTCTTCTCAATTTAAAAATATCCCTGTTAAATATTTCAACGTACTGCTTCTAAAAGGAATTGAGGAACAAGAAACTCACAAGTTAAAAGAAAATGTAAAAAGCACTGCTTTCCCACTGTTGCATGTTTTTCCAGGTCTGATACGAAAAGTACTCCTCCGTCAGTTTGCCATGTTTGCTGGTATTAGTTATGGAGTTACCATCAGAACACATGACAGCCTGACTGCTAGACAGAGTGTAGGAGTAGTTTTAAAAACTCGGTATTAAAGGTAAGATCTAAAAATATCTTAAGAAAACTGCTCAAATAGATCACTGTTTGCTAAAACTAAAAATACAGCAGGACTTACGTACTATAAAATCGTCCCAGTGTCCTAATGACACACTGAAAGGCGGTCCAGGCGGCAGAGGAGCGCCAGTTGCCTAAGGAACTGTGTCTTGCCTGCCTGTCACCAAGGCAACGGCAGCTGAGTCCAACAAATGAGATTAAACTCTGACTTAAAAAAGGAAATCATTAATGAGGCTACTTTGTGTCCACAGTACTGAAAGCCAAGTAAAAAGGTAAAATCGTTTTCTTTGTAACACTAATTTATAATGTGTGTGTAAAGTTTTAAAATTTCTGGTATTCTCTCACTTCAGTAAGGAAGCATTTTCCCTGCTGAAAGCAAAGCCTGCACATCTTTATAAGCAGAAGTTTTATCTGTTCAGGACCCACTCAGAAAAGGGTACCCTCTATGGTAGAAAGAATCTGATGCAAAATTAATCCGAGTACTAGTTTTGCAGGATAGTTTTAGAGGCCCCTTAGTTCAAAGGATTTCAAACTCATTGCATCAGTCCCCCAGCCATACGGGAAAGCGGCCATGTAAGCCTGTTAGTCTCCTTACAGAATCGGCTATAGGCCATTCAAGTTGGCCATTTACCTGTATTAATGGGTTTATTCTGGAGTTCATTCAGTCTTCGCATTCGTTCTTCATTTTTCACTCTAATCTGGTCAATGTTTATACTGGATACAGATTTCAAAGAGAGATCATCTGGTGGTACATTAGGAAGACTGTTATCCTGTAGTGAGAAAACAGAACTTCAGAAATGAAATGATCATTAACATGAAATATGTTCAGAATAGATAGGTGAATCAAAACATGTTCTTGCCCTTGATTAGTATACAGTGTGATGAACAAAACAAAATAAATGAAAAATCTAACATTTACATTCTAACTCATGTTTATCTATGCAGGCTCTGTTTGTGATAATAGAAATACTGCTACACTGGAGCACAGTTACCATATAACCCAACAACTCTATTCCCAGGCATACACGCATACGAGGTGAGTATCAAACAACTCGTACACAGATGTTAAAAGCAGTATTCATAACGGACAAGTGGAAACAACCTAAATGTCCATCAGGTGTTGATTAAAAATATAGACTATCCCTAAATTAAATTTTCATCAAAAAGGAATTAAGTCCTGACATACTATAATTTAAATGATCTGTGAAGGAAAAAAAAAGCCAGTCACAAATGATCATACTGCATGCTTTCCTTTGTGTGTCCAGAAAAGGTAAATGTGTAGATAAGTGATCAATAGGAAAATAAGTTACTGCCACCTGGTGGTAAAACTAGATATATATATAGATATAGATATAGATATATAGATATATAGATATATATAGATAGATCTATATATATAAATATATATCTATAGATGATATATATATATCTATAGATTTTATATATATATATATAATCTAATAACAGCATTTGTCATTTGGTCCAGGTTGTCTGCATGTTTTATGACCTGTGACCTTGGGCATGTTATCTGGCCCAAACAGATGTCTATATAAGAGGTTTTCCAATAAATGGTATCACTTGCTTTCTGTGCCGTCTCAGAATGCCTATATTCTGCGGGTGAAAGGAGGGAAGCTAGGGTGAGGAATTATTTATAGGGCAGAGATCCTGTGCCAAGTACTAGGCCTATACTTATAGCCACCCTAGGAGATAGGAAAATATTACTTCAAAGAAGCCAAGGCAATGAGTTCAATAACTTGCTCAGGGTCATCCAGCTATTTGGTGGTAGAGCCTAGATTCAGATCCATGTCCACCATATTACAGAGCAGTTCCCCTTATTTATTGGACCGCACCAATTCAGCATGGGCCGGAACCCAGGCCTCCCTCCTAAACGGGGGGAAGGAAAGGGCGGGGGGCATTCCATACATACAGAGGCCAGGCCTTTCAGTTTTCTCCTCCTGCGCTCCCGTGCAGAGGGCAGAAGAAGGGCGTCCTCCTCAAAGGCAGGATATGTCTCCCCATAGGCACCTGGAAGGACCACACGGGGAGAAGTACGTTTCAAATCTTTTCACTCCTCCAAACCAGGACTGTCTTATTAGCTTTAAATGTTCTTTACACACAATAAAATACACCCACTATAAATGTACATAGCTCGGTGGTTTTTACAGAATTGTGCAGCTTCGTCATAATCTAGTTTTAAAACATGTCACCTCAGAAAGTTCCCTGTGCTCGCTGCAATCACTCCCCACTCCTGCCTGCCCAGCCCAATGAAACAGTGGCCTGCTTTCACACTTTCCTGAGACTCCACGTGAGTGTAATTATACAAAGTCTTCCACTTTGCAATGTGTTTGAGGTTCATCTATTTTGTAACATACCAGTAGCTGGTTCTTCTTCATCGTTGAATCACCGGTACTCTTATCATATGGATATGTCACATTTTGTCATTGTATTCAGTTGGACATCTGAATTGTTTCTAATTGTCAAGCTATTAACGATCTTTCATGGACATGTCTTTTTTGTGGTCATGTTTTCATTTCTTCAGAGTACTTCCCAGGAGTGAAACTGCTGGGTAACTTTTCATTTAGCCTTTTTGAGTAACTGCCAAACCATTTTGTGGTTTCACCCATTTTACATTATAAGATAAAGTCCTAGTTTCCCACATCTTCACCAACATTTGGTAGTCGGTCTTTTTTTTTTTCTTCCAGTTACAGTTGGCACTCAATATCATATTCGTTTCAAATATACAGCACAGTGGGTAGACATTTATACCAAGGAATGTGATTGCTAAATATTAGGGTAAGAGTACATTTAGTTTTGTACGGAATCACCACACTGTCTTGCAAAGCATCTGAACAATTGTGCATTCCCACCATCAGGGAGTGAGGGTTCCTGTTCTTCCACATCCTTGCCGGCATTTGGTGGTGTCCGTGTTGTCAATTTTAGCCATTCTAATAGGTAGGAAGTGGCATCTCATTGTTGTGTTAACTTGCATTTTCCTGATGACATGATGTAGAGCATCTATTTTTATGCTTATTTAATGAACTCTGTTTGGATCTCTTGCCCATCTATTTAATTGGGTGGTTAAGAGTGATTTAGATATTTTGGATAGCACTTTTATTTCAAAGGTATCTTTTCCAAATATTGTTCCCCAGTCTGTGGATGGTCTTTTCATTCTCTTGACACTTTCACAGAACATTTTTAATGAGGTCTAGTTATCTCTTTCATGGACTGTACTATTGTATCTAAAAAGTCATTGTTATACCCAAGTTCTTGTTAGTTTTTCTCCTGTTATCTTCTTGTTCTTTGGTTTTGCATTTTACATTTAGGTCTAAGGTCCATTTTAGTTTATTTTTGTGAAGGGTGTAAGGTCTGCGTTTAGATTCGTTGCATGTAGATGTCCGGTTCTAGGCACCAATTGATCTCTTTGTCTCTCCTTCTGCCAGTACCATGACTGTATCTTTACAGGACATCCTGAAGTCTGGTAGTGTTAGCCCTCCACTTCGTTCTTCAGTGTGGTGCTGCCTCTTTTGCCTTCTTTGTTAAATTTATTTCTAGGTATTTTATTCTTTTTGTTGCGATTGTAAATGGAATTTTCTTCATTTCTTTCTCGTAGTTCATTGCCTATACTATACAGAAACACCACAGACTTTTGTATACTGATTTTTGTGTCCTGCAATTTACTTACCGTTGATTTCTAGTTTCATACCATCATGCTGAAGGAGATGCTTGGTATAATTCTAGTCTTAAATTTATTGAGGCTCATTGTGTCTCAACATATGGTCCCATCCTTGAGAATGTTTCATGTGCACTTTAGTATTTAGTAAGCTGATAACCAGATGTCTCTTTTGCACTCATTAAATAGTGCTTAGCATACAATTGTTTTCTTTTACATGCTCTGTGTGCAGGGTTTGAGCCCATGCAGTGGGAGTCTCTCTATGAGAGTTCTGGTGCCAGCCAAGTCTTCCCATCAGGTAGATCATTGTGGAGCTGGCTGGAGGGGGCTCTGCAGAAAGCCATGTTCAGCCATTTGTGCCTGGGAACTACCGAATGATCTGCCTTTAGTTGCTACTTATGCTAGGATTGGACATGCTTGGGGGAGGCTATGCTGTGATTCAAGGCTGACACTAGACTGGGGACCCTTGGTTGGCACCATGATGTGAGTTGAGGCCAGCTACCACTGTGTCAGTCCTGTGGCTGCTAGTTTAAGCTACATTACAGGCTGGCTGCAGCTTATGCCAACCTTAGCAAAAAGTACAGGGCGCACGGAGGCTAGCTGTTGCACTCCTGGGTTTTGTGTACCTTTATGAGACTTCAGGAGAATCCGCAGTGAAAGCTGGGAGGTCACTGTTACAGGCTCCAGCAGGACAGCATGTTGGGTGGGGCGAACAGTACTACCAGGTTAATGGAGAGCTCAGGCTGGAGGAACGCTCAGCAAACAATGGTGCTTGCCCGCACTTCCTTCCCCAGACAGAGCTGCCTTCACCCCCGTCCCTCCTGCCCTCATCCTAAAGGGAGGAGGCAAGCATAGCCTTTACCTACTTCACCATTTGACAGGAAGTCCTTCCTCTGACTTATAAAATTAACTTTAAATTATTCTGATCTGGAAAGCATTGTAAATCACACTTGATGATTACTTACTACGAGTGAAGTATTTTTTAAATATTTAAAGGAAATATGTTTAAAATTTTAACAAATAGCTTGGTAAAATAAATATACTCACCAATAAAAGCACTATCAGATTCCAATAATGAATTTTTTAAGAAATCGTTAGCGTTATCTCTGGGCTAAAAGAAACACCATATGTTAATTAGTATTTTTGTTAGTCCCATGTGAAAAAAAACATTTTACTAAGAGGCATAAGTGTCTGCAAAATAGAATAAAGAAAGGTAGGACTAGCTGCTTTCCTCTTATACTGCATTCCAATGCCCAGAAAATACGGGAGGAAAGGGGGGATTTTATTAAGAGTTATATTACTGCTGATAAAAATAGAGTATATTATAAATCTTTAAGTCATTGCTGAGATTCTGTATAGTGCACAATTTCCTCCATGCTAGGAAGATGAGTAAGAGTTTCTGCTCTGCAGTAGATCTCATAGTCCTGGGAGAGACAGGCCCTCAGACAGTGACAGTTTCGAGAGGGACAGCGAGGAGAGTAAAAAAAAGTTACACTAGGGTTTGGTGTGTAATGAGCTCTCAGTGAGAGAGGTGACTTCACCTTCTCACCAGATTTCTAGGAGGTGCGGCATCACTCCCATGAAGAGCTGTCGTTTTTATAAGGAAACAAATTCAAATCTCCTTTTTAATACCCATTGTCTCTGACTGCTTTCTAGCTGATAACAGCATCCAATATTTAACATGTGTTCTTAGCACACATACTCCCCAACCTCCATCACAGTCCTCCCATAACTGAACCTCTCCAGATTCATCCTGTATCTTTTATAATCCAGTTTCTAGGAAAAAGATCTGAAAATTTATGAGCTTTTTTGTAAAAAGCCAAGACTGACAAAATATGACATTATTTTAACCAAAATTCTAAACGTTAAATTTCAGTATCTTTTCATGAGAAGTGTGGTCGCCTCTGAGAGAGACCGCAGACCTTCGGAGTGTCAGGAAGCGGCGTCGGAAAGGGAGCCCCCAGGGTTCAAACGGGAGCCCCCAGGGTTCAAACCTGGGCTTAATGCTTCCTGGCTGTGACACTGGCTCTTCGGTAAACGAGGGCCTTGCCCAGCACAGGAGGCACAGTGTGCTGTGGTAGCTGTTAGCAACTCTTCATTGTTACCATCACCACCAGTTAAAACCAAGCACCCTCAGCTACTTCCTGGACAACTGTCAACACGGCGAGGGTTTTACTTTTATAACCTGAAAGCGAGGATAATGCTGCTGTACCATTTCCAACCTCCATCTTTTTCCTTTATTCTGGCTCTTTACTTGCAAGCTCCAACGGCTTGTCTAAAATGCATCTCAAGCCTACCATATCTAAAACTAAGTTCTTGATTTTCTCCCCACCCCTACATTTTTTTACTCCTATTTCTCAGTCTCTGTAATAGCAACTCACAGCCAAAAAACCCTGAAGCCCAGCTCTGACTCCTCTCATACCCCACATCCAATCTGTCAAAAATCCTCTCAGATCTCCTTTCAAAGTGAGTCCAATCACTTCCCCTGCTCCAGCCCAGGCTATGTCACCTGACCTCTCACCCAGATGACAGCAGTAGCTTCCTGTCCCCTTGTCCATTCTCAGTGAAGAGTCGTAAGTGATCAGGGTAAAACATGAAATAAATCACATCACTCTTTTGCTCAAAAACTTCTCAACACATTCACCATGTAAAAGGCAAAACCCCGTGTCAGCCTGTGAGGCCCTGCAGTCCAGCCAGCCCCCTCTCCATCCAGGACTCGGACGCTCAAGCCTTCCTGGTCTCTTCCCGGCTCCGGCCTGCGCCAGGCCCCACCACTGGGCCCCTGCTTCCTCTGTCCCACTCCCCGACGTCCTTATTGGAATGTTACCTACTCTATTTCAAATCGTAAACTGCCTCACCCAGGACTCCCAGCTGTCACTCTCCAGAACCCCACAATTCCAAATATTCTCTCCCTCCCTCGGACCAGAAGGTAAGCCTTCAGAGGGCGGGGAGTTTTGTTTGTTCACTCCTGTACCTCCAGCACCTAGAACAGTATCTGGTCGATAATAAGTATTCAATAAATATTTGTTCAGTGAAATGGCTCATCCCTAACTTTCTCCTCACTGTCTGCACAGATGCAGCCTCCTGGGGGTAAGAGTGACTCCCTTACCTTGCCTCTTCTTTACAGGCCCAACCACTAAGCAGACACTGATCCTGTTGTGCCTGCAAATATTAATGAATTTAATACCTACAGTATCTGAGGGTGGATGTAAGTAAATCTTGCCTGAAGTCACAGTAAAACCTAACTTGAACAAGCTCTAGTCTAAGCCCGTGATCAGCAAACTGCTGCTCACGAACCACATGCAGTTCTTTGAAGAAATTTAAAAAAAATTGGTTCTCAAAAGAAATTTCAATTGTTGTACTGTTGATATTCGGCTCTGTTGACTAATGAATTTGCCAAGCAAATCTCTAGCTACCCAATGCACTCTTGAGACAAGATTTAAAATTCTTAATTCAATTTTCCCAAAAGTTCAAAATTGGAATACTCCTCATATTCCTAAAAATAAAACAGCTTGAAAAATTAGAACTGGTTTCTTACCATTCTATGATCTTGTACTTGATTTCTTGGGACGGCATCCAAGTCCACTGTAGCCGATGGGGAAGAAAAAACAAAAGGTTAAAAAGCATTTGAAAAGTAAAATAAATTTTAGAATATCTTTTGTGATTCTGTACTGGAAATTACTTGCCAACCATCACATTACAAACTGCTTTTATTACTTATCAATAAATACAGTCCAGCATTCATTCTAGTTGGTAAAATTCTCCTATTCCCAATAAATATGAAAAGTAAAATCATTGTGCACTCAGAGCTGATGCCAATAGGAAAAGAAAACAAGGCAGGATTCCCCACCATCTTCCCATAACCCTACAATCTGTGGAAATTTGTTGAGTGGGCTTCCTCACATGTATCTGAAGGAAGCTAACTTGGTCCCAGGGGGAAGGTTTTGGATCCGTATCCCCAAGGCCCCTCCAGTTTAACTGGCATTCCCACGTGTCTCTGAATGTTTGTCAGAAGCTGGGGTGGTTGCTGTGAGGATGGAGACTTCCAGTACCAAAATGCACCTGATCTACCTGGGGACTACTTTCGGGTCTCCTAAAGAAAATCCCACTAAAATGAATATTAAAGTTGAAGAATGTACTTCTCTCCCCTGAGAACTGGCTCACTATCATACAATTTGGGTTGTTCTGCTATCAACGGATGATAGCAGAAGAGCCTGAACTGAAACCACTTTAAAATTCTGTATCAGATGGAGGAGAAACTACCCCTAGACCAACCGTTACCCGAGTCCTGACCAGCGAGATGGGCCTGAAGAGTGGCACCTCGTACTCCTGTGAGGCACAGTGAGAACGGCTCCTCAGATGGGCAACCTGCCAAGTAGGGCCTGAAGTTTTCCTAAATACACTTCCTCCTATTCTTGTTTCCTGGATGCTGCACTTTTATGACTCATTTCCCATGGCAATCCTCAAAGGCCCAAAGGCTGGTGCAATATGTGCTGGGGTCATGCAGTCACCCATCTCGTCATGCGGTCACCATCGAGGCTCTGAAGCGCCACTGCCTCCAGGTGCCCAACCACCACCGCCCCGCCACACTCCAAGGGACCCCGGTCTCTCCTTTGCAGCATTCACCATCCTCACCCTTTTTAGCATCTACTTCTCCAACAGTATGAGCCAATGCTCTACCAACTTAATACCACATCAGAACTTAAAACAGATGCACACAGTAGAGAAACGCCCCATAGAGAAGGCACTGATGTGTGTGCCCAGCATGCCTCCCCTTGGGTCCTAGTCCCTGTGTCATATCGCCTCGTCCAGGCACCAGCCCTCCTGGTTCTAGCGCGTGGCTAGGCCCTGCTCAGGCATGGATGGAGGGAATTCCTGACCCCAACCAAGCCAAGCAAACCTTTTCTGGGTCTAAAGGCTGAAAGGGTCTGTGGTCGTGGAGTTGCCAGTAGGAGGAGCCTTCCTTGGACAAAATCAACACAAAAGATGGAGAAAGAAACCCATCAATAAAATCCGTTTGTCCTATGGAAGCAATAATTCTCTCTTACCTTGAGCACCTTCCTGCATTTTTATTCTGTTCAGTCTCTTCTGCTGCGCTCTCAGCAGGGCTTGCTGCTGAATCTCTAAGGTGTACTGATCTCTCGGAGGATCCGGGTACATAAGTTTCAGATCCGCTCGTGTTACTGAGTCTGTCCCAAAAAATAAGTTATAAAACTATGTTTAAAATCTTTACTGTAACATGAGTAGCCTTAATTTCAAAATCAAGGGACAATATAAATAGTGGGAAATCATAATTAACACAAAACTAATATCTATATATATAAAAGCCTATGTGTGTCAGAACGACCAGTTGCTATGATGTGCACTGACCACAGGGGGCAGATGCTCAATGCAGGTGGTCAGTACACTCCCACAGTGGGATTACCACTCAGCTGACTGACAGGCACAGGGCTCATGGCTGGCAAGCCTGAGCCTCACCCACCTCCACAGCTGTGCTATAGAGCAGCAGGGGCAGGTACCGTGGGGGCCGGGATGAGCGGGAACGGGGTTGGGTGCTCCTCCCCGGCTGCCTGCTGCTTCATGCATTACTACATCCCAGGCCTGCGGGGATCAGGCCGAAACTGGCAATCCGACATCCCCTGCAGGGTCCTCGCTTGTGAGGGTGCAGGCCAGACCGTATGGGTGCATGTGCACCAGGCCTCTACTTCTTTAAATAAATGCCTTTCACAAACCTAACAACATTAGAAGGGAGCTGCCCAGAACGAGCAGCAGCTTAATGATGTATTTATTCCCTATTCCTACCACCCACTCCCTCCAGATGCCCAAGGCAGATGGCAGGTAACTGCACAGATACATCCCACAGTGAGTCATCAGCTAAAACTCAGGCAGCCTTGAGGCAGTGTAATCACAGCTGATCCCTGTAATATACTGGGAAAATGAAAATGTTATTGGCCAATTAACCTTTTATCCCTTGCAAATAAAATGTAGAAAGCAAGATAAAATCAGACTGGCTAGCCGAAACCAGTTTGGCTCAGTGGATAGAGCGTCGGCCTGCAGATTGAAAGGTCCCAGGTTTGATTCCGGTCATGGGCATGTACCTTGGTTGCGGGCACATCCCCAGTAGGGGGTGTGCAAGAGGCAGCTGATCGATGATTCTCTCTCATCGATGTTCCTAACTCTCTATCCCTCTCTTGCTCTCTGTAAAAAAATCAAAATATATTTAAAAGAGAAAAAAAAGCAAACTGGCTAGAACTTTAGGAGAAATGTCACTATGGGAGGAAATAACAGTTTAAGAATTTACCTTTGCCACAAATTCAAGAGTATCAATTTATCAGAATGAAAATGTTGAACATTAATTTTTTAAATCTTGAGAATAAAAATAGTCCATATATTTTAAAAGCCTTGAAAATATTCCCTTTGATCTTCTCAATAATATCACTAGGATAAAATTTAAAGAAATTATCCTAAATATGTAAAAAGCTCTATGATCAGAAATAGTCAAAATAATAGTGAAAAATGGAAAGCACGTTGAATATTTAAGAATTAAAAATGGTAAGGGCAAAGCTAACAGGAGAGACCCTGGAGACACACCTGCTGGACTGACCCTGACTTCACCACCTCTAGACTGTTTCCTCTCTGAAAACGAGGCAGCAACTGAGCCGCACGGTAAGAACTGGGTGTGATAATTTAAGGAAATAAATGGCTGCTTTATGGTCTAAACCTTTCTCATCTCAAGATCTCTATATTCTTAAAAACTGAGGACCCAATGTCTGTCTCTGTCTCACACACACACACATCATCTTGGCTTCAGAGCAATGAAGCCATCGCATGCCATTAACTCTGGAAAACCTATACACGTGTGAGAGAATGAAAGTGATATAGACAATATCTTAATTTTAATAAAAGTAGTTTTGACCTCACAAGTTCCCTAACCATATTGTGAGACCTCTGGATGACACAATCCTGGAATATAGTAAATAAGCAATAAATGTTAAGCTAAATAACTGTGATATATGTACTTGATGACACTGTAAATCTAAGAAAGAAAAAAGGGAGAGAAACATCAATGATGAGAATCATTGATTGGCTGCCTCCTGCACGCCCCCCTATTGGTGTTTGAGCCTGCAACCCGTGCATGTGCCCTTGATTGGAATTGAACCCAGGATCCTTCAGTCTGCAGGTGGCTGCTCTAGCCACTGAGTCAAACCAGCTAGGGCAATTATATCTTGTTTTTCTTTTCCTTTTTTTCTTTTAGGCTCCGAAAATAAAGATTAGAAAACCTCTGTAAAATGATTTTTCCCTTATCTTTCTGTATTCAAATTTTTCTAGAATAGATATTACTTTAAAAATAAGAAGTTGCCGAAACCGGTTTAGCTCAGTGATAGAGCGTCGGCCTGCGAACTGAAAGATCCCAGGTTCGATTCTGGTCAAGGGCATGTACCTTGGTTGCGGGCACACCTCCAGTAGGGGGTGTGCAAGAGGCAGCTGGTCGATGTTTCTCTCTCATCGACGTTTCTAGCTCTGTATCTCTCTCCCTTCCTCTCTGTAAAAAATCAATAAAATATATTTTTTTAAAAATAAATAAGAAAAAGTTTAAATTCTGGTTTATCAGAACACACATCGAATGATTTGTCTCCTCGACTCAAACACTATTGGATGCGCCTAAAGAAATATCACATATAACATATTTTGGTTCCCCTAAGCATCTTCAGTCCCCGGGGCCTCTGTGTACCTGGGCTATGCTACTTCCCTAATAAGCTTTCTCTCCTCCTCCATCAAACCTTCTCTACCCGCCTCCTCTAAACATCCTACATTCCCTCCTGTGCACTCAGACCCTGCTCTCTCCAACAACCACTCCCTCCCTCTCCTGCTTCTGAACCCCTTCCTCCTGTAACAACTCTACATCCTCTTCTCCTCCTTCCCAGCCAAGCTTCCTCCAGGGCCTGTTTTATTTAACTGTTTCCAGCACTTTGCCTCCTGCTCAGTCCTCTCCCCCAAGTCGGTTGGCTTCCACAGAAAAGATGTAGCTCAAGTCACCAATCGCCTTTGATCCAACTGGAACTTTCCAATTCATCGGTAGGCAATGCCTTCTCTGATACACTCTTCCCTCAGCTCTCAGGATGTCCCGCTCCTGCTTGTTCCTTCTCAGTCTCTTTCCTAAGCTCAACTTGCTCTGTCCACCCTCCATGAAACCCCAGGGGCCATTCCTCACCCTTTCTGTGCCATCTGATCCACCACTGAGGCTGGACCAGCTGTTAGGCCAAGGCCAAGCTTCAGTCTGGTAAAATGGAGCACCAAGGCACATAGAAGAGTGACTCGCTTAAAACAGGTCATGGATACAAACGTGTCTAAAGATCCCTGGAGATGAGCAGAACACTCTGTGTCTTTATAACACAGCCTTCTACACACCTCTGTCTCTCAGCTCATTAAAGTCCTGAATGTTCTGCCACGTAGCCGAGTCCAAGCCCCTCGGCGACGGCCTTCTGACGGGAGCCTGCACCCGGTGCCGCGCCATGTCAAACACGTCCATGGGGCTCCTCTCTCTCCTCCTGTGAGAGACAAACTCTGATAAATACTGATTTACGACAGGAAAACCTGAGTGCGCATTTCATTCAAGCAATCTGGCATCTTTCACCAGAGTTGATTATAAACGTATTCTAATACCTGTTACTTCAGTCCCTCATTAAAAAAATAAGGTATTTATAAAGTCATTGTTTATAATCTTTCAAAATACTCAGGTGCAAAGTACTTTATTCTAAGAGTAAAATGATTTACCTTCACCTTAAAATGTTCATGGAGCATAAAAAATCAGTCTTTGAGGTCAGAGAAACTAAGACTCAAAGACCTGCTCCACTATTTGTTAGAAGTTTGACCTTGATTTCAGCAACTATAAGATGCAGATAGTATCTTCCCCTTTTAGTCTTGAGTATGAGAACTAAGTAAAATTATATCCTGTAAAGTACCCAGCATACTTGACAAGTAATAGGTATGTCATAAATGTAAACTTTCCTCCAGCCTAAAATAGAAATTATACAGAAAAAGATGGTATTAATTGCTGCCTCATTATAACGTTTATTATCCACAGGCCCACTAATTTTACAATAGGCTTTCAGGAAGCTTCAGACCCAGTTAGTTACTCAATACTCCATTCGCAGGGAATATAACAGGAGGTGGCCCAGGAAGGGAGTCTCCCACTCTGGCTTTGGGGGAAGAGGGTGACACTGAGAGAACAAGGATGAGAGGTGGCACTCTAGGCCAGCTGCTTCCCTCAGCACTAGGCAGGCCTCTCTAGTTCTGAAAATGCAGCTCCAAGCTGGAGGGGTCAGAGAGCTGGCCAGATTCGGTCTTCATTTCTTGATGCCCTAAGTCTTCCCTGGGCCCAGGCAGGGGATAGCGGGATCCCCTCAGGCAACACCCCTGCTCTCCTAGAGTTTCCTTTCAGGGGACGGACTCACAGGACCGCAAACTATTTGGTCAAGGCTGACACAGACCTCTAATAGTGAACTACCCACGATGTCAAGAACTGCAGTGGAGGCTCATTAAAATGTACAAAAATAAATACTAAATCTAGAAGGCCATTAAAATACATAAGTCCTGCCCTGGCTGGTCTGGCCCACAGACCACAGAATCTTGGGTTCGATTCCCAGTCAAAGGCATGTACCTCAGTTACAAGTTCCATCCCCAGCCCTAGGGGCGTGTGAGGGAGGCAACAAATCAATGTGTCTCTCTCACATCGATGTTGCTCTCTCTCTCCCTCTCCTCCCCTCCCCCTTCCACTTCTCTAAAAATCAATGAAAAAAATATCCTCAGTGAGGATTGTTTTAAAAAGGTGTACAGAAGTTCTAGCTAATTACATTAATGTTAGTAGTAAGAGGCTGCTAACCCTATTAAACAGTTCATGGTTAGGGAGAGTATTTCTGGTTTTTCTTCAAGAAATGCTACTTCTTTCTTCTTTTTATTTCCTTTCTTCCTCCTCTCAACTCTTATGTTAATACCACCACCATAAATATGTTATTGGCAGTACAACAGGACAGTTACAATGCTCAATTTAAATACTTAATATACAGTTAAATATCTACTGAATAGCCCATATTTTAATGAATTAACTCAATTATTGTAGATAAAAATTTATGAATGCAGCTTGACATGAAATTGAAAAAAGTGTATCAAAAGCATATTAATTTTAAAAGGACCTATTTTGTCAAAAGAAAAAAGAAAAAACCTACTATAGCCCTGACTGGTTTGGCTCAGTGGATAGAGCGTTGGCCTGTGGAATGAAGGGTCCCGAGTTCAATTCCAGTCAAGGGCATGTACCTTGATTACGGCACATTCCCAGTGGGAGATGTGTAGGAGGCAGCTAATCGATGTTTCTCTCTCATCAATATATCCCTCTCCCTCTCTTTAAAAAAATCAATATATTAAAAAAAAATACCTACTGTATACAAATAGACTAAAAAGTCATACCCTCTTTTTGTATTAGTTGCATTGAATCTCTCCACTAGAATATCATTTTTTTTTAATCTAAATTACTTCTAGGAGAAAAGGCTAGTGTTATCTTTAAATTTCTCTAATAACATGTTAAAAAAAAAAACAACAAAAAAAACCTTTCAAATTATCCATTCTAATAAATGGGGCTTTACAACAAAAATTAACCCTGTTCCAAAACTAAAATTACCGGATAGGTTCTGACATACGATTCCTCGTCTTAAACACAAAAGAATTGGGACAAATGAAACTTGCCGTATGCGCATCTCCTCGTCGCCGGCCAAGTGCAGCAGCTGCCCCTGCAGACGCCGCTCTTCGCTCCGGAGCTGTTTTCTCATTTCCGACAATTCCATGATTACGTTCTTTTTCTCCTCTGCAAAGTCCCATCGATAAGTGAAAAGAACAAAAGATTTGCTTTGAAATATAGTCTGGCTTACCGTAAAGCTAAAATGTTCAGAAAGATACTGTCATGAAAGTTATTTTTAATGTTTTACATAACAAATCACATTATGACTATCATTAAGACTCACAAACACATTTCTGATAATACAGAAATTTCAAAAGTTAAGCCAAGTTTTGGGGTGGAGGAGAATGTCACCATAAGGGGGCAGCACAAGGGCATCCCTTGGCGGTGTCGGACGGAATAGTTCTGCACCTTGACAGGCAGTTACACAAATTACACAGGTAAAGTGCAGAGCACTCCACACAACACACAGAGAGCACATGTGAAGCTGGTAACGGTGTGCAAAACACAACAGTGTCCATCCACTTCCTGGTGGAGACACCGGACTCGGTAGGATGTTCTCACGGGGGAAGCTGGGAAGGGTGCCCAGGCCCTCTCTAGCTCCCGAGTGTTTTTGCAATGTTCTGAGTCTATAAAGTGTCCTAGATTACAGGGTTAGCAGGTAACCCTACCTTCCGCACGGAGCTGATTTTTCCTGGCCGGCACCGGAGGAGACTGTGCCCTGGACACGGAACGTTCCTGTTAACAAGCATGACAGACAGACTCAGTGTGTCTTCCCTACTCAGAGCTTGAAGAGAATATTTTTAAAGTAACTGTATGTGAAAGAAGCCAAACTCCCCACTATCCTACCTACAAACTTCCTGCACCCACTTTTCCCTCCCACAAATGGTGGAGTCCTTGCCCCACCCAGAGAACTACTTCCCCTGAACTCTGAGCTGGTAAGTGACTCCCACTTCCTCCACCTATTACTCCCTTTCTCCACCCTTTTCCTCTCCTTAATCTCAACTAAGCCTCAAAATTTACCCCTTTAAAAAAGTTATCTCGCCCTTCATCATTCTTGTCCATTCCCTCCTTCCCTTCAGAGCCTTGCTGCTTTGAATGGTAAATGCAGTACATATGGTGTCCTTGTTCCCACCCCCTCTCCCCTGCACAGCCAATGCCCACCTTCGCTCTGCACCCATCACTCACTGACCCGCCTCCCCTACATCACCAGTGATCCCAGAGACACACTCAGCAGCCAGCAGCAATTGGCATCATTGCCACTCCCTGTCACTTTGTCTGCTTTCATGTCCTTACTCTGCTTCTTCAATGTGGGTAATTCTGTAGCATTCCATCTTCAACTGCCCCCACGCTCATCCTAGACAGTCGTACTCAGTTGACAAACAACAGCGCTCACGACTTCCACGACAGATCCAGTCCAGACCACCTTCTCAGCCACAACCTCTATTCCCAACCACCTGCTCCATGGAACCCTCACCAGAAACTTGATGGCTGTCACTGACTCCTGCCTATCAGTCAGTGAAAACCACCATCTGTATTTCTTACCATCTTGATGATGTCACCCTTCTCTGTTCTATTGTCACTGCCTTTCTTTAAATAGTCTCACATCTGGACTTCTGCAAAAGCATCCTGGCTTCCAAAATGTATCCCCACACCTCTGCCTAAGAACACATTATCTACCACAGACCTACTGCATCCGGATCTCCAAGGGTGCGATCCAGGAAGATGTTATTGCAATGTTTATCTATTTTGGTAATTAACTTCAGAGCACCAAGTTACAACCAAAGCAGCAAACAAACTACTGTAGACATGATCTTTATTTCAGATCTTAAAAAATTTAAATCTCATTCAATCCCCCAACCCAAAATAACTTAGCTAAGATTAACCAATCAGAAGAAAAAGCGCATACTTGAATAAAGGCACTCATAATGCTGTCAACTGAAGGAGGTCTTTGGAGTTTGCCTGCAATTTTGTTCTGAAGAGCAGGAACCACAGGAGAAGGCTGTCTTAAGCGCTAGGGGGGGGAAACAGTTTTATTTAATTAATTACTTTTATCAAAAAGTTAGAAAAACAATATATCAGTTATGATAAACATGAATAGGTTCGATATCCTTATTTTAAAATGACTCTCAAATCAGAAAAAAAATTCAGCAAACTTAAGCAAAACAATAACATACTGAGTATTAGGAAAGCAACAAAAAACAAAGAAAGAGAGCCAAAATTAAAAAATCATCTTAATAGAAATAGGACATTTAAAAAAAAACAAAAAACCTTTTCTGGAAAACAAATAAATTTCTAAAATCTCAATCCCTTGTCACCAGAACATCATGAGGGAGGGAGTTTCCAGATCAAATTAAGGTTCCATGTCTCTGAAAATAAAACAGGATTTCAGCTTACAATATAATAAAGCTAACAGTTCCCACTTCACGTTAAAATCAAAATGCTGAAAACATAAAAACTCCCAACAAAATGCAATTGTAATTTGGGTATAAAAACAACTCTCCAGCTCAGAGCACATATGTAGAGGTTAAATCGTTCATTTTGCACAGCAGAAAACCAAATGCATTCACTGGTGACTCTGATAAAACTTCTAGGTGACCAAAAGCAGAATCAAAAGGACAATATAATCTGTAAAAAATCAAGTAAATAAAGCATCGTCCACATAATAAGAAGACAAACTATCAAGGAAGCAAAACAAAAAACTAGAAATTCCATTAATCTGATCAAATAGACTGGTTATAATAAATATAAATAGAATTAGACATCCATCTAAAAGATTTAACTTTCGGATTAGGGTTTTTAAATTATTGTTAACTAAGTAAATATACAAGCTAAAAATATATATATAAAAAAAAAAATAGTGACAAAAACTAAAAAAGTAGAGAGCCTGGCAGCTGGTGTTGCTCAGTGGCTGAGCATCGACATATGAACCAGCAGGTCACAGTTCGATTCCTGGTCAAGGCACATGTCCAGATTGTGGGTTTGAGCCCCACTGTGGGGCATGCCAGAAACAACCAATCAATGATTCTCTCTCATCATTGATGTATCTCTCTCTACCCCTCCTCTCCTCTGTGAAATCAGTAAAAACATAATTTTAAAAAAGTGTGGTCTACAAGCCAATTGCATCTGAACCCCTTAGGATGCTTATAAAATGCAGATTCCTGGCCTGACCTCAGACTCAGTAAGTCAGATGCTTTATAGATGAGACCCAAGAATATACATTTCTATATGTCCCCCGTGGTAGCTCTGCATAGAGACTTTTAAGAACAGCTTTAAAATATGAGCGCAGGTGGGAATCAGATCCGTTAAGGGGCAAGTGGCTTTTAGGAAGAAAAGTTTTCTAACAACTTCGATGCACGCACCAACTGTGAACTACAGCCCTCCTCTGCCTCAGAGCACCGCCTCCAACCAGTCTGTGGTGAGCCTCCAGGTTTTTCTAATTCCCAATCCATCGTGGACAAATGCACAGTCAGAACACATCACCAGATAAATGAAAAATTTTAACAAGACAGCTCTGTATTAGTAGATTCAACAGACATCAAATTACTCTGACAAATTGCTACATAAGTTTCCAAACACTTATTCTCAATTTCTGTACTTGTTATGGGTTTGGAGGATGCTGGCCCACAGACAATAGAAACAAGACGACAAGCTAAGTAAACCTGTCACACTTACCGGGGAAATAGCAACGAAGCTCAATGGCAGCACGAGGTGCCAGGAGTTCGGTTTGGGCCCCAGAGGCCGCTGCACCACAGAAGGGGCCACACGCCCCTCCGCTCCCCTTCCCGTGACAACGCTGCCACACTCACCCCGAAAGGGGGATAACTACGGGGTTGGCATTTTTGTCTGAAGCTTACCTTTGTTTCTGTCCCAATTATGTTTTCTCTTTCGTAGTAGTGCTGGAGTTGTTTGTGGTGTTTTTCTTCTTCTTCTTTCTTCTTTTTTTCTGCTTCTTTTCGTCTTTCTTCAGCTAACCGAATAAGCTCTTCATTTTTTAGTCTTTGCTTTAAAATAAAGAGAAAAATATATATACTCCATACATTCTTATAGTCCATTCAAAAATGTGCTGCCTTATTTGTCTAAAATGGATATAAAATTGAAGATATAAATGAAATAGTGTTAGCATCAAGAAGTTGTTTGCTGAATAATAAAGTACTAGAAGCCTGATGCGCAGATTCATGCAAGATTGGGCCCTCCTTCCCCCGGCTGCTGGCACCATCCTCGCTCCGGCCCGGAGCTGCCTTCCGCCTCCTCTCTTTCCTTTCCCTAGTCTTTCAGCTTTAATAGAATGATACACAATTCACTCAGACTGATAGAAAGCTGGGGGGGAAACGCACCTCCTCCTCTTTCTCCCGCTTCTTCTCCTGTTCCTCTTCATACTCCTGCTGGATCCGCGCCCGCTGTTCTGCCAGCCGCTTTTCTTCTTTCTCTTCTTCGATCCTCAGTCTCTCCCGCTCAGCTTCCTCTCTCTGTTTCTTCTCCTCTATCTGAAGAATTAGGCATAGTTATTTTTTTGTAAACTACTACCAGGTTGGAACACCACTTATTTTTCACTAGTAACCTATGAACTCAACATTTGCATCCTCTTTCTGCAACTTAAAATAACTTCCTAAACATTTCATTTCTTGTATTTTATTAGGAAGGCTAGCTGGTGTAATGTGAAGAGCTGGGAGTAACATTCTAGCTCCAGCAAATCCTTACAAACTATGAGACCTTAAGAAACTTTCTTGTTCAGGTTTCTCCTCTTGTAAAAAGAGATATTAACGCCCACATCTCGAAGGAGAGCTCACAGAGCGGCTGTAGAGGAAACGCATGTGGAGAATGTGAGCGCTGCTCCTCAGGGGAGGCACTGAGGGATCCATGTTTGTGTTCTTCTGTGGCAGCTGACAGAGAGAGTCTCAGCTCCCTGGCGTGGTTAGTGTCCTGAACAGCACATCAGTGCTGCAGCATCCAACCATTCTTTACGCAAGATCCCCTCCCTCAGAATGTCCTCCTCCGTCTTATCTACTGGCGAGTGGAAGGCAGGACTTCAGCCCCCAGGACTCAGAACAAGGTTTCGCCTGGAATGGCCCTGGGGCGTGCAGTGCTGATGTCGCTCCGGGGGACGCTCTAAGGCAGAGTCCACGTTCGGCAGAAGGGACCCTCAGAGAGCCTGCAGCCTCCAAGACTGAAGCAGGGAAGGAAGCCTGCACACTGGTACTCAATAGGTTTCAGTTCCTCTTAAGCACACGTTATTGTGGCCATCTGTATTATTTTACCGTTCCTACCTGCACTGCCTCTAACTTCCACATCGTTATGTCTAGCGCTGCCGATCTTTTGAGCTGTAAGAACTTTAATCTTCATACATGTCCAATGACTGCACAAGCTAGGACTTTTTCCAACTCTTCTTTCTCACAACACCAGTACATATGCACAATCCTAACATTCAGTACTAAGCAGTGTGCACGTAATCTTTTCTCCAAGTATCATATACCTAGAGAAAATATCATTTATGATCTACACAGCAGAACATCACATCTAACACTCAGAAAAAAAAATCACCATCAGGGTCACTTCTCCATTAAGGAGTCACACACCTAACGAACCCCAAGAAATGTCGTTCCTACAGAAATGCTTCAGTCCTCATCAGAGAGAGGAAAGATGCTGCTGGGTGAGTGGTTTTCAAACTGTATAATTCAAAACCACTTCAAATAGTTCAGTAAATGTTTTATTTTTAAAGTTCTAATTAAAAATGGTGCCTAAACACTCATGTGTTGTTTACCAAATTTTAACCACATGAAGACTTCTGTGCATAACATATTTTTGGCGCAGATAAGGAGCCAAGGCCATCTTTGTGCACAGATCTGAACATTTTACATCTCTTTTTTTAAATATATTTTATTGATTTTACACAGAGAGGAATTGAGAGGGACAGAGAGTTAGAAACATCGATGAGAGAGAAACATCGACCAGCTGCCTCTTGCACACCCCCCACTGGGGATATGCCCGCAACCAAGGTACATGCCCTTGACTGGAATTGAATCCGGGACCTTTCAGTCCACAGGCCGACGCTCTATCCACTGAGCCAAACCGGTCCCGGCCTACAGCATCTCTTTCAACACTTAAGTTTGGAGTTATATCTGTCTGACACTATACTACTGTTGCTAGTAATAATAGACATCATTTAGCTAGTTCTGGATTAGACTTTGAGGGTGAAAAATGGGGACAGTTAAGAGACTGGTAAAAGAAAACATGAAAACCACCATTTGACACTGAGGGTTTACAGGTGGGAGAACTGAAAGCTGGACTTACGCTGAAACTAAAATAGTCAAAGTGTCCCCATTAGATTTTTCCAGAGGGAAAAATTCCCTAGAACTGTAAGTTCTGTACCTACAGATGCGATGCTGAAGTGAGACCTGGGTTCCAGCAGCGGCCTCATGATGCCTAGCTCTACCTTCAAAGACGGCCTCTCTGCCTGTATTTTAATTGCACATCATAAAACACCTTTCTCAGAGAGTTTTGAGGTTTAATGAGATATTATATGTAAAAGTATCGTAAAACAATAACAAGCTATATATTTACAATATTTGTTTTTTCCTGAATTCTACCCTAGACCATGTAACACTTGCTAAGTACAATAGAAACTACTTGAATTTCTACTTGCTGTCAGTATAGGCAACATACGACAGGATCTTTCAAGTTCAACCACTAACTCTGTAACCCCCAAAATGCTGCTGCCTGACTTGAGTGGCCAATATCTTTGGGGCCTCGGATTCCACTTTCTGGTATTCTGTAACTCTATTCATTCTGTCATTCATGAGAAAGGCCTTTCCATCATTTTCCAGTCACCACTCTAGTAAAATACCTGCTTCCAATGTTTTAAACCTCCCAATAATAGAGCCTAAACACTGATGCCACAGCATCCTAAGGCTGCATTTATTATGCCATTCCCTTAGGCAAGGGTCCACAAAATTAGAATTAGAAAGGAAACACATTTGAGTAGAATCTCTTTTAGAGGAATTTAAGAGGCTGGGATTAGATTGGATAGCCTTAAATGTCAGGCTAAGGAATTTGGAAATTGCTATAGAAAAGAAAAGCTACTACACCAGGGTTTGAGTAAAAAGAAGAAAAAACAACCAGTAACATGTGAAGTCCTATGAAAGGAAGATTAAGTAGATCCCAGAATTAATCTGACCCTGCAATGTCAGTGTGGGTGGAGAAGGGGTGACGGGAGGGGAGAAGAACCCGAGTCCCTCATGGGCAGGTCTCTCCTTCATCTCAGGTGCGCCCCCTAGTGTTCGGCACAAGGGTGGGCACAGTATGGGAGAAGTCTGTTCAATAAACACTGGATTCACAAGTGCCTTCCTTTGGGCATTTCTAATATTTTAAATGCTATTTGTTTACATACATAAATGCAGCAAACAAATGCAATAGTGATTAGATCATATTTTAATTTATTTACAATGTATACTACTGAGTCAAGAATATCAAATCTTTTGGGGGGAATATTATTAACATTCTACTAACACATAAGCATCTACAAAGAATAATTCTATACCTAAAGGTGAATATTTTATTACCTTCAGTTTTAGAAATTTCAGCACTCTTTAACAATTAGTGATTTAATAAAGTTTAGAAAAGATTAAGTCAACTGGTATACCTGTCTCCTTATTCTTTTTTTCAAATTAAGTGACATAATTTTAGTAGTACCCATATCTGATATATATTACAAATTATAGATAATTGCTTGGCACTTTAAAATTTATTAATCACGTGGATAAAATCTTTGCAAGTTCAGTACATTAAAACCTTTATGAAACATGAAACTATGATCAAATAAATAAACATTTCACCTGAAACCGAAGAAAATTCTTGTATGATTCTTGCTGTCTAATCTGAAGCTCAGTTAGGGGCTCACCGAATACATTTCCCCGAGCAAAAGGAGAGCTCTGTATGTGCATGTGTCCTGGAAAGAGAAATTTGCCAAAACATACCATTAGACAATGCTTAGAAAAAGTGAACAGTCAGGAATGAAGAGTTAGCTATTAAATTCATATTTTGAAAAAACGTGCTAAATATGGAAATCCAGAGGTTACAATCAAAAAAGAAGGCTGAGATTAGAATCTGAAGACCAAGTGAAAAGTTAACGTGAGAAAGAAAAATGGTGAAACTAAAATAAATAGTTGAAAAATCCTAATATATCTGTATCTTAAAGACACCAAGAAAACATAAAAGGTAATAGCTAATCAAATCTGATTATAGGAAATGCTTTAAAATTTATGGAGAGGAAAAAAAATAAAGTTCTCATGTATGTAAATATCCTTTTCTTAAGAAACTGCTTAATTATATGTTAAAAGTATCATGTACATAATATAAAAAATATCTAAGTTGTTTAAAATAGCAGTAATTCCAAATCTTTCATCCATGATTAAAATAAACAATAAAGTAAAATCTAAAATCTTTAAAATTTAAATGACATAATCATTAAAATAATTTTTACTTAAAAATTCTATCTAGTTAATTGGGACATAAACATGAATAATAACTATGTTATCTATTACCTATAAGTAGTATTACACATTCTGGGAAAGGAAAATATTTTATAAAATCAAGTTGAAAAATAATTATATCTCAGGAGTCTCTATGAATGCAGAAAGAAAAAATCGTATTTAAATTTAAGCTTCATATAACTTTTTATATCATTTTTATGTACTGACTCATTCTTTGTACCATCATTCTAAAACATTTACTTTCTTCACTCATATAGTTTGTGTAGGCTGACTGAGAGTTGAGCTGCTATTTAGGTCTCTTTGCTCTGTATTTAAATTTATGAAAACTTATTTGAATAGATCAGCCGACAGCCAAATCAATACTTATATATTATAATATTATGCTATGGTATAAAAGCTGGTAGCAAAATAAAATTGAATGGTATGTTTCACTTCAATGATCACTCAGATTCTAAGCCTTTGGGGCAATTAGAGAAAAATGTTATCAAAGACAAGGATAAATTCTTCTAAACATTTATAATAAATTAGAAAATTAAAATCATAGGTAAACACTTGTTCTACACAAAGTACATGGAAATATATCTAGACATCATGATAAGCTACAAAATAAATTTAAGCCAAATTAGTATGGACTTCATAAATATGGTTCTTCATCCAAGAACCGTAAGTGAGGGAGGGAGATGAACATTAGGAAGACCTCAAAACAGACAAAACATTAGCATATCATGAACCTTAAGAACACATTATAACATTCAACTTTTAGGTATATTCAAGTTCCCTAAGGCCTTTAAATATTAATGCTACATATGAATATGTGCACACTTGTATAAATACACAAAATTTATACATATGTGTATACATACACATATCTCATACACATATATTATGGCATAGCAACAAGTTAGGTGACTTTGGATAAATATTGCATTCAAAATGTCTATTTTAGGTTTTTAAGAATTGAAAAATAATTTAGAAAATTTCAACTCACAAAACATGAGGGGAACCCTGGTGGTGTGCAGAAAGGCTATGGACAACAAATGCTGCTGAGCATGTTGAGCTTGTGTTGTCTCCTGGGAAGGAGTCATACAAACTGTTTATTTTCCCAGGACTTGCTGGTAAGCGGAGTGAAGTGATTGTTACTAAGACAGAAAGTGCGAGACTGAAACAGTCTGTGAACAGTACAGGGTGCGGAAGAAACAGGCAGAGCATCGGGTCTGTAGCATTGAGATCTCAATACAGACTACGAGAAGAAAAGGCAAATGAAGAGAAAAATAATGATAAACGAAAGAAGCCAAATTCTCTTAGCAGCAATGATATGAAAAGGTATTTTGATGATTCTACTGCACATTGATTAATTATAGACCCAGAGTGAGAATCAAATCAATAATCAAAATCAAAAAGTTTGATGCTCCCGCCCTAACTGGTTTGGCTCAGTGGCTAGATCGTCGTTCTGCGGACTGAAAGGTCCCGGGTTCGATTCTGGTCAAGGGCATGTACGTTGGTTGCAGGCACATCCCCTTGGGTGTGCAGGAGGCAGCTGGTCGATGTTTCTCATCGATGTTTCTAACTCTTTATCCCTCTCCCTTCCTCTCTGTAAAAATCAATAAAATATATTAAAAAAAAAAAAAAGTTTAGTGCTCCCAAAATTTAAAATGAATCTACAGGGCAAAATCTCTTGTGGATCAAAGCAAGCATTTCTGACAATTAGCGATCCAATAGTGCTACAGGCTGCCCACAGAAACAACACACTATCCACCTCCTGAGTGCTAAGAAAGGCTGCACAGAGCGCTGCCATCTAAGGACTGAAAGATGCAAGGATAGTGATTCTGATCACAGTTTGGCAAAAAAGTCTTCTGATCACAGTTTGGTTAAAAATAAAATTAAAAAATTTAGTCCAAGGTATTTTAAAAGGCCTTCCTAATGTAAAGTTCTTTTCTAGTCTAACATCAAAACTTTTTTGAAAGTAGAAAAGCAGAATTTGTAGCAAATAACTGGTTACTTTTATAGGCCTTTGAGAAAAAAATAATGCCATTTTTTTCTGGCAAGTTATAAAGAAAGATGAGTAATTTTCAATTTCTGGAACTTTTAATTGATGGATGTTGCAAAATTATTTGCTAAAAAGGGAGAGATGTGACTTGATATCAAATTAAACTTTTAATTATTCATTTCTTTGTACATTGTGGTTTTACAAGGGAGAGCAAATGATTATTAAAAAACAAGCTAAAAATTAATTTTATTGTACAATTTGTCATACCACATCTGATATTTCTCACCAATTCAAATAGTTATGGGTATAAAAAACAATGTGTAAAAAGACTAGTTGATTTTGAGCCATGTTCTTTTATAGCAAAATAGAAATGTTAGCAGCAGCTAAAAAATGCATAAGCAAATTATAAAGCTGAGAAGAAACAGTATTAAGAAGCAATCTATGTTTCCTTATTCACTTTTTTCAAAATACCTGTGAAGAGAAGGTTATGCTTCCTGACTCAGAGTAACCAAATTCTCAATACAGTAAGACTTCATCAGAGAACGGAAATGTTACTGAACAATTTTAGAAATGTAAGAGAAAAGATAGAATGTGATTAAACACCTGAGTTTTTATTTGCAGAATCTTCTAGGCTCTCAGCACTTGAAGTGGCTAAATTTTGGTCTAGAGATACAACTGCCCTTTTATCTTCATTTGGTCTTGCATCTGGGTTATGGTAGGCATCTACATTTTGTCTGTGCATCTTATTCAAATCAGCTGAGAGGGGAAAAATAAGCCATTTATTTTAATAAACACATTTTTATAATTAGTTTGCTTAATACATGTGAAAAAACAACAACAGGACAGAGCTGGAATAATTCAACAATATCTTGGTGCCCTGAAAACTTAGACGACTTTTAGAAAATAATGTTATAAAACAAACTCAATTAGTAGAGAACTTAAGAATATATAGATCTTTGACAACTCATAAAAACCACATTTATCTCTTGTTACTTCAGAACCTGGATTCTCTTTAATACAGAAAACATAGTGACAATTCAAACAAGTCATAGTGAATTTTTACCCAAGATCATCAGCGTTCCTAATGGAAAAATATAATCTGTCCAGTTTTAAAACAGATCCACAAACCCTTTGACAATTCTCCCTTCCCCTCTCCTCGAGTGTGGGCCATTGTTCGTAACGCACTCTTATAAATAGGGCATCTCGGAACAAAGGTATATGACTTCTGAGGCTCCTGCATAAAGACATAATGGGTTCCACACTGTTTGATCTCTGTCTCCCTCACTCTGAAGAAAGCCGGCCGTTACATCACCAGGGCTCTGAAGGAGCCGTAGAGAGAGGCCCTGCGACCAGAAACTGCGGCCTCCGGAGCCATGTGAGGAGCCAGACTGGAAACAGACTTTCCAGACCAGGAAGCCTTCAGACGGCTACAGCCCCACCTCTGACATCTTAGACTGCAACTCATGAGGGACCCTGAGACAGAACCAGCCAGCTAACCCACTCACAAATACTGATCCATAAAACTACAACATAATAAATGTTTGTTACTGTAAAATGCTACATGTGGGGTGATTTGTTATACCCCAAAAATCTGAACATGTAGGACTGGTTCAAACAACCAGCAAACAGATCTGAGTGACTGAAGAACTCAAAAGCTTTAACAAACAAAAAGTAGTTCTCCACACACAGTCTGAACAGTACTGTAGCAATGAAAGCAAACTGAAACCGGATATAAAAACTATTTAGCAGGAGGCCTGTTATGTTCAAGGGTGTGTTTCAATTAGAATACCATACAGAATATGGCAAATAACATGTGAGTGTTACCAAAGGAAAGTTCTGAACCATAAAGTTCAGATCCTGTTGCAACATTCAGGACAGGGCGCACTGAGAGTTCCAAAGTGAAGTGGGTGGGAAAGTCTAAGAAAGAACGAACAGCGTGAGAAACAGTTCCACGGGGGTAAACATGAAGTGTTCCGACAGCATTAAGGTAGGCCAGCTAGACTAGAGCATAAAACACATGCAAAAGAGTGATGACAAATAGGAAATGCAGGCTGGAGGCCCATTCTGAAATACAAACTGATGATCCTCAATTCTTTTCTGCAGAAGCACATGGGAGTAGAGGCAGCTTTGGTCTGATAGTTATAAAAGTAGTACTAATAATCAGGCAGCTAACATTTAATAATCACTATTTCTATATTCTATATAACTTACATGACCTGGTACTATTACTTTCACCCCAATATTACAAATGAGAAAATTAAATTAATTTTCCCAAAGATTACAAAGCCAATAAATAGCACAGCAAGAATATAAACTCAGCCAGTGAGATTTCAGAATCCTCACTGATTTTTGAGTACAGAATATGATTTGAGTATATAATAATACTTTTGATGCATACAGCTTGGAGTGAAAAACAAAGTAGAATGAAGTAGTTGTGAAGAAATGGCAAAAGCCCAAACAAGACATTATAAAACTCAATTTATGGTGGTAACATGAATGAAAACAAAGAGAATTCAAAGAACACTGAAGAGGCAAACCTATAGATTAGTCTTATTAACAGACTGGATATGAAGAGTAAAAAAAAACCACCACTCAGCATTTTTCAGTTTGAATGATAATAATTATGATGCATGCACAGGAAAAGGAACAGTGAGCTGGATTCACAAAGTGAAGTTCGGTTTTGCATGATAGATGTACATAATCCACCGAGCCTCAGGTGCAAAGATTCAGAAGACAGGTCGAAAGTGGAGAAGAGAATTTTATAAGTGGTCAGAGGCAAAGGAAGAGCTTTACGAAGATCATTCAAGGAGTAGACGAGATGAGGTAGGAGGGAACGGATGAAGAACATATCTAACTCAAGGAAAACACGGGATCAGAAGACAGTCCTAGAACAAAGATCATGTTCACAGACCTCGAAGCATTTAACCCGTTCAAAAATGCATCCAAATGAACACGTCAACTGAAGAGAGGGGAGCATCTGGGAGGGTGCCCAGGGAGGGAGGGAAGGAAGAAAGGGAAGGAAGAAAGGGAAGGAAGGGAAGGAAGGGAAGGAAGGGAAGGAAGGGAAGGAAGGGAAGGAAGGGAAGGAAGGGAGGAAGGGAGGAAGGGAGGAAGGGAGGAAAGGGAGGAAAGGGAGGAAAGGGAGGAAAGGAAGGGAAGGAAGGGAAGGAAGAGAAGGAAGGGAAGGAAGGGAAGAAAGGGAAGGAAGGGAAGGAAGGGAAGGAAGGGAAGGAAGGGAAGGAAGGGAAGGAAGGGAAGGGAAGGAAGGGAAGGAAGGGAAGGAAGGGAAGGAAGGGAAGGAAGGGAAGGAAGGGAAGGAAGGGAAGGAAGGGAAGGAAGGGAAGGAACTGTCAACACAGTTCAAAGAGGAGGAGGACCAATACTGGTTAAAACCATCAAATGCAAATAAGGACCAGTTAATTCTGAAATGTGCATCGGTCGAGTGGTGGGAGCTAGAATTCATAATATGGAATATGAATGAGTAAGAGGCAAGACTGGCAGCAACAAGCACAGACTACTTTTTGTTAGTGCTTTATATAAGGGAAGTATGACAAGGTCAAGAGTTTTGTGTTTAAGGATACAAGTAACCTCAGTGTGTTTACTAATGGAACGAAGAAAGGAGTGGAATAACTGAGAATGTAAAAAGGAGGAACTGGGTGAAAGCACAGAGAAAAGCTGATTACCAGAAAATTACCACGTGCCAAGGACTGGTAAAGTGAGAATTAGCTAGGTGCTCCTGAAATCACTATCAAATCCTGAGCTCTGTCTGGATATGGAGGAAAATAAAAATAGAAAATGATAGGAAAATTGAAGTTCCCAAAAAAGTCACAAAAACAGTGTAATTTAAATGGGAAATCAAATCTCATTGTCATCCAGTTCACTAGAACAGCATTAAGACCAATCTACATAAATGAGAAGTCACAATGAATAATAATACACATTGTAATTACACATGATTCTCTCAGAATAATCAATGTATTTATATAAAAATAAAATTAGATTCAGCAGAGTACAAAATTATTTCTTAAAGAAATAAAACCATCAGATTTAACAATCAAAACAAATCTATATTGTAAGAGATCAACTAAGGACTTGCATGCATGCATATAAGCACAACCAGCAGACTCAAGACACAGGGGACGGGAGGAGGAGGGCAAGTGACAGGGAGGGGAGTATAGGTCAGTGGGGTTTAGGTTAATGGAGTATAGGTCAGTGGGAAAGGAAAAATAAAAGACTTATGTACTACTATTTGTAATATCTTAAACAATAAAAAAATCTACATTTATTTTAACTGGAAAAAAATGATTAATCAATCAATTGTCACTCGTTGTCTATCCTTCTGTGAGATAATAAAAGTTTTTAAATCAGCTTAAAAAATAAGAAAGGCACATCTGTCAGGAGTGTAATTTGCCAACAGCAAAGATGTCACTGAAAAGGGGCCTTTACTTCAAATGTAAATCATATCATCTATATTAATAAAAGCCTAGGTGGTCCTCGCAGGCGACATCATCACAAGATGGCCACCACAAGACGGTTGCACACACAGTGGAGGTGGGGCCCAGCGGCCACGCGCGCGGTGAGGCCTGGGGGTCCACAGCTCCACGTGGCACGGAGGAAGCCAGTCCCAGCATCTCTGCTGCCTCATGTGGAGGCAAATCTTGGCGGAGGAGGAGGATCGCAACAGGGAAGGGCAGTTGGGGGCAATCAGACCAGCAGGGGAGAGCAGTTAAGTGTCAATCAGACCAGCAGGGAAGCAGTTAGGGGCTGATCAGGTTGGCAGGCAGAAGCTGTTAGGAGCAATCAGGCAGAAAGGCAGGCAGGCAGGCAGACAAATGGTTAGGAGCCAGCGTGCCGGATTGTGAAAGGGATGTCCCAGATTGGAGAGGTGCAGACCAGGCTGATAGACACCTTCTCCCCACCCTCCCATGCAGGAATTTCATGCAGCAGGCCTCTAGTTTAACATAAAATTGCAAGCATTATAAGAATAATTTTGCAACAAACAAAATAACAAAAGAAAATATCACATATTCACAGTGGAAAACAATTCTTCTCCCTGAACAATTTCTTAGACTGCGGCTAAAGTAGATGTTACCTACAGGTAAATAATATATAAACAGTACTTAAATTTTTCATTCCTTTTTTACATGATTTAAATACAGCATCCCTTGCAAACGATTCCATATCCTTATTTTAAAGATATCTTAGTAGTTTTGGGGGTTTTTTGAGTGTTTTTTTAAACCCTTGTAATAAGTGTTTTATTACTTTTACTAGGAAGTTTTTTTAATTATAACTAGTTTAGGTAAATATTAGCCAACTAACATGAGCTTTTCTCTGCAACAGAGTTATCATCATAAGAGATAGGCAATTTATAATAAAAAATAAATGAATAGTACTCTGAAGAAGCAAGGCTTCCTAAGGTGTTGTTAAGGGGATATTTACCAAAATACCTTTTTTGTAATAAGCTGAATAAATAGAGACTTTGCCTTACAGGCTATGATCCCACTACTTTCTGCTCCCCAATCTTTTCAAAAGTTAAAGATAATTGTTTCTAATACCATAAAACCAAAATCAATCAAAACTTTTCAATAATATGAATTTACAATTCCATAAAAATGAGTGGAATCTCAGATAATTTTCTCTCAGATAATTTTAATTGATATAACTGGTACTGCTTTGCTCATGAGGCTGAGATATGTTTGTTCTCTTATTATCTCAAAATATATATATTCACCCATTTTCTATTGGTCTTTATATCTTATTGATTAGTATTATCTTTTTGTCTGTCAAATACTGAAAGTGTTTTTCCTTAGATGATTTTTAATTTTAATTGTTTTTAAGGTAACTGTTTTTAATACTGAAGCTTTAAAAACTAAAAATAAATAAATGTTTCTTTTAAAAACAACAAATCAATGGGAACAACATACTTATCAGGTTTCCCTCGGTGTCCCTGAGAGGAGCACCACCTCCACCTTTCCCCCAGGGGTTGTAACATCTCATCTCAGCCTCCAGCTTCGCTTCATATTCTTCCTTTTCTTGACGTTCTTTCTTCCTTCTCTGTTCTCTTTCCTGAATCTTGACAACAGAAGAAATGTCACAGTAAGTGCTTACAAGTACTCTGATACAAAAGTTAGTCATAACTCATCTTCCTTACTAAAGAAAAAAATGGAGATTGTTTCAGTATGCTTCACTATAAAGTTTAAAATCACAAGTATAGATAATAACCAATTTAAAACCACTTTGATGGCTGGAATCCATGGGGATGCTGCCTCACATCAAGCCACTAGAGTCCTTTCCAATCACTGATGCCACGTGGGCTCAGCCAACTCCTCCACCCCACCCCCAAAGGCCACCTGAGCGTTCCCTCCCTGACCTCACCAGTTCCCTGGTGTCCAGTAGGGCCTCCCTCCTTTCTTTTTCTTTTTTTTTTTTTTTTTTTTTTTTTTTTTTTTTTTTTTTAAATATATTTTATTGATTTTGTACAGAGAGGAAGGAAGAGAGACAGAGAGCCAGAAATGTCAATGAGAGAGAAACATCGACCAGCTGCCTCCTGCACACCCCCCACCGGGGATGTGCCCGCAACCAAGGTACATGCCCTTGACCGGAATCGAACCTGGGACCTCTCAGTCCACAGACCGACGCTCTACCACTGAGCCAAACCGGTTTCGGCTCCCTCCTTTCTTTTTCATCCACCCTTTCATGGGACCTGGCCAGCCACAACTACTCCCTACACCTCGCCAAATCCACTCTGTCCTGGGCAAACCCCATTCCAGAACTCAAAAAGGTCGAAAGTTCAAAGCTTTTTGGGGAATACAGTCTTAACATCATCAGCATAAGTACAGTCTTGTTCTCTAGAGGGACATAGTCAGGCAATCAACAGTATCTACTTTTTGAAAACTTACTTTTAAAATTATAACCACATGCATGGAAAATTTAAGCAACCACTCCAGCAAGGACAGTGAAGTCATTACATACATAAAATAAAATTCTAGAGTTTGAAATTCTAGAGTTTGAAAATCAAGTTTTGTCGATGGTGTTTTTAATATGCTCATTTGAAAACAGAAGATAAATTCAGTTTTTTATTTTGTAGAATCCAAACATACAAAAAATGTTGGTAATTCTGAAACTTTAAAAATCTATTTTTTGAGGAGATTGCTCATGTAAAAACTGAACAAAAGGAGCTTTAGAAGAAGCCCAAGTGGAACTTTACAGAAAGGTACCTTAGGTTGACATCTACCTACCAAGAGTCCCAGGATCCTCTCAGAGATATCCCCCACAAAATCCATACATTTGGTTCTTTCAAGTAAACTCTGTTCAAACATTATAAACTACAACAGAACCCTTTATCCTCCTCCCTAAAAGTGTCTACCTCTTTTTTCCCTATCTTAGTTCATTGTCTCAATATTCTCCTAGATTCCAACTCTCAGAATCACCTTCACACCCTCGGTTCTTCTCACTCCCGGTACCTAAGTCCTATCACTGAAACCCTAGAATTGTCTCTTGGACATCCTTCCAATCTCTCCCATAGGGTTTAGGACTTCATTTCCTCCTGGATGAACTACCTCAATAAGTCACTAAAAGGTTCCTCTGCCACACCTTTTTCACAATCGTCCACATCACAACCAGGTATCTTTCTAAAAGTCAATTCTGCTCTTTTCAACTACTTTTACTCTGTGGCTTAAAACATCCTCCCTTTTACTATCCTTAACAGAAAAAAATTGAAAATCCCTTACAACTAGTCCTTCACAATCAAATACAATCTAACACTCCAGCCCTTTCTCCCAAATCAATTCCATTCCTTGAATATTCCAGGAATTTCAAATCTATTCAATGTATAAATGCAGTTCAAGTATCAACAACCATGTGAGGCCTTCCTAACTGCCCAGGCAATGAACGTTCCTCATCCTATGCTTCCAACAGCACTCCTGGCTCTCTACATCAAAACTCATCATGGTGAATCATAAATAATTGTCAATGGACCTAAATAGAATATTTTCAAAAGAAGACAGAAGGAAGGCCAAAAGGCACATGAAAACATGCTCAAAGTCACTAATTGTCCGAGAGATGCAAATCAAAACAACAATGCGGTACCATCTCACACCTGTCAGAATGGCCAACATCAACAAATCAACAAACAACAAGTGTTGGCGAGGTTGTGGAGAAAAAGGAACCCTCGTGCACTGCTGGTGGGAATGCAGACTGGTGCAACCACTGTGGAGAACAGTGTGGAGTTTCCTCAAAAAACTGAAAATGGAACTCCCATTTGACCCAGTAATCCCACTTCTAGGAATATACCCCAAGAAACTAGAAACACCAATCAGAAAGGATATTTGCACCCCTATGTTCATAGCAGCACAATCTACAATAGCCAGAATTTGGAAACAGCCTAGGTGTCCGTCAGCAGATGATTGGATCCAAAAACTTTGGTACATCTACACAATGGAATACTATGCTGCCATAAAAAAGAAGGAATTCTCATCATTTGCAGCAACCTGGATGGAATTGGAGAACATCATGCTGAGTGAAATAAGCCATTCAATGAAAGAGAAATACCACATGACCTCACTCATTGGTGGACAATAAAGCTCTTTATGAACTGATGAACCAAGAGACAGAGATAGAGAAAGTAAAGCAACAGGCAGACTGTCAAATTACAGTGGGGAGGGGAGGAAGATCTGGGGGAGATAATAGATCAAACGAAGGACTTGTATACATGCATATAAGTACAACCAATGTTCATAAAACTCTGGGGAGGGAGGGGATGGGTGGGAGGGAGGGAGGGGGGTAAAAAAAAATCAATAAAATATGTAAAAAAAAAAAAATCAATAAAATATGAAATAAATAAATAAATAAATAAATAATTGTCATCCTTTTTTCTCCTCTGCCACTCTCTCAGTTACAAGGGGCCATTGTGCTAACACATAAAATGTTCAACATTAAATGAATGAATCAATAGATGAATACCTGCTGCTGCAAAGCTTCTTGGTAAGACTGAAGTGTCTGCTGTGGAGGCTTTGGCTTGTTTAATCCTGAATGAATTGTTCCATCACTTGTAAATCTCAATTCGTTCTGTCCAACCGTGTTCCTACATTAAATACACAATTAATCATTTGAATCTTTTTATGTCCAAGCAAGAAGAAAATGCAACACTACTTTGAAACAACATGGTAGTACATTTAAAATAGGTCAAAGAGGAATCCTTAAATTAATGACCCCTTCCTAAGCAATTTTCCAGTCTCTGCTTCACCAAGTCATGAAACTTTCAGATTTATTGGACCTAGTTACATAGGGGTGAAAACACTTGATAATTCATCAACCAGTGTACATATGGCTTATGCATTTCACTGGATGTAAAATAATACAGTGGAAGTCCCTCAAATTTTATAATTAATAATTTAGTCAATATATCCACTAAAAAATAACTTCCTAGACACTTTAAGAATAAAACAATACAATTACAGTAAAAAGTCTGACTGTCCCAAATAAAATTTAAAAAATTAAAAGGAATCAAAAAGGAAAAATTTGAAACACCACAGTTATATAAATCTCAAGCAATACAGTGCTATTGCCTTTAATATAACACATGTTAAAGTACAGAAATGCAGCCACTTTCAAGAAAACTATTCATTTTAAAAACCTGAGTTATAAAAGGAAAATTAATTTCAGAATGTTTCCAAAATCACTTTCATTTCTCTTATTATGTGCCTAGCAGTGGAATTAGTGTTGCATGGTAAGTATAATATATGTTAAACATTGAAAAATTGACCATTTCCTGCAACTGCTTTTTATATACTAATTTTGTATTCAGCAATTCTGCTACAACTTTTAATTCTAATATTTTAACTCCATATCTTTTTCCAATGATATCAGTTTTCTCTCCTCCTTTTTAATCTTTATACCTATCTTCATTCCTTCCTCTCCCTTTTTTATTTTTATTTTGCCTTTTTTTTTTTATTCTTGACCTTGCTGCAAATATTGGGCCCCAAAAGAAAGTGGTGATAAGAATATTAGTCATACTGTCAATCTCAAAAAGAATATTTTAACCATATCACCAACAAGTAAAATATATGATGTAGGTTTCTTATGTTTAGACTTTCTCAGGTTAAGGTTTCCCTCTCATCTATTTTAAGTTTTTAATCACTTAAGGCACTAAATTGCATAATGCTCTCTCTGTGCTATTGAAATAATCATATAGCTTTCTTCATTACTTTTTTAATATGGTATATTAAAGTAATTAATTTTACAATGACATTGATATATAACACCAACTAGCATTTAGTATATATCAGATACTTTTACTTAATTCCTTCAATCCTCAGAATAACCCTGTGAGTAGATACCATTAATATCCTAATTAACAAATAGGTACAGAAGTTAAGAATTAGGTTTCAAGCTTATTAAAACTAGGATTCAAACCAAGACACTCTGCCTGCAAAGTCCATAATCTATTTTTCTTAATATATATTTATTGATTTGAGAGGAAGAGAGAAAGAGAGAGATCAATGATGAGAATCACTGATCAGCTGCTACAACCCAGGTCTGTGCCTTGACCAGAAATAAAATTGTGACCTCTGGGTTCAGAGGTTGACGCTGAACCACTGAGCCAAGCCAGCTAGGCAAACTTGTACTCTTTAGAAAGGGAAGCTTTTTTTTTTTTTTTTTTTTTTTTTTTTTAGTGTCTGGGTTTTTTATTGTTGTTTTTTATTGTTTAAAGTATTACATGGAGGAGAAGCTAAGATGGTGGCATAGGTAAGCACCTGAACTTGCTGCCTCACACAAGCACTTCAAAACTACAACTAAAAGACAAAACAGACATCATCCAGAACCACAGGAAGGCTGACAGAGTGGAAATTCTACAATTAGAAGAAAAGAGAAAAGCACACTGAGACCCAGAAGAGGTGCAGAGGTAATAAAGGCAGAGGTATGGAGGCACGCAGGCTGAGAGGGCTAACAACTGAGTATGTGGCTTTTTCAAGCGGGAGGGAGACACAAGATCCCGACTGCTCTGGACTCCAGTTCTGGGCAAGACTCTGGGGACCCAGATTCATACAAAGAGAAAGTGGACTGTCTGGCATCAGGCGGAACTCGGTTTTCTCTGAGAGATACTTGCAGCGATTACCGAGGGACACTGAGACCGGGGGCCTCTTGGGGCAGGGCTGTCAGGAGGCCATTGCTGTTTGCTCTGCCCTGAGACCCTGTCCCACTCAAGCTGTGTGCAAAGGCTTTTGCATATGAATGGCCTGGTCCTTTCAAATCTAAAATTACCTAACAAACTGCAGCTGATTCAGAGAGACCCAGAACTTCCAAAAGAAGGCCCAAGGCCCCAAAGCAGCTGGCACTGCTTCAGAGCTGGGCCTTATCTGGGCCTTATCCGAAACCCAAACAAAGAGAAGGAATCTGCAGATCTCTCCGTAGCTACTGCTGGGTGGCCTCAGGCAAAGGCTAAATTAACACCTCCTAAGAGATCCAAGAGCCAATGGACCCAGGGGTCAGAGTGGGGCCATCCAGATTACAACTCCTCAAATTCATAAGGGACACACTCAGGGGATAGACTCAGCAAGCACCAAAGCCCGATAGAAGAAAGGCTTGCCTCATAAGGATATCTCCAGCACAGAAGTTCTTCCATCGTAGACACAGCTGATCCTCACAGCCAAGTGGCCTGGAGGTCAATTCCTCCCAGTGATACCAACAACAATCAAGACTTAACTACAACAAGATTGTGCACACAGCCCACAAAGGGTGCACCAAGAGTGTCCACCCCGGGTAACTGGGGAGGCTGAGCCACTGGGACCCTATTGGACACCGAGCACACAAAGCCACTCTATCAACTCAGGAAAGTAGCCAAAATGTGGAGACAAAGAAACAGGTCACAAATAAAAGAAATGGAGGAAAGCAAATGACTGGATATAGAGTTCAAAACCACGGTTTATAAGGTTTTTCAAGAATTTTCTAAAAACCGCCGATAAATTTAGTAAGACCCTTGAGGATATGAAAAGTGACCAACTAGAAATTAAGCATACACTGATTAAAATAAAGAATACTATACAGAGATATAACAGCAAACTAGAGGATCACAAGAATCAAGTCAAAGATGTGAAATACAAAGAAGCAAAAAACACTCAACTGGAAAAGCTAAAAGAAAAAAGAATCCAAAAAATATGAAAATAGTGTAAGGAGTCTCTGGGACAACTTCAAGTGTACCAACATCAGAATTACGGGAGTGCCAGAAGAAGAGAGAGAACAAGACACTGAAAACCTATTTGAAGAAATAATGGCAGAAAACTTCCCCCCACCTGGTGAAAAGAAATAGACTTACAAGTCCAAGAAGCGCACAGAATCCCAAACAAAAGGAACCCAAAGAAGACCACACCAAGACACATCATAATTAAAATGCCAAGAGCAAAAGACAAAGAGAGAATCTTACAAGCAGCAAAAGAAAAATAGTTAGTTACTTACAAGGGAGCACCCATACGACTATTAGCTGATTTCTCAACAAAAACCATGCAGACTAGACGGGAGTGGCAAGAAATATTCAAAGTGATGAATAGCAAGAACCTACAACCAAGATTACTCTACCCAGCAAAATTATCATTCAGAATTAAAGAGCAGATAAAAAGCTTCACAGGTCAGAAAAAGCTAAAGGCGTACATCACCACCAAACCAGTATTATATGAAATGCTAAAAGGTATTCTTTAAAAAGAGGAAAAAGAAGAAAAAGTAAAAACAAAAATTATGAACAAAAAATACATATCTATCAACAAGTGAATCTAAAAGTCAAGTGAATTAAAAATCTGAGGAAGAGAATAAATTGGTGAATATAATAGAATCAGGGGCATAAAATGGAAGGGGATTGATAATTCTCAGGGGGAAAGGGGTGTCTGTGTGGGGGGTATGGGAAGAGATTGGACAAAAATCATACACCTATGGATGAGGACGGGGGTGGGGGGTGGAGGGAAGGAGGGAAGGGCAAAGGATGGGGTGGGGACCAAGTGGAGGGGAGTTATGGGGGTTAGGGGGAGAAACAATTGTAATAATCTGAACAATAAAGATTAAGATAAAAATAAATAAAAAAACAGAAACTCTATAATTTTGTATGAACAGGACTGATTTTTCCCCCCTTCACTCACAATATTATGTCTCTGACATCTTTTTGGGCAATAAAAACATTTTCCCTTTAAAAAAAACAAAACAAAAACAAACAAAAAAAATTACTTTAAATGTTCCAATCGAAAGACATAGTGGTTGAATGGATAACAAAATAAGACCCTTACATATGCTTCTACAAAAGACGCACCTCAAATTGAAAGATACACACCCTCTGAAAGTAAAGGGATGGAAAAGGTATTCCATGAAGATGGAAGTGTTGGGGGGAAAAAGCTGAGGTAGCAGCACTTATTTATCAATAATATGCATGAATGACTTATAATGAGAGAAGTGGAGTAATTCTTAGTCTTTAAAATGTGCTTTCTATGAAACATTGCTGTACAAGCAATACTTTGAACATACTGATTATATAATTATTATGATAGAAATTAAAGTAAGTTTTATCTGTTTGGAGAGAAAAAAGAATGAGTTGAGTAGTACAGGTTCTACGGAAGACAAATTAATCCTGAAAGAAATTATCGTCTGGACAATGACTTACCCAATGGGCTGTGCTGGCCAGTGCACAACAGGAGCCGTAGCATGAACTGCAGGCTGCACTCCCATCATTCCCGACCCATCTTAAAAAAACACAAAAACATTTATTCCAGAGTACCTGTTTAATAAAACTTTATATCTAAAAGAAAAGTGACATACTGAAAATGTTACCTAAAAAAAAAAATCTATATTTCCTTCTGGGTTAGGAATTATCAAAGCACAATGTAAGAAAATACAATATAGTAATTTCTATTGAAATCTAGATAAAAGGAAAATAACTATAAATAATAGGGCATTATTAAATATATATTTTATTAGCATTAAGTAAAGCTGTGCTTTTCTCATTTACATATTTTTGCTTACACAAAAATCAATTTTCCTAGCTGATCCAGTGGGAAAAAATGTTTAGTCTATAGATAACTTACAATAAGCCAGACTAGGATCCATAGTATTCCTGGCTCCATAAAAATAGTATGCATCATCATAGGGAGTTCTATAGTTAGTAACCAAAGGTGGTAGTAGTGGAGGCGGAGGCAGATGTGCAATCCTATACCAAAAGAAAATTGGAAAATTCTCATATTACATTGTAATATTTTTTAAAAAAAGATATCATTGTTTTGCAAAAATGTTACTGAAAATCTGATTGCTGCTTTAGAAGATTCCAGTCCCGTCTAGTCTTTTCAGAAAGGAAGGCAGAAGAAACAAACACCTGATAAATACAGTAAACACAGACCTACAGCTTGTTAGTACTAAATAGAAGTCCTACTGAAAAGAAAGTACAGCCCAGAAAATATTACTGTTAACAAAGAAAAACAGTTGGTTAAACACATTACTATAATACATTAATAATAGCAATAAAACAGTTCCAGTCCTCCTAAGAGAAGTTAAGTATAGCCCAGAAAAATATCAATGTGAACAAGAGAATTTTCAGTATGTAAAGTGTAGAATAGAATTTTTATCAACAGAAAGCACATCTTTTCCATAATTCCTAAATCACAGGTTTATAATCTCAACAGTTTTCATTTCAGGTATATGAATTACATAGCCCGTAAGTAATCACAGAGAAAAAGTTGGATGAAATAGAAGTTAAAATATAGATAGATAGATAGATAGATAGATATAGATAGGTAGATATCACATTAGAAGTCACTTTTCTCTACAAATTGAAGTATTCAATATTTGCCAAATGGAATTACAAAACTGAAGAAAATATAAGTTTACATGTTTAAAGATACTTAAAATATTCAAAAATATGACTTAAAACTAAATACTAAATGCACTGATGCATTCTAAAAATTCTAAAGCATCTTTCAACAATAAAAGAATGTTATAAGAATTTTCCTTGTTTTTATCAGAACAGAGAAAAGTCCAACAATGAAAACATTTCAAGAGAAATTATTTTACAAAAGTTGTTAATTACACAGAAATCTCTAATGGCTAATGGTACCTGCTCAGAAAATCCTTCTGACCATAACAACACCTTCCCCAATTCCCAAACATAAAACATTTCAACAAGCACCTGGGAGGCACCATTTCACCAAGGGTGCTGCTGAGTCCACTGTACGGATCTTCACTCTGCGGTGGGATGCAGGGAGCTGGGGGGCAGGAGGGGGAATGAGGGGCAGATAAAGGAGGGAGAGGGGTCTGGAAAGCTACTCTGGGTCTTTCAGGTGGGATCGTCTCTTCATGGTATCTTGGTGACACACTGAACTGCTTTAGTCTATCGGGCTAAATAAAGAAAAGATATCTGTTTGTTATATACTGCCAGCCGACACATTACTCAGAAAATAACACAATTTTACAGCCAAAAGATTTTGCAGATCTAATCCCTATTTTATAAATGGGGTAACTGAGATCCCCCTGAAAGTACACAAACACCTAGTGTCTCACTGCTAATAAATAACCAGGCAAAGACCAGAGCCAGATATTAATTCTAAATACAAACTCTATTATACCACATTATGCTGCTTCTCTGACATCAAAGTATTCTTCAGTCAGCAAACATTTTGAGCCATATATGTATCAGGCTCTATTCATCCCAAAACAGTATTCTTCCCCCCCTCCCCCACCCATGATTATCTTCTCCAGCAATGATTTGTCAGATTAATCTAAAGTTTTATTCTATGAGCAGTCAAAAAGTACACTGAGAATGAGTGGTGCTGGTGAGATAATAACTTTTTAAACAGATAAACCCCCAAGGATCTATATAATTAGCATAAGTAAAAAAGTAAATCAAAAGTTGTCTACAGTTGAATAATTTTAAGTTGCTGTATTCTTTAAAGAATTAACTTTTTAGTAAAATTAAAGTTTCTTAATTATTATTCAAAGATGAAACTAAAACTTGCCTTAGCAAGTAAATTCTACCTATCCAACTACAGAAAAAGTACACTGTGAGAAGAACAATACATTATTACCTTCTTACTTAACTGCAATGATGTAATTCATTCCACTTAATGATGAGAATTACAAGATTAAAGTAAAAATAAAGTCATCTTTCTAGTTTTACATTAAATAAAATTACCAGCTTATAGTCTAGAATTAAAGATTTCAGTTTCTTTGGAAATCACTCGAATATAAGAGTGATCAAGAGACACTCAACAAAATATTAACATCTATTGTAAATTAAACTGAAATAACTCTCCCATAAACCAATATAGATAAACAAAGTACAAAGGACTAATTTGAAACAACTGAAAAAAGGCATATATAAAAAAGTAAAAATTAGCTTAGTGAAATAAGTTTAGGTTATCAGTATTCAAACGGATCTACTCTTACATTTCCCCAATATTTTCTGTCTGTCTCCACCTGCTGGCACAACTGAAGCTTATTTGACTGAATGATTAAACATTAAAAGATGTCAGGAATCCTTACCGATTTCTCGGGGTCCTGGGCTCCAGAAGCTGCAACTCTGAGTTCCAGATCTTTTTCTCTAAACAAAATTAAAGTCTTATATATTAAAAAAATTATAGTAATCACAACAAAATCATAATCATTACTGAAACATATATACAATGTCTATGCAACAACATCTCCAAATACAAATAATTCATTTAACTGAAAATAAATCCTTAAAACTAAATTTTTCTTATTTGGTGTAAACTACAATTCACATGTACACTGAGATGAACAAGTTCTCTAAACCAGTGCCTGGGGTACTTTAAAACCTAAGTAATTTACACAGAATAAAGTACAGAAGTAAAACAAAATTTTTACTTCTTTTAGGTCCATGTATATTTCCAGTTCTCAAAAAAGGTAAAAAATTAAAAATTCATACCATACTTTCTAACGAGTTTTTTAAAAATGTTTACAATGGTTAATATCAGACAGTAGATACTGGCTTCCTCTTAGAAGACAAATGACAAAACTAAAAAATAATAGATCTCACCCTGGCCAGTTGGTCAGCATTGCCCCATGCAACGAAGGTTGCCAGTTCAATTCCTGGTCAGGGCACATGCCCTCGCTGCAGGCTCAATCCCCGTGCAGGGGGCAGCCAATAGAACTATCACATCAATGTTTCTCTCTCTCTTTTCCTCCCTCTCTTTCTCAAAATCAATAAAAATATTTCTTAAATAAGACTCAAATTCTCTAGAACTAAGATACCTAGTCGTAATTTAAACTGTAATTAATATTTCACAGGTGCTTCTACAGGAAAAATTACAAACACAGAAACTTGTATACGATATAAAAATCTGTGGATTTTTCAATGATTGTTTTTATACTATATATATTTACATTGTTAGAAGGTAAAATATTTTTCTTTTATATTTCTTATTATATATAGATAATACAAGTGGGCATGCAGATAACTTTAAATGCTATCCTCAGTCAATAATTGAAGAAATTAATTCAAGTATGTAAGAAATTAATTCAAGTATGTAATAATATACTATATCGTCTCATTTGTTACCTATCACAAAGAAAATGAACACTGAGAGCATTTATTACCTTGCTGATTTACAATGTGCAGATTGAAATTAAAGTGATTTACAAATACAAAAGTACATTAGGAAAAATATCCTCTTTTTACTACAAAATAGTTATTTACCACTATCTCATTTTACACAAATGCATTTTTAATCCAAATCCTCTCTTTTAAATGCAAACCTTTCATTACCGTCTCTTGTTCTCCTTTTGTTTAGCCATTTGTTCCAACAGTTCTTGTCTATATTTTTCTTTTTTTTTCTGAACAAGTTCTCGATCTTCACCTCCTAGAAAGTGATAAGAAGAAAAAAATGCAATCTTAACTCTTGACCACATATGCAACTAGAAATCTGAATTTTTAAAAACCTCCATTTTTAATTATTAGACCAAGGAGTAATCACTACATAAGCTGGAAAATAAAATCATATTTATCATTCAAAGTTCTCATATAATCAATAATTAATTTCATAATGAATATCTACTATGAATCAGACACATTAACCCTTCCTTTTAGTTAAAAGCCTTCCTAAATAAGAATACTCTACTTCCCATCCTCATTTTTCTAATAATTGGGAATGATAACTCCACTAATATCTTCCACCAGTCCCTTAACTTTAACAAGTATGTCCAAACTCAACACTTCGGATTCAACTGCCCCTCTTCGTTTTCTGTTAATGGCATGAAAATCGAACCAAAACCGTACTGTAACTGACTGTTCATCCTTTCTTCTTCACTCCATATGAGGTCCCATTAATCTTAGATGGGTCCTCTCCACAATTCACCTGGATTGCAGCAATAATCTCCTAACCAGTCACCCAAACTCCCCTCTCTGCTTCAGTCATCCAGTACACTTATGTAAGATCAATTATCCTATATAATAAAAGAGAAACATGTAAATTAACAGTACCTCCACTATGCTCACTGGCCAATCAAGAGTATGCAAATTAACCCAACAAAGATGTCAGGCTAATTTGCATACATAGGCGCTGAGTGCAGAGCAGAGTGTGAGAGCCAAGGAAGAGTGGAGCGGTTTGGAGAACATGGCTTCCCAAGCCACCAGACGGAGAACAGAGAGGGAGAGCTGGCGGCTTGGAGGAGCTGGCAGAGCAGAAGGCCTTGAGACGGAGACAGAGCAGGAAGGAAAACCAAAAGCATGGGGAGCACCAGGAATTCGGGGAATATTAGTTCTGATGGCAGCCCCAGGACCCGACGCAGAAGCCCAGAGCACAGGGAGCACCAGGAATGCTGGGAATCACAGTTCTGTGGCGGGTGGATCCCCTAGACACTAGAGCGAAGTGAGCCTGGAGCAAGGTACTGTTGTGGTGGGGGATGGAGGGAAAGCAAAGGTGAGAGACATAAGTAAGATCAGAGTGTCTGGGAATGATTAAAGGGACGATATCCTAAAACTTCTAGGAAATCTCCACCAATGAAGCAAAGGAAAAAAAAAAATGCTTCTATTATTCTGTGAGCAACAAACCAAACTGGGTTGGGGTCTCAGACAATCCGCTCATATGATTGCAAAGACAAACAAACTCCCAGATTGGAGAGGGCTCCCCTGAGGGCTCCTATTGGAAAGGGTGCAGGCCTGGCTAAGGGACCCACACACCGTGCATGAGTCTTCATGCACTGGGCCCCAAGTCTATAATCAAACATTAATCACACTAGTGCCCTGCTAAAAGAAAACAAAAAACCAATGGTTACCTTGATTCTACAGAAAAAACTGTAAGACTCAGCCTGCTATCACTTATGTAAAAATCCAGTTGTGCAAACATTTTGGATCCACCAAAAATTATTATTATTGCATATGTTAATGACATAAAAATCACCTCTTAATCAAGAGATGCATAATCAGATACAACAAAAATCACAGGACATAAAAAACATAACTGAACCAGCAAGTTCTCTATTACTTTAATTATTAGCCTTCCAATTAATAATTAAATGGACATACAGCATCTGAGTCTATCCATAAAGCACAGATGTCAGCAACAGTGGAACTCACACAGGGGAAACAGATTATTGTTAAGGTTAATAATAATGCTTTATAATCAAACTATAGCCTGCCTAGAAATTCGTGCATGGAGGGAGAGGAGGAGGGTTTCCCTCAGCCCAGCCTGCACCCTCTCCAATCTGGGACCCCTTGGGAGATGTCCTACTGCCAGTTTAGGCCCAATCCCAGGGACATTCCTCTTACAATCCTGAATCGCTGGCTCCTAATTGCTCACCTGCCTGCCTCCCTAAACACTCCTAACTACCCTCTCACAGCCTGATCACCCCTGACCGCCTGTCTCCCCTGCCGACCTGTCACCCCACGCAGCCTGCTGCCCAGTCGTTCGGTCGCCCCTCACTAATCTCCCTGCCAGTCTGGTCGCCCATGTTTCATTGGGGGTGCAGGAAGAGACTGGACAAAAATTGTACACCTATGGATGAGGACAGTGGGGGAGAGGGGTGGTAAGGGCAGAGGTTGGGATGGGAACTGGGTGGAGGAGAGCTATGGGGGGAAAAAGAACAATTGTAATAATCTGAATATTTATTAAATAAATAAAGGCCTTTTATGAAGCTCTACAAATCTAATCAACTGTGTAGTTTGCACATACCGAAGAGCATCCCTGCAAAAGGACTACAGATTTCTCGGGTAGATTTGGATGCTTCATTGTCTCGAGCACTGAAACAAAAACAAAAAGAATTAAAACCCAAGTAATTTTCAAAAAACAAAAATTAGAGTAAAAGTAGTTATGTGTTATTGGCCTATAAATACAAATGCTATGATAGTTACATATTTTTAAAGTTAGGGTAAAATATGGCGTTTCTATCTTTTATAGTGTGCCCCAATGTATTCAAGCTCTTTTTTCTTGAGCCTTCTCCACTGGCTCTACAGATTCCTAATAAAACCTTTTTTTTTTTTTTTTTTTTTTAAATAAGAAGTTATCCCAGTGAAGAAAATGAATATAAGTAGACATCTTTTTTAAAAAGGAAAACGGTGATACCTATACATATACTTAGAAATGATCATCCCTTAAAGACTCCTTCCTAGAAAGTTAAGTCCCTCACAGAACCTTCATTAACTTGACCCAAATAACAAAATCTCTTCTCTTAAGCACTTTTTAAAATACTAGAGGCCGTATACAAAATTCATGCACTGGAGCCGGGGGAGGAGGGGTGACCCCACAGCCTGGCCTGCGCCCTCTTGCAGTCTGGGACTCCTTGGGCCTAAGTTGGTAGGTGGACATCGCTCTCACAGTCCCGAACGCCTCACTCCTTACCACCCACCTGCTCACGGCTTCTTAGTACTGCTGCACAGGTGGGGGAGGCTCCTGACATCACTGCTGCACTCACCAGCCATCAGCCAAGCTTCTGGCTGAGCAGTGCTCCCCCTGTGGGAGCACACTGACCACCAAGGGGCAGCTCCTGCGTCAAGCGTCTGCCCCCTGGTGGTCAGTGTGCATCACAGTGGCCGATCATTCTGGTTGTTCCACTGTAATGGTCGCTTAGGCTTTTATTATATAGATATAATGTTTTTATTAATTTCAGAAAGGAAGGGAGAGATAGAAACATCTATGATAAGAAAATATCATTGACTGGCTGCCCTCTGCATGCCCCCTCCAGGGAATTGAGGGAACTGTGACTTCCTGGTTCATACTAGTAGATCAACACTCAGCCTATGAGCCATACTGGCAGGACTATCTCAAGCACTCTTATGAATTACTTTGTTTGGAAAAAAAAAAAATACACTGTTCCTGATACATGACAATATCTTCATTATACACTGAAGATTCAGAAGCACTAATCCTTATTTATGATACAAGAAAGCCAACAAAATGATAAACTATAGAGAACATGAATATAAAATGCATATCATTTCCTTTCTTCTCAAATATGACAATTATATATGAGCACCCATTTTACAATATAAGCATAAAATTATCTACTCAATAAGCTGAAAATAAAAAACAAAGTTTTGAAAGGAAAACTCATTGTGAAATATTTTCAATTTATTTCCAGCTATATACCATCCACTTAACTCAAAGATTACTTTTAATTGATTTTTAGTCCTTTGTATTGTATGTTTATTTTTAGTCCTTTGTATTGTATGTTTATTTCTCACACTATAAAATGACAGGGACTTAAGATCATCTTGGCATACTTTATCATCAAAACTTGCCCTTCAAAAAAATGCTGTAAAAATTCATTTAACACAACTCTCCCCTTCCAAACCTTTTCTTCCAATTCCTTCCTAAATAAGGAAGGCTGTTAAAATACTATCTTTTCACTTTTCAATAAGCCAGTTTTAGCAGGTGCTGTTTCACAGTGTATGCAATGACTGAAGGGCAGAATTTACATTACATACTATACCTTTTATTTCCAGCAGATGAAATTCGTATGTTTGACTGTCCTGTGACACCACCATACTCCACAGAAGGAACATTCCCTCGTCTGTTCCCGTATATCCTTAAAAACACATTAGCTTATCGAGCTTGTTCCACATACAGTGGACCTATGTCTTTGGTGTTTGTGCATTTCATGTTGGAAATATTAAAAGGAACAAAGTGTTATAGTGAAATTTTACTGTAAAAATGTTTTAAAGTTAATGTGAATAGATTTGATTCAAATATGACCAGCTGGTTAGTAAGAGACACTAAGTTTGAATGTCATCATCTTTAAAACAAAAGAAGGTCATTATAAATTATTTCATTATAACATTTAGAAATTTTTAACTTGAAAATTATGCACATACCCTATATACTTTTTCTCACTCCTTTACTCAAATACTATTCATTGAGCATCTACTAAATGCAAGTTCAATTCCAAGCACAAGATAAGGATATGGTCCTTGCCCTCAGGAAGATCATAGTCAAATTTCAAAATGAGGTCATTTTCTTAATCAAAATTCACAGATTCTGGGAATTATTTCGGTGCATACACAAACCTTTAAAACTTAAAAACATAGCCATAGATTTACCATTTAATTAAATCAAATGTAACAAGCCACAACATTTGTTAACAATGTAAATCACATGAAAGAATAAAGATTAGCAATAGGTGCATAGAAAACATCATAAACAGACTGATGCATGGCTAGAAAATGATTAGTTTACTTTAGTTACTAGGTCATAACAACAAGAAAAGATTTTAAAATAATTTATAATGTTTTGCAATTATGTTTTTTTTCCATTTGGCAAAGATTGATTTCTTTAGCTTAATTTCTCATATCAGAAAAACATGATTATTTATATCAACATTTATAGGCAACCATGAAAATCACCATTTCCTAAGTCACAGTTCTTTATATGGCAGTTAAACTACATTGTCTCTCAGGGGGACTACTAGGAAAAAAAAATGCATGGCTGTTAAAGTACGGTTCAATATTTTAGCTGAATTTCATTATCACATTAAGAAAAATGGCAATTTTCAGAAGAAAAGGAACTTCTCATTCTCCACAGAGCCAGCATATAAAATTCACTTGTTTCCATCACACAAGCCATTGTCAATATGATCTGTGGGGAAAAGACTCTACAGGATTATAACATTACTAATGTATGACCTGGCATGACATAAATGTCTTCCCATTTTTTATCCATACCTAAAACAACAGAACCCTCCACGGGCCCTTTCAAAAAGGATTTCAAATGTATTTCAATTAATCGAAACACGGCTGGTCTTCTATCTAAAGTCTAGGTGCTTGAATCCTTTAAAATGACACATACTAAGTTTAGTGTTATTCTGTTCTTCTGCTGCTTAAAGAACAGATAAGAATAAACTCAAATTCAAATTTGCAAATAAAACAACGCCAAGGAACCAGATTTGGTTATAGTGGATCTGTATAACACACATGAGCAGAAAAGGGGTTAGCAGAGCAGGCCTGAGACTGCCTGTCCTTAGAAGGGTCTAGTAGCAAGGCTGGCTCTTGGCCGGCACCTGGGAACAGAGATTTAGGGAGGGGTCCCAACATTCCTAACACTGAAAAGAATGGCTCACTGTGCCTAAACCAGGGATGGGGAACCTTTTCCCTGCCACGGGCCATTTGAATATTTGTATCATCATTCGAGGGCCAAACAAAATTATCAACTTAAAAATTAGCCTGCTACATTTAATCAAAGATTTAATTAGCTCATCCTAATGCCTTGGCAGGGCCAGACCAACTGATTTCTCGGGCCTTATGTGGCCCATGGGCCAAAAGTTCCCCACTCCTGGCCTAAACTGTTTGTACAAACAATATAGTTTATGTTAACATTGCTTTCCTCCAGAAAGTCTGTAGTTTTGTTACAAATAGGAAAAGGGTGCTTATGTAACCAGCTCCAATAAAAACAGTGGGACTGAGTCTATAATGAGCTTTCACGTTAGCCAACATTTCACCCATGTTGTCACCAACTGGATACTGGAAGTATTAAACATGTCATACGAGACTCCACTGGGAGAAAACTCTTTCTTGGCCTGGTTGCCTCTGGACTTTGTCCCATGCACCTTCTTCCTTTCCTAATTTTATTTTATATCCTTTCAACTATAATAAGTCATAGCCAGGAATAACTATGCATGAAGTCTTGTGAGTCCTCCTTAGGAATCCCTGAACCTGGGTGCGGTCTTGCGAACCCTCAAAATAACAGACAAAAGTAAACTTACTGATGTGGTACAGAGGTGCCTAGACCACGTTTTCAGATATAGAAAAATTCAAACTTATGAATTTTTAAAAACATCACTTGGGATTAAATCAAAATTAACAAGAACTGACGGCTACTGACACATACAAAAATTCTTTCTAAAATTTACCAAAGAGTTTGTGGTTTCCTGCACTTTCAGCTAAGTTTGAACTTGAATTTCTAGCTTATTTTTATAAACTATACCACAGTACAATATCGAAAGCACCTACATGAAACATGTTTAATAAGTTCTATAGTATATATAGACATCTTAATAAAGCAAACACTATAAACTACAGAAAATTACATGATTTTATGTAGAAGGTCAAGATCTCTGCTAGATTCTACAGAAAAATTACAAAGATTTTCTAATGGACAGGGCATATAAAAGATAGTTGAGTCCTCGCTAGTTTGGCTCAGCGGATAGAGCATTGGCCTGTGGACTGAATGGTCCCAGATTCGATTCTGGCCAGGGCACATACTTGGGTTGCAGGTTCAATCCCCGGTAGGGGGTGTGCAGGAGACAGCCAATCAATGATTGTCTCTCATCATTGATGTTTCTATCTTTCCCTCTCACTTCCTCTCTAAAATCAATAAAATATATATATATTTTTTAAAAGAGATAGTTGAAGGTGTGCTCCTTCACTAAAGAAAAATATTTATTAATGAAATTATAAAAGTCTCCTTATCCTTGATAATTACAATAAAGTCAAAACTAGAGAAATATTTAAGAACCCAAAAATGAGCAGAGATATGAATTTCACTAAAAAGGACAAAATAAAAATTTAAGGTATCCTATTCAATTTTATGAAATGGCTGGTATAAATTATAAGTTATTAATACAAGACATAAAATAAATAAGAAAACTAGAAAGGAAACTTACAAGCTGTGAAGGCAAATTATAGTTTAAAAAGTTAGTCACCTTACTATCTATTAAAACCTATATAATAGGTTAGAGAGCTAGAAACGTCGATGAGAGAGAATCATCGACCAGCTGCCTCTTGCACACCCCCTACTGGGGATATGCCCGCAACCAAGGTACATGCCCTTGACCGGAATCGAACCCGGGACCTTTCAGTCCGTAGACCGATGCTCTACCACTGAGCCAAACCGGTGCCGGCTAGCCTATGATTTTAAATCAACAGGTTCACTTATCACACCTCAATCCATTCGATTTTGTCAGCAAGGGACAGACCTCACAAAAGAAAAAAGTTTGCTTACTTTGACTTAGAAAATCAGGTTTGCTTGAGGGAATAAATGTAAAATAGTTACACCATCCTACTATCAAAAAAAAAGTTGAAGGTTATGTTAAATGGAAAAAGCTTTGTTCTCTAATTCCTTGAATTAGGTTCAAATCTCAAAGCCCAAAGAAACCAGGTATAGGCTAGAAGCCAAAATTACTCTAAAAATTAATAGTTTATCTATTTTTAAAAATTAGTCCCTTACAGAAAAAAAGTGAATTGTTTGAAACCACAGGTATTTTCAACTAACTTACATGTAAATGAACAACTCCTAAATGATAATGAATAACTTAAAACTACTGCAGAAATAAATTTACAATGTTTTTGGCTATGGAGAATAACACATTATAGAAATAGAATGTTTACCATCAGTTGGTCCTACATTAATACAGTTCATAGGGAGGAAGAATATAATGTCTCCTTAAAGAAATCACCTAATCCATAATAATGGTTACATCATCTTGTTTCATATTAAGAATTTCTCTAATGTAAATGAATTCTACTAAGTGTGTACGAAAGTTAAAAAAACAAAAAAACAAAAAAACAGAGCCATAACTATATTTTTCTCATTGTTTTCAATTGTTTCCCCATTTTTACATTTAATTCCAAAACATTTTTTCAAATATCAACCCCATCTTTAAAATGGGGAAAATAATTAAAATGTTCCTTCTAAAGATAAATGAAAATTATTATAAGAAAAAAAAATACCAAATTAAGTAACTCGTGTTCTAATAAGCTATTCCTCCTCATTTATGTCTTTGTATTAAGCATGCACACTTCTTAAAATGCTCTACACTAAAAACCTATGTGGCTAACACAGAGATTCTAATTTCAGATGGAGTATTATCTCAGAATTTTATTAAATGACTTAAGATTACAAACTATCAAATAGTAAAAGTTAAGGTGGAGTGCAAACTACAGTAAACATAAAAAAAAAATTTAAAATAATTTTTTTAAAAGCCAGCAGCATTTTTAATGCTAAAAATGTCCTTTACTCATTAACTCTGGTTATAGAGTAAAACATAAAATGGCAATTTATTAACTTCTCTAACTCAAGTTAATAATAAAAAGGAGGGTGACTATATTTTAAAAGTGCCTATAAACTTCCAAGTATTATAAGACACTAGTACATTCAAATTTAGAAAGCTCAAAAAACATAAATTTTAATTAAATTGGTAAATATATCTGAATAAATATACACTCACACATTTCAATTGTCAAGCAAAGTTAACAAACTTGTTAACTATTAAAAACATTGCCAGTAATTATTAGTTTAGAAAAGTAAACTCATTTCTGGGCTCTAGTTTTCTTTCCCATATTTAACGTGGGGAAATAAATCATTAATAAATACATATAGAATATGAAAAGTTTATAGGGAAATTGAAAAGAACTAAGTCCACCCAGCCAGTGTGGGTCAGTGGCTGCGCATCGACCCAACCCATGCACCAAGAGGTCGCCAGTTCTATTCCCAGTCAAGACACATGCCCTGATAATGGTAGGCTCAATCCCCAGTGGCTGTGTAGGAGGCAGCCAATTGAAATTGCTCTCTAATCAATGTTTCTATCTCTTTCTCCTTCCTATCACTCTAACAATCAATAAAAACATTTTTTAAAAGAATAGAACTAAGACCAAAAATATAAATTAAAAAATATTAAAAATCTTAACTAGAATTTATCACATGCTAACTTTTGGAAGAAAAGAGAGAATGAAAACTCAGAATGAAGGAAATTTAATTTTGTATTTCTCACAATCAATTATAATTTTTTTTGTCAAGAACTTCTGGTTAAGATTATAGTATACTGGAGGCCTGGTGCATGAATTAGTACACATGTGGGTCCCTCAGCCTGGCCGGAGATCAGAGCCAATTGGCCCAATCATGAGGGGCCGGCAGGCTGGGGGGAGGGGCAGCGGAAAGTTGTCCAGCCAGGGGGAGGGACCGCACAGAGATTGGCTGGCCAGGGATAGGAACCCCGGTAGATTTGCAGGCCACGGGGAGGGATTTCAGGAGGTTGGCCCGGCCAAGGGGAGGGACCACAGGTTAGCCAGCCAGCCCCCCACATCGGGGCCAATTGGAGGGGCCAGCTGGCCAGGAGGAGGGACTGTGAGAAGTTGGCCAGTTGCAAGAGGTTGGCTGTGGGAGCACACTGACCACCAGGGGGCAGCTCCTGAGTTGAGCATCTAGTGGTCAGTGCACATCATAACGACCAGTCCACTGGTCGTTTGGTTGTCTATTGCTTAGGCTTTTATATATATAAAGAATAAATGGTTAGAACAAGATACCAAATGCAATTACACATTCCTTTAATTTAAAAAATTTCACTAACCAAGTCATTTTCCTGACTACCACTCTGCCTGTTAAATAAAACCTTCTGAATGATCAATGTGTTTGTTTGTTTTTTTGTTTGTTTGTTTTGCTGGAAATAAGAAATCCACTAATCTGAAATACAGAAATTCAATTTTAACCTCAATTGCCATGCTGACATGTGTGACAAACCTTACACTAGAAATTTATGCATTAACAAACTAGAAGTAACATACAATAATCACATTTTCAAGAATTACTTTTATAAACTTTGAAATATGTAACAGGAATTATTCTCACTCATTCTCATTTAAACTAATCATAAAATACTACTTGAAAAAGATAATACAGAAAAAGTTCATTTATGGGGTACATAGAAAATAAGATAGTGCCCAAATAGGCTAAAATTAATTTGTTAGTTCATGTATAGTATCATCACAGGGTATATTACAAATAGAATAGGCAAAGCAACAACCTTATAATAAGTTTCATGAAATCCCAAACTTAAAAGGTATGCAATATATTACATTCCAAAGGTAAACAAACACGATAAGGAAAAAAGTTCTCATGTACAAAGATGGTAGCAACACAAGTCCAAGATTACCTGCAGTTCCCCAGTTGGTAATTTTTTTAGATCAGGCTGCCTTTGAATACCTTCTGACATAAACATTTTCAAATATAACAATTATAGGATTTGGAGCATTTTTTAAAGTACAAACAATTGGATTCAAATCAGAGATTAATATAGTTGGCATTGCAACATTCTAGTCCTTCATTCAAATTACTTAAATTGAGGTGAATATTAAAAAGATTGAGTGAGCAGAACATAATAGCTACAGAATAAAGAGAAGACCCAAAACTGTAAAGGCTTTGTATTATTAATTAGAATTCTGAATGTTCAGCATTATGTCTTGGAAAATTTCCTAAAATACTAAAAAAAAAAAAAAAAAAAAAAAAAAAAAAAAAAAAAAAAAAAAAAGTAATCTATTTGGACAAATAAATTAAACAGGTCCCCTTAAATGCTCCAAATTTAGATTTAAACATTTCACGTTAACAAGTCAATGGCAAATACGGGACCCTGCCATATTTCTATCTCCAAATTAAAAGGTTGAAGGATAGCAAGTTTTAAGTATTAAAACAAATGACTAAAAAATAAGAAATTACAAATAGCAAAACAAAAACAATCATCAAAAAAAACTGAAAATCATGTGAAAATCTTATTTAAAAAATTACTGCCATTTCACTTAATTAAATGTTCAATAAGTAACTTAAAAACAAAGAAATATACTGATAAAAGGATTTAGAACATAGGAACATTAACGGCATAAACTATTACATCTATTTTAAGGTGCTCTTTTTGTCCCACATTCTAATATCTGAAATTAGCCATCGACCTGGTTTTATGTCAAGTTCTTGCAGAGAGGAGCTAATGTCCTCCCAGTCACCTAAGGGCACTGTGAAGGTGAGACAACTGTGAATCTCTCCTCCAGGTTTTTTTTGGATAATACAGGCAGCTTGAATTCGGACTGCAAACCCAAGTCAGTACTAGCTGACAATTCAATTCCCAAGGAAGTTACTTTTTACTCCCTCTTCTTGGTGCCAAGTTTGAGGCATGGAAGTTTTTCTGTCCATTTCTGTGGGAAAGTTTATTTCCCATTTAATTCTATATAAAAGTTGTAGTTTTTCAGTGTTCCAGCTTTATGACAAGGTCCTTTTCTCCCCAACTTGTGTGTTTTATTTATTATCTCAGTGGCACATAAAATAATGGCATAACTTAAAGCTGACAGCATCTTAGAATTAAATATGTAAATCAAATGTAACTGATTCTGCCTCATATGATGATAAAAAGTAACATCAATAATGAGCAAGTAAAGAAAATAAAAATGAAGTTGTAAATACCTGTCATTTGTATACACTCTCAAAGGTCTTCTATCATAATCACTTTCATATCTAAACCTGTCGTCCATTTCTTCACTTACTTCAGGATCTTGGTCTGGCATATAATACTGTTTGTCCCAGACACGATCTTCATTAAACCGGCTGAATCTTCTATCTGGAATGTTAACCTTGCTGGCAAACCTTTGATGTTTTTTGTTGGAAATGTCCACTTCTTCATTTGTTTTCTTAATGATTCTTCTATTCCTTAATTCAATTTCATCATCTAGTTGTCGATATCTGTCCTCCTCTAGTCGTCTTTGGTTTAAAAGTTCTTCATATGCCTCTGAAGGAGTTAAGACATCTCTCCTGGGACCTTCTGAATTTTGGCAAGATGTTTTTATTTGTGAAAGTATATCAGATTTAACTGGACCAATAGGTTTTTTATTTCTTTGACTTTTATGCTGGTCAATTAAAAAAAAGAAGAAAAGAAAAGCTTTTAATGAGATCCTGTTTCTTAAAGGGTAATTAAACTCTAAATGATGCTCAGTCTATTAATCATCTCAATTCTAAGGATTAATCACCTATAAGTGATATCTTATCTTTAGGGGGAAAAAAACTTCAGAATTTACATCCTTTAATAATACTTAATAAATGTCAAATATACAGATAACAGTAATATGGATAAAGTAGATATAAAAGGAAAGATAAATTAAATGCAAATTCCTATCCCAGGAGATATTAAGCATACTTTGGCAGCTAAATATTGCTTCAAAATATTTCAAATTAAGTTCTTTCTTAACACAAAGAATACAGAAAGTGATAAATTTTTTTGCTCTCATAACATCAACCATCCTTAAATTTGGCGGGGGGGGGGGGGGGGGGGAGAGAAGGATACACATACACATACACACACACACACACACACACACACACACACTGTCAATAAAAGAAAAACACTTAAAAATAAATAAATAGCCCTCACCGGTTTGGCTTTGAGTGTTGTCCCATGTACTAAAAAGTCACCCATTTGATTCCCGGTTAGGGCACATGCCCAGATTATGGGCTGATTCCCCTGAGTAGGGGGCACGCAAGAGGCAGCCGATAAATGTTTATCTCTCACACTATGTTTCTCTCTCGCTCTCTCCTCTATCTTCCTTTATCTCTCAAAAAAAAAATTATTAACATATTTAAAAAATAAACAAAAATCACATACAACCAAATCTCTAAATTGAATTAAATTAAAAAGTAGGTTAAGTTCTTCACCTAAAAGTAGGTTAAGTCAGTTTTATGAGATAAAACCATTTGTAAATGTTTTGGTTTGATTTGGCTTTTTATAAAACATAACGTTAAAAAACAAATGTCTAACATAAAAATACAGGCAGTCCTCGGGTTATGTCGGACTCAACGTACATTTCATGTTTACACAGCCATCTCCCATCCTTTAAAATAAAGAGTTAATATGAAAATGGTTGTCACACCCTCATGCCATCATGCCATAATGGCTCAGATAACTCAATGCTGGGGAGAAAGGAATGGGGACCAGCAAGGCACAAATGAGCTCGCGAGAGAGGAATGGGGACTAGCCAGGCTGCAGCCCAGGAGAGTAACAAGCCACTTGCCCCATGGTCCCAGGTGCCAGGGGCTGCGCCTGCAGCCCGGGAGAGGGACAAGCTGCACACCCCATGGTCCCGGGCGCCAGCAGCTGTGTCTGCACCTGTGGCCTGGGAGAGGGACGAGCTGCCGGCCCCACAGTCCTGGGCACCAAATGCTGCGTCTGCAGCCCAGGACAGACACAAGCTGCCCTGCCCCCGGTCCCAGGCGCCTGTGGCTGTGGCCCAGGTAAAGCCACCCGCCCTCCGTCCCCTGCAGCTGTGGCCAGTCCTGGATGCCTGCTGCTGGCCAGAAGAAGGAAAGCCTGGGTCCCAGGTGCCTGTGACCGGCCGGAGAAGGAAAGCCTGGGTATGGGGCAAGGCAGAGGTGGTTAGGGGCAATCAGGTCAGTAGGAGAGCAGTTACAGGGGATCAGGCAGGCCGGCAGACAAGTGGTTAGGAACCTGCGGTCCTGGATTGTGAGAGGCATTTGGACATCCTCTGATGGGTCCCGGATTGGAGAGGGTATAGGCCAGGCTGAGGGATCCTTCCCCCGACTCCATGCACGAATTTCATGCACCGGGCCTCTAGTTTATTTAAAAAAAATAAAGTTCCATCATTTCGTATATGTACATATATGCTTTATGTTTTTTATTATTTACCACAAGTAAAGCTCAGGAATTGTTATCTTTCTTTTAAATTGTTTTTACTGTTCCACTTCATGACTGCTATGTATGTGCTCCATGTGAGTGACAAGTGCTTATGTAGGTGGGTTCCCACTTATGGCGAAAATCATGTTATACTGCACCACAGGAACAGATCTCCGACATAACCCAAGGACCTACTGTATTTCAAGTAAAGTGCAAAATATTTATCTGTAGCATTAAAGATTGATTTTAAGAGCAACACCCACCTCAGTACTCTTTTCTACTTGTCTGAACTTTTCAGTGGATTCTTCCTTACCCTTGAGAAATTGATTGTATTCTTTGTTGCGTTCAAGTTTCAACCTTTCCTTAAAATAAACATCAAAAGGCAATGTTAATTTCTGCTTGAGGAAAAAAGTACCTTAATGTTAAATCAGAAGCACAAATCAGTGATCTTGCCCAGAATTAAGTTTTAGTAATAATTTTAAGGACAGTAGTTGCAAAGCAGGAGGTTACAGACCATCAATGCAGCTCCCCTTTTCTATCATGTTAAAATGCCTAAGCATCACAACATGCTTAAGGCATGCCCCATAAATCCACGGATTCTAGGTTTATCAACAGCAATCCTAGATAATCCAGGTGCACTATGTCAAAATTATCATAAATAAATCTTTCCCACTAGTAAATGCACAGTGTGTTTGCCAGGAAGTCTGTCATTAGCATGTTCCCAGGAAGATCTGATCACCTTACTTTCCTTCTTTCCAGAGCTATCTCCTGCTCCAACACCCACCCCTCCCAAAAGGCCTGCTGCTAGCCATTTTAAATATAAAAGTTAAATTATCATAGACAACAAAACATTATAATGTAAATGTTCTGTTGAAACCTCCAAAGAGTATGTACATGTATTTATGGCGTGACTGAAATAGACATTTTTCCACATCCTCACCCTAAATAAAAACTCAGTATATTCCACCATCTATCCATTTTGCTGTTACAGAGTATAGACTTTACAGCTCAGAAACAATTCCGGAAAATGCAAATTATGAATATTCAATTATCAACATATTAAAGAAATATGTCACATTACATAGTTTTAAATGTAATGTTCAAAAAAAATTTTAAGCAGCATACCTAGAGACTCTTCAGACTTTTGGAAAAATAAATATATTCAAGAACAGAAAATGATGGAATCTGTTTGCATTTAAATCCGGAATATGGTTTTTCATGATTGTGATTCCTCATAAAACTGCTACCCACAATAACTACTCCCATCTACCTACCTTGGCAGATAACCTGTCACCAATAGGAAGAGAAACTCCCAGAGTAGATGGATCTGTTTCACTCGTGGATAGAAAATTTTTCTGTGCATATACATATAAAAAATATATTATTGCCTTTATAAAAGATTTCATAAATATATCTAAGTAAGATATTGTAGGCTATTACATTATGCGGAGCAAAAAAAAAAAATGGAGATGAAGACAGAAACTACAAATCATAATTAGGATTATCCACAACTTCCTGAAGAGGAGAATCAAATCTTAATTTTCATTTGCAATATATATATATATATATATATATATATATATATATATATATAGAAAGAGAGAGAGAGAGAGCGAGCTATTAATTCAAGGTGAATTTATAAAGCATAAGAAAAGAAGAAACTGTTGCTTAATTCATATTCCTCTTCACTCTTGATGCCCTACTATTCTTTTGTTAAGGAAAATTTACACTTCCTCACAAATATCCTATGCATGCTGCATAACGTTATTTTCCTTACAATTGTAAGTGGCTAACTACTAAAATGTCAGAAGATATAGACTATGAAGACAGTTTCTTTATGTGTCCTTCCATTTTTGTTCAGTAAACATTTAGATAATGCAGTGTGTAGACAGGGCATTAGACTAGGAGTCAAAAGAGCTAGGTTCTAGAAGTAGCCCCAACACTTTTCTGATGTGCAGCACTGAGCAAATCACTTTACTGCCCTGACCCATACTTCCTTCTTCTATCAAATGAGAATGGTATCTGCTCTGCCTACTCACCAAAGCTGTATTTGGGATCAAGGAAGATAAAAAAAATGTAATATCTCTTTGAATATGATAAAGCAAACACAAGGGACTATTAAAAAATTTATACAATCCCCAACTTGTTGATACTGCTGCTTAGTAGTATATAAGCAGCGGTTTGTCTGTCAAACAGGAGTGTCATCTACATGAGTAGGTTATGAGGATTAAATAATCAATAGTTATTAACCTGTTCAGCTCCATGCCTCTTATTTATTCATTAAACAAGCAATTATTGACCATGTAATATTTTTGAGTTACTTTTTTCAAGGTGATTGGGAGAGAAAAATAAGCATATGTTCTCTATAATCAAGGGATTTACAATTCAGTTGGGTAAACAAATAACTACAATACAATGAACTAAGAACTTTAATAGAGTTGTATTCAAAATATGGGAACAGACTAATAAAACTAAATCATTAATAAAGTTTCATTAAATCTAAATTTATTAATAATTTTATTTGTGCTACAAAAGCTAATCTGAAAATTGGTAGAACTCTAAATTTGTCAAGGGAAATAATCTGACTCATCAGTCATATTATTCAATCCCCTATATATCAAGGCAAACAATAAATATAATCATTTGTAGAGTTATACATTTACAATAGAACACACTCCTGTTCCAATCCTGGGAAAGATAAAGCACCTCACTCCTTCACTTGGGAGCAATTCCCCACTCCCAATCCAGGTCCAGGATATTTGAAATTTTCAATATAATGAATAAAATAAACAATAAGGCCAATACAATGTGTTGCAAAAAAAGAAAAAAAGAATTTTAACCATTCACTCATTCATTAAATAAATACTGAATGCCTACTATGTTCAAAACTGATACTTTTGAGACTCTTCAGTGAAGAGAACATGATCTCCTTCCAATGGAACTCTGCCTTCCTAAAGCTTATATTCAACAGGGGAAACTGACAAAAAAGAATAAACATAATGTACATTAGAAGGTGGTAAGTGCTAAGAAAATCTAATAATAGAGGAATATGCAAAATAGAGGAATATGCAAATATGCAGAGCCAGGGTGCCATAACATCACAACCAATCTACAAGCGGTGGAGAGCTGCAGGAGGGCAGGGTGGGGCAGTAAGCTGCAAGTGCACCGATTCATGTACAGGGCTACTAGTAAATATATACAAAGAACTGCCTACAGGCAGTCCAGGTTTCTAGGAAATAGGATTGGGAAAAACAGAAATCTGGAATTCCCTTTTAGACATGTTCAACATGAGATACTCATTAAATTTTTAAGTAAAAATGTCAAATAGGCAGCCAAATATAATACAAAAATTTGAGGTTCAGTAGAGAGGTCTGGGCTGAAATTATAAGTTTACTGAATCAATTTAACAACTGTTCTTCTGAGAATATGTCCTTCTTGTACTGTTAGATGGTTGTGTCTTTTATTCTAAAAATAGGAAAGAACATGGTAGATATAGTAATTGTTTTAATGGTTCTCATTAACAAAGTTTAAAGATTTGATTTTTTTAAAAAATATTCATGCTATCTACAAGCTTGAGGTCCCAAAGCCACAAGAAATACAGGAAAAAATGAGTCTTGGAAAAGTGTACATAATCCAGGGGTCAAGGAAGCCACTGCAGCCACATCCCCATATCCTATGTCATTTTCTTTTTCCTTTGCTTTCTTTCCACTCTCCCTTTCTCAGATATCAACCAAAACTGTCTCTTTTATATTAAGGAACTACTGTTCCTCTACCACAACTACTTTCTTGATAATCCAACAACAAAAACTTCACAGTCCCAAGAACAGACTGGAGACAGGGAAGCATCGATCAGACTGACGGACCTCAGAGGGAACGTAGGGGAGGGTGGGAATATAGGGGAGAGATCAACCATAGGACTTGTGTGCAGGCATATGAGCCTAACCAGTGGTTACGTTATGGACAACAGGGGGGTGGAGACAGGCATGGGGAAGGGTTTGGGATGGGAATGAGGGGGAAGAGGGGATGAGGGCAAATATGTGAGACCTTAGTCAATAAAGAAATTAAAAAAAAAAAAAAAAAAAAAACTACTTCACAGTCCTTTGAATTTAAACATTTTTACTCCTTGATCTCTTTCCGTTTATTAAAGGCCATTTCTTCTTATGCCTCCCACCACCATTCTTTGTTTAAAATCATATATCTATGAAGTACTATAGTACAAGTGAAGAGAGCTATCAGAGGAAAACCCTACCCAATGAAGGGGGTTTGGGGAGAATGATGAGGTACAAGGCCAGGGAGGCAGGCTGGAGCATGGAAGACCTCACATACCATCCTACAGAATTCAATGTTCATCCTGACAACAGTGAGTGAAAAGACACCGAAGTATTTAAATCAGTAAAAAGGCAAGATCATTCTGGAAAGCAGCATGGAGAATGGTCTAAGAATTAATGGAAGGAGATCAATTAAAAATCTCTGCTATTAATTTAGGACAATAAGAATCTCTAACATGTACAACTAACTGTCTTAAAACAGTTACAAAGCTCCTCATAGGCAGCTTAAGCAGGTATAATATGTCACCACTGCCTATTATACACCAAGTTAAACATTTACTGCCTTCTAACCAGATGTCTGCATGATTACTTCTATGTCTGCATGATTACTTCTATGTCTGCATGATTACTTCTCACTGCTCTCAAAAAGATCTAACTCAGCCAGGCTGGTAAACCTGATATGCCTCATTCATATAAAGCTAAAGTCTACCTCTCAAGCTCCCCTTTATTCTAAACTCCCCATCTGAAAAGCTTTCCCTCCTCCCTTGAATTCCCTCTAGAACATCCAAATTCTATCCTATCATGCCTTACAAAATAGCACTGAGGCCTTTCCTAAGCATACTATCTTTCTCATTTAGAGTTATTACTTTTGTATGAATATTATCTCTACAGCTAGATTCTAAGCCCACTGAAGACAGGATTCATACCTAATTCATCTTCATGGTAAGTGTTTAATGCTGAATGGATGTGAGAGATTATTTTTAAAAATAATTCTATAAGACTGTTTGTCTTTATTTCCCAATATACATTTACAAATGCAATTTACATGCTTGGATGCAAAAAAATATCTAGTCATCCAAAACCTGACAACCCAGTTCAAAAATATCTTAAAGTACCTTGAAAATTCTACTATTTTATCAATCTTTATGTGATTATAGCATAATTTGAAGAACAAAACCTGCATGATGGAAATAAATGGACGTACAACAGATGCAGAACATTTCTAAAGGATGCATAAGAAAAGAACAAAAACAAATGCAAAGTGGAAATCAAACTAATGCTTAACTGAATAATGGAAAATTATAATGTCATTTTGCTAAAAGCAAAATTATAAATTGGAGCCATTCAAAAGTCTCAAAATCACAAATGAAGCTATTTTTCCCATGAGAGAGCAGCAACACCATAAATGCCAATGATTGCAAGCAACTAGATCTAAAAAAATAAAAATCTAAAGGAGAACATTTTGCAGGCAACCCTACCTTTCTCTTTGCTTCCGTAATACCCTAAAGTCAAAGGAAACAAACCAAAGATGAAATGGATTCAAAATCCTTTCTCTCCATGTGAAAATCAGAATAAATAAGACAGCATTTATAAATCTGGGACAAACAGTACAAGTTAGATTAAAAACTAAGAATATCTTAGGATGACTATAGACATCATGCTTGTTTAAAATAACCTTATAACCTAAAAAGCAAATTATTTTTAAAACTGGCCAGTTTGGCTCACTAGTTGAGTGTCGATCTGAACCAGGAGTCACAGGTTCGATTCCTATTAATGGCACATGCTGGGGTTACAGGCTCGATGACTTCTGAAGCATAAGACTCAACTAATTAACAGAACTTTTTACCTGAGTAAGATAGCGTCTGTAATCTTGCCGCAATTCTTCTTTTAGCTTATGTTTCTTCCGTTCATAATCTTCCCCAAGTGGTAAACTCAATCCATAATCAAGTCCTAGAAAGAACACAACTTCTTAAAGTAATGTAGCTCATTTTCAAACCAATCTTAATTTCAATCCACTCTCCTGTAACAGCACAGTATAGGAAGGAACAAAGTCATGCTGATTCTGAGACTAGAATCAGGATAATAAAATTTTTATTTAAAATGTTTAATAGGTAATAACTTATATATTGGAAAATATCACTCGTACCCATGAAACCAGCCACCCAGCTTTCCTCCCAGAACAACTGACATTACTGTTTCTTCTAACTCCTTCCAGAAACTTTTTATGCTTCTATAAACAGTTACTATATGTTATCATGTGTGCATGTGCATGTGCATGTATATGTACGCATGTGTGTTATATTCACTAATTCCCCCTTTATATAATAGTTCTACATTGTTTGGCATCTTGTTTTTTCAAGGACAGGAAAATTAAAACAAAACAAAAAAACTTTACTTCAATTAATTCCACTGAAATTTCTATAAAAATACTTATAACATGCTAGCTAATATCTGTTTTTAATCTGAAAACTAGTAACATGATTTTTAACCTATAAGAATATCCTTGCTATAACATGTTTAAAAAAATGAGGACCATGTGTTGCTCAGACTGAAATTTCCAAAAATTTTTAAAGTTTAACTACCAATTCTGATTTCACATAAATATTAATTTTATTGTGCAGAAATATATATAAAATTTACCATTGTAGCAATTCAGTGCCATTAAGTTCATTCAAAATGTGCAACCATCACCACTATGAAAAATTTTTCATCATCCCAAACAAAAACTCAGTAAAAGGATAATTTTTCAAGAAAAATTTCAATGTTGAGCAGGGTTTTTCCTTCCAAAGATTAGGTTTTTCTTTTCAAAAATAAAATTACATTTTGGGTGATAACAATAATAATGGCTGCACAAATTCTAAACACACTAAACACCACTAAATTATATCATTTAAATTGGTAAACATTATGCTATATCAATCATACCTCAATAAAGCTGTTATTACATTAAATACTTTTTGAATATTTTAAATGCTAAAATACTATGTCAAGAAGTATAGATATCAGGTAAGTATTTGATTTTTAAAGCCCCCTACCTTTTTTAGTCCTATATATAAAAAAAAAATTATTTGTAAACAAACAAAATAAAAAATTTCTTTAGAGTCAGCGACAACCAGTATAGATGAAGTAAATGACTGCTGTATGAACTGATAAGGATCACCATTTGTGTGCCTTATTCTTCACAATGCAGCTAAATGATGGCAACTTAACATGAAAGCGTCATATCACTGCTTTATTACATCATTGAGCTATTTCAGGGGCAAACAGACTAAAGTTTATTTAACTCCTGAGGAATGAGGGTATAGATTCCTTAGGACACCTCTTACGCAGGCTCCCAGGTTTCTCTTCCAAAAGAATCTAAAGCATTCCAAATGCCTAGAATTTTAACTTATCCTAGAAAGGCATTCTTCCTCACAAAGGAATCTAAACCTTGTTTTTATAGATACAGAATTTAAGCCTAGAGGGAGAATGTTTGAATTCTTACATTAAGAATAGAGTACCACAAAATAAACTAAACTATAAACTGGCTGGTTTTGCTCAGTGGATAGGGTGCCAGCCTATGGACTGAAGGTCTGCCCAAATTTGATTCCAATCAGAAGCGCATGCCCAGGTTGTGGGCTTGGTCCTAGTGGGAGGAGGCCGATTGATGGTTCTCTCTCACCATTACACACACACACACACACACACACACACACACACACACACACATGCGCGCGCGCTCTCTCTCTCTCTCTCTCTCTCTCTCTCTCTCTCTCTCTCTTTCTCTCTTTCCTCCCACCCCCTCTTCCTCTCCCTTCCTCTGAAATCAATAAAAAACATATTTTTTAAACCCATTAAAACCAAGTCTATGCTTTATTCAATTTTATAATACCTGGCACACAACTTATACCCCAGAAATGTTCACTGAATTAAGGTGAATGTATAAATAAATGAATGCCTGAGTATGAGGAAGGAAAGAGAGAAGGACACACTATTCTTAATATTTCCTTTTTGCTTTTCATCTGATTGCATACAGAGAGGAAGTATAATTACTGGTAACCAGAGTTACCTATCTGTAGTTACGTAGTCACAAAGGATGCTCTACTGTGTCAAAGAGAAAAGACAACAGGCAGCAAGGAGGATGCCTCCTATCATGTTGAGCTTTCCTCTCAGGGAACAAGTAATTTACAGCTTTCTGAAAAGTCATGTGTTTAAGGTGACTTTTACTACTGTTTTTTGATTTTTTTAACTATGTTGATTTTAGGAAGGGAGAGGGACAGAGAGAAATGACATCAATGAGAGAGAAACACATCAGCTGCTTTCTATATGCCCCCTTCTGGGAATCAAGCCTGCAACCCAGGCACGGGGAATCAGTGAATCAATGCTCAAACACTGAGCCACACCTCCTGGCCTGTTTTTCAATTTCACTTGGTGACTTACGTGAAAGAATAGGAAAAGAAATGTGATTCATTTTCATTCGTAAAATACTGTTCATACTATTTACTTTTATTTATCAGGAGTATTTGCTTTTTACCACTAATGATTCATATAATACTTGTCTTTTTAAAAAGTAATATATAATGTCTTCTGAATTATTTAAAATTTTATTAATTTAAGATTTAGTCAACAGAAAATACTTTTTAATTTTTATTTTTGTCATTCAGCACCCTCATTTTGTGGCATTAAAGGTAGGTCATAAAAATAAAATTAAGAACTATATGGAACAATTTAAATATTTACCTAACGCTATGCATTAACAATTCTGATTTCACAGTGGACTTAATGAGATAAGAAACATGGTGAGCCGAAACCGATTTGGCTCAGTGGTAGGGCGTCGGTCTGCAGACTGAAAGGTTCCAGGTTTGATTCCGGTCAAGGGCATGTACATTGGTTGCGGGCACATCCCCAGTAAGGGGTGTGCAAGAGGCAGCTGGTCGATGTTTCTCTCTCATCGACGTTTCTACCTCTCTATCCCTCTCTCCTCCTTTGAAAAATCAATAAAATATATTTAAAAAAAGAAAAGAAACATGGTGAGACTTACTTATTCAGAGCAGCTGTCTTCTGGTGGTTCTGGTGGCAAGTAAGGCCTTAGTGTCATCTTAAAGTAATGTGAAGTGATGTCACTTCACCAAACAACAGAATCACTCTAAGGTAGTTAACATTATTACCCAATTACAAGTATTTGGCTTCTACAGTATTTGAGTTATATATAATATTTAAAACTGAAGTATATAATCTTTTTTAAAATCAATATACCTTCTAACATAGCACTCATAATAAATACTTTAAAAAACAATTACCATGGAACACTTAGTTTCCTCTTTTCTTTATTATATTACCATGAGAAAGCATTATGTATGAGTAAAGGACAAATTATAAGAAATAACAGGCTGAGGAACAGAATAAACTGGTGAATATAATAGAATCAGAGGCAAAGAAAGGGAGTGGATTGATAATTATCAGGGGGAAAGGAGTGTGGTGGTGCAGGAAGAGACTGGACTAAAATCGTACACCTATGGATGAGGACAATGGGGGGGGATAAGGGCAGAGGTGGGTGGGAACAGGGTGGAAGGAAGCTATGGAGGGGGAAAGGAGAAACAATTGTAATAATCTGAGCAATAAAGATTAAGTTAAAAAAAAAAAAAAAAAGAAATAATAACAGGCCTTTACCTAAGCAGGTGACATATCAAAAGATATGAATATATTAATTGAGTAGAACATTGTACTCAAACCTCAAGTATAAAGGTATTACAAATCACCCACTTGTACAAACTGAACAAGAAAGGTAGAATGTCTGAAATTTAGTTTATAATAAAAGAACTGCCTGGCCAGTGTGGTTCAGGGGTTAGCCTGCACACCAAAGAATCTCGAGTTCCATTTCCAGTCAAGGGCACATACCTGGATTTCAGGTTTGCTCCCCACCCCCAATCAGGGTGCTTGTGGAAGGCAACCAGTCTATGTGTATCTCACATCAATGTTTCTCTCTCTCCTCCCCTCCTTCCCTCGCTTCCACTCTCTCTAAAAACAATGGAAAAAATATCCTTAGAAGAGGATTAACAAAGAGAGAGAGAAATCTAAGATAAAATATGCTAAATAAAAGTAATTAGAAAGTGCAACCAAAAATTAGTAAACAAAATCAACTATTTCCTTTTGTCTACTTTCAAAAGTCTCCATTTTAGCTTAGTCTCAACTCTAGTAACTTTTCTGCAATGTAAAATTCTGCTATTGCTTGCTTTCTGATAGTTTATTAAATATATTTTTATTAATTTCAGAGAGGAAAGGAAAGGGAGAGATAGAAACATCAACAATGAGAGAATCACTGGCCAGCTGCCTCCTGCACGCCCCCTACTGGGGAACATCCCACAACCTGGGCATGTGTCCTGACCAGGAATCAAACCACGACCTCCTGGTTCATAGTTTGATGCTCAACCATTGAGCAACAACAGCTGAGCTCTGATAATGAATTTTTAGTATGGGTGGGGGGCAATGGTATATGTACAAAGATAATAATTGAATTTAAAAAAATCAAAAAGAAAAAAATAAAATAAAATGAATTTTTAAAAATCATATAAAATAATTTCTAGTAATAGTAAAATTTCTTATCTTACTTTGGTAATCTGTAATATTTTTGCTTGCAAATTTCCAAAATGACTTCACAGCATGACAGACAAAATAAATCCAGTGCATTTTGGAGCCCGCAATGCTGAACAATGGCATTCTGATATAAAAGTAAGAAATACTGCCCAGAACAGTGAAAGAAACACCTAGGACTACAGACACTGAAAACAAATTCTTGAAGTACCCAAAATATAGAGGTGAGAGCACTGAAAAGGAGTGTTGGGAGTCCTCAAAAACCACACCCAGGTTTGGGGATTCACTAGAAAGGCTCAAAGAATGCAGAAGTCATTATACTCATTTTTACAGTTTATTATAGTGAAAGGGTTCAAAGCAAAATTAACCAAGGAAAAAGGTACATGGGGCAAAGCCCAGAGGTAACTAAATGCAAACTTCCAAGAGTTCTTCCCTGTAGAATCTAGGACTGTGGCTCTCGAGCCACAAGCCACTCTTTGTCCCCTTGAGTGTGACCTTTCAACAAAATACCACAGCCTGGGCAAGTCTATTTTGAAGAAGTCGTGATAGAAGTTTATTTAAAAAATTTGTCTCTCAAAAGAAATTTCAATCGTTGTACTGTTGATATTTGGCTCTTTTAACTAATGAATTTGCTCACCACTGATCAGGACACCCTTAATTCCTCCAAGAAGTTGTGACAACCCATGTGAAGTGTTACCTTCCCAGGAAGCTCATTACAGACTTAGTGCCCTACGCTTCTATTGTGAGATGGTCATATAGGCACACTCTTGACTAGCACTACCAGACTCCCCAAAAGCAGCCACTTCTGCATAAATCACATGGTTTACAAACAGTTCAGGGACAATGAACTACTCTTATCACTTAGGGAAAGTTTTGTATCAGTACAGAAAACTGTTTACTAACTAGCTAAGTTCCAGACATTGGCCTTACAGACAGGCCTTTCTAAGAACAGGCAAGCTCTGTTAAGAAGTGTAAGTGCTTGCCCAAAGGCACTGCATCTAGACCAGAAACAAGGAGGCTAATAATTTCAATTTAAAACAGTAAGTGCTATTTGACACCTTCCATAATCTACTCCAAGTGCCAATCAGTTTGGTACATAATTAACTTTGCTTTCACTCAAGGACAAGGTGGTTTATTAAGAGTTTAACGCCAGAATAGGCTGATTTCTAAAATTCAAATTTCAGATTCTTTGTTGGGGGGAAAGACCTTTCAGTCCACAGACCGACGCTCTACCACTGAGCCAAACCGGTTTCAGCAAAAAATGAATTTTTTTTAAATAATGAAATGGTTTTCACTAAACAGCATGTTGTATCCATTCAGCATATTTTTTTGATTTTTAAATGAAGGCAAGTCCATTTTTGTTCAATAATTAACTCTCTCTCTCTCTATCTCTATCTCTCATATACACACACTCAAATTTTTCAATTAATTTTTTATTAGTTATACTTACTGCTACAATTCCATAAATCATAATCAAAGCAATAGCATTTTTTTAAAAAGTACAAGGTTCTTAGTATATATATTTCACATGTTATTGATCTGTCACATGTAAGATTTCAGAAAGAGTTATCAGGATTCTTAAAATACCTTTGATTTCTTCCAAGACAAAGCTCTTTCACATCAGCCTGCTTAGAATATCTTAAAATCAATTTAGCACACCTAATGACATACCTAAGGAACCCCTAGGCTGTTGGCTGTTTGGTGGTATGTTTTCCTTAGCCATGGAGATTAATATTTTACTGTTTTCAGAAAGCTTCTCTGATGCTTTTTCCTGAAAGAGATACAATATTTACAAAAGCAGAGAGGGGGGAAAAAACTCTACAAAATATACAATTAATCTCAGTACTTTTATTTAACAATTTCACAAAATTACCTGGTACATCATAGAAGAAATGTAAGTGTCAAGTTTAGGGAATTAAACAAAAGCAGTTAATACTATAATAAATGTTCTAATATTTAGCTCACTCACTCATCAACAGTCACTGAGTTCCTGCCATGCATTGTCCTAGGCATTGAAAATACATGAGTGAAGGAAAAAAAAAAAAAAAAAGAATCTGTGCCTCCCTGCAGCTTAAGGACTATTGTGGAGGCAAACAATAAGCATAATAATTAAGCTATGTAATACGTGGAAAGTGGGAGAAAGGAACTATGGGAAACAATACAGCAGGGTTTGGAGGCCCAAAAATGATGGGGGGCCAGACCGCAAGGCCTCACTGAATAGGTGATATTTTAACTAATGCTTAAACATTATTATGTACTATTTCATATCAGAAATTATAATAAAGCTGTATTTAAAGCTATGTAGTAACTCTTTCCAAACACTGTAAACTAATCTTAAGGACTAGAGAATGGTTGAGAGCATGGACTTTGGAGCTGGACACATGAAGGTTCAGATCCATAAGCTACCTCTTATGTACATGGGCAAATTACTTAACCACTTTAAGCCTCATTTTCTTGATCTGTAAAACAAATACAAAAAAATTCCATCTACTTCACAGGGATATTGTGATTAAATGAGATAACACATCTAAAGTCCTTCTTACCATTCCTTGTAAGAGGCAAGTATTATGGCAGAAAAGACAACCTAGTGTAGTGGTTAAGAGAACAAGCACAGGATTCAGGTTGCCAGGAATCAAAGCCTTGTTCTGCTATCACTTTAGACACATTACAGTACTTAATTTCTCCATGCCACAGTTTACTCATTTGGAAAATGATAATAATAATACTTATAAACTCATATGAAATATCAATGTAACCTCAGACTTTACCTCATTCATATTTTATTTACAATAAATGTTAGCTATGTACATTCTATTATAATTATGATGTCCATATTATTTATCATTTCAATCAGGATACGTTTGTCCAAGACATATGCTAAACCAGATGAGACAACAAGTAAACCAGGACTATCTTGGGCAAACCAATATACAGTATGTGGTTACCCTCATTATGATGGACCATATGGCACAGATTAATCTATATCTTGTATCTTATTACATATACTGAGCCCATGAGAGGAGGTGCCACATTTAGATTAGTGCTGTATTGTCAGATCCCAGCACAGTATCCTAGCACAATCTCAGTAAGTATTGCTAAAATGGATGAATCACTTTCAACAAAAATTAGGAAAGTTTAAGAAAGCTTTTGCAGACATTGCTTTTGGAAACATTTTAGTTTACATTCTGAAAATAAAGTATACAAAGTAACAAACTATTCCAATAAATTCACTTTTGTAGGCTTCAAAAAATTAAGATAATAATTCATTAAAATATTAGCTTTTCCCACAGAGGATGAGAACTTGCTTTCATATCTATTATGTTTTTATTCTGAAAGTTCCTTATACTAGAGCTAGCCCCTTAATCATTTTATGAAGTACATAAAGTATTAATTAAAACTCTACAGAGGAGAAACTGTGAGATAAAATATCACAAATAAAAAAACTGCATTTGAAATCTTGTCGAGCCAAGCTCTCACAGCACAGCCAAACTACAGTACAGAACTAAAGATTCTGACTCGGAGAAGAGGATGTCTGCATTTACACAGGACTAATCTTCAAAAACAATTATTAATGAAGCACATTTAAAGGAAACGATTAACTTTACCTTCATTTCCATGTAAGGCGGATCACTTTCCAATTCTGCTTTTTCTTGGGCCAATTTGGCTTTGCGTTCTTCAATAAATTTATCCAAATTATCAGCCATCTTTCAGAATCTGTTAAAAAAAAAAAAAAAAAAAGAAAAAGAAAAGAAAAAGAAAAAGAAAAAGAAAGCAAAAAACATTGCAATGAGCAAAGCTGCAACTCTACCAGAGTATTTTAGGCTAATAACATGCACCCACATTGGCACATCCAGCTTACATTAGAGTTCATTCGTGGTGGTGCATATTCTAGGGTTAGAGATATGTATGACGTGTATCCACCATTGTAGAATCATACAGAGTAGTTTTACTGCCCTAAAAGTCCTCTGTACTCCAGCTGTTCATCCCTCTCTCCACTCTCATCCCTGCCAACCACTGATCTTTACAGTCTCCAGAGTCGTCTTTTCCAGAATGTCATTCAGCTGTTATCCTGCAGGACTGGCTTCACTGATTGGCATGCCTTGCTAAGCCTTCTAATTGTCTTGTCATGGCCTGATCAGTCACTTCTTTTTAGTGAATAATATTCCATTGTCTGCTTGTACCGGTTTATTTACCTAAAAAAGGACATTTTGGTTGCTTCCAGGTTTGGGAAATTATAAATAGAGCTGCTATAAACACCTGTGCAATATCCAAAAGTTTAATTTTTTGAAATCCAATTTATTTATATGTCATCAACTTTTAATCAACTGTTTGTTTTTATGACATATGTAAGAAATTTTTTCTTAACCCAAGATCACATTTTCTTCTATGTTTCCTTTTAGAAGCTGTATAGTTTTCTCTCTTACAGGTGTGAGAGAAACAATTTTAATGAAACATATTTGGTAATAAATCTATTATCTGTTCTAATTTTTGCAAATAGTGTAAGGTTCAGTTTTTTTTGTTGGTTTGGGGTGTTTTTTTTGTTGTTGTTGTTGATTTTGCATGGATATAAAACTATTCCAATCATGTTTTTTTAAAAGACTATCCTTTCCTCATTGAAACTAGTACTCTTTTAAATATACCTTTTTCAAAAACACATGAAACTTAGTGACTAACTGGATAGGTGGCAAGAAAGGAGCCACTGACAACTAAAATTTTAAGTCCTAGAAACTAAATATGGATGGAATCTTAGACAGAAATAAGTCAGAAGAAACTGGTTTGCACAAGTTTAGTTTAGATATGTGAAGGTGGAGCTAGTTAAACATGCTAATGAAAATTTCCAGCCATTGGTTAGAAATTCAAGACTCAAATTCAAGGAAATAGAACACATCGGATGCTTATTTAAGAATTAACTATTTTAGCCCCAGCCGGTGTCGCTCAGTGATTAGTGTGTCACCTCAAAGTCTTGGGTTCAATTCCCAGTCAAGGGCATGTACATGGATCACAGGTTCAATCCCCAGTCTTGGTCGGGCATGTACGGGAGACAACCAATCGATGAGTCTCTCTCACAACGATGTATGTGTGTGTGTGTGTGTGTGTGTGTGTGTGTGTGTGTGTGTGTGTGTGTGTGTGTGTGTATGTGTGTGTGTCTTTCTCCCTCCCTTTTTTCCACTCTCTAAAAATCAATGAAAAAAATATCCTGCGGTGAGGATTAACAACAATAAAAAAGTAATAAAAACTGACTTGAAGCCAATAAGAGCACCTTGGAGAAAAAGTTAACTCTTTTCAAGAACAAGTCAACATAATTTGACAAGAAAAATATGAGAACCAATCAGCAATATCGAAAGAGTTTTTAAAAAGCACCCACTGAATTTAATGTTTGAGGGATAATATGTAAAAATGTAGACAAGCAAGCTTTACCCTAAACAAATATGTTGAAACTTATACAAGTTAAGTAGTACATAATATGAACATCATTCTATTATTTACTTCAAAAAACAATAGTTTTTTAAAATGGCTATAGCAAATATTCCTCAAGCCAACATGTTAATATATTTAGCCATTTTTAATTTGCTATTTGTCACAAAAGATTTTTCCTAGTGAAAATTCAAAACAGCTTAACAGTAGATAGTACTTTTCATGCTGAAAAAAAAAGTTACTTAAAATCTCCAAATTTTCCTAAATATTTTTTTTGTCTAGTAGAAAAACAATAATGTTTAGATTATATAATGTATACACATATACTTTGCTATAGGACTGTATACATAATTTAAGCAGAAATGCCATTAATCTAAAAAAAGTTAACAAGCCTCTTTCAACTCTGAACTAAGGCCTCCACATAATTTGTTAACAATTATTAATATAACATGTACATTGATGTAACCAGACTTGAAATTTCTCTATTGAATTTATACATACTTAAATTTCTCTTTAATATAATACTTTAACATCAATTATAAATGCTAGAATTGATTTTATACAACAGTAACTATAGAAATAAAATACCTTTTTAAAACAATAGTGAGTATAATATATACAATAGTTAAAACATGAGATTTATTAGATATGTTTGTTTAATCATTTCTAATTTTGTTCTATTCTATATTCTGATTCAAGTATCTCTCTACTACTAAATTGAAAAGTCAAAGATAATACTAGTAAGCTTTCTCCTGGCAATGCCCTCCAGACAAAGAACACAGGAACACTACTATAGTTAAACTATTTGGGTTTATTACTCATTGCACGGAGAGAAGCATCCTTATTTTATAAGAGGGTGTTGGAAAAGAGGGATTGTGTGAGGTGACTTGAAGGAGGGTCTAAGGAGCGGAGCTTTGCTGGATTTAATGCTGTCAGGAAGTGGGTGACTATGACTGGACAGGGTGAGGCCAAAGCTTTAACCCATAGAGGCAGCAGTCACTCCGATTAGGTGGGAGAAGAGATGTCTGGCGTTTTGTGGTTTGGACAACATTCATGTGTTGGTGGATGTGATTACAGAGTAGTGGCGTTTTTGTCTTGATCCATCACAGACACAAAGCAGCCCCACTCTGGTGTTGATGTTCTATACAACTGTTTATCTTCAACAGAAGAAAACCAAGCCTAAGCAGTATTGTCAGGCCAGTTCTTAGCAACACTAAAGCCTTGGTGATAGCAGAGCCAGCTTCTAGCAGTCATGACTACGTACTTTCTTTCTTATTCCCAAAAGCATGTGACAACTTATATAAAACAGGTTTTACTACAAAATTATTCAAGAATTACTTAATAATTCAGAGAGACTGAGTCAATGTGTACAGTCTAAGTATAAAAAAGAATACGAATTTTAAAATTACAAGAAACCTACATGGCATTCTTTATCTTCTTCCACTATACAATGTAAAATTACAACTTTTTTCAAAATATTATCAGGGTTTTTTACCCCCAGTACCTGTGCACACAGTATACAGGTGATATACAGTTTTCAGGAAAACAGTTTGGCTGAAAGACCTGGATTTGAAACCAATTCAATCACTAATTGACTGTATGTGACTGACCTCAAATACATTCCTTAACCTTTCTACCATTCAGTTTCCCCTTCTGTAAAATAGAAATATTATTGCAGAGTTGTACTGAAGAAAAACAAAATGATGCATATAAAATGTATGGCAGCCGATACTGGTTTGGCTCAGTGGATAGAGCGTCGGCCTGGAGACCGCAAGGTCCCGGGTTCGATTCCGGTCAAGGGCACGTACCTTGGTTGCAGGCACATCCCCAGTGGGGGCTGTGCAAGAGGCAGCTGGTCGATGTTTCTCTCTCATCGTTTCTAACTCTCTATCCCTCTCAATTCCTCTCTGTGTAAAATCAATAAAATATATTTTTAAAATTTTTAAAAATCAATAAAATAAAAAACATGTATGGCACACCTGACACTTAGAAATCAATAAGTCACAGCTGTTTTATTAATTCTTGTTATAGTCTCATAGTCTTTGTATAAATCAGTGTGTTAGCTGCTGTTAATAATAAATCATTAATGATGACCAAGGACAGATACATAAATTAGCCTTTGGGTAATGCAAATTGCCAAAACACTTGCTCAAACACCTTTATCTCCCACTCAGGAAAGAAGCCAGAATGAGGTTAAAAGTATGCCTTTATTTTAAAAGTCTAAAAGAGCACTGATATTTAAATCATCAATAACTGATACTTGTTATCATAATCCAAATCAACATCTATAAATGTTAAATTTGGACACTTTATGCTTATCATATAGGTAGAAATACAGACAAATCAGAATATATTCAATCTGCTAAATTTAGGCAAACAGAGAGGATCCGGAAATAACTGAGCATGCCCAATTCCTCCTTCCGGTTTCATCAATCGCAAAGAAAGGGGAAAATGTTCCTCCCATCCTTGTCCCTCTAAGGCAGCACGAGAAGCGGAAAATAATGCCCCTCCCGAAGGAGGCCTTACGGTTCTAGATGTCAGGAAATGAAGCACAAGATACGATCCTTGTCTCCAATGTGGACAAGATAAAATGCCTCCTGTCACCGGGGCTCACAGACTAGCCAGATGAGAGTTTAGGGATTCAACCTGAGGTACCCATAAGAGATCCAGTGGATGTATCAAGGAAAGGATTTGAATATGTCTGGAATTCAGAATAGAGCCCAGGCTAGAAGATGTACACTTTTTAAAATAACCATTAAAACTATAGGAGAAAAAAAAATTTTTTTAATAACCATTAAAACTATAGGAGAAGAAAAAAAAAACTATAGGAGAAGAGAGTGCCTGGAAAAAGAGAGCCTAGTGTGGGAGAACAGGACTGAGAACAGAATAGCAGGGGGTGAGAACATATGGGTGTGGGGTGCAGGGAGGAGTCTATGAAAGCCTCAGAAGGAAAAGGGGGAGGGAGAAGGTGATCAAAGACAGTGTTTCTCCCAATCCGGAGATCTTTTCACTAAATGAAAGGCAAATCTCTTTCTCCTGGCAGATGCACAGCTTACTTCATGGGCACACCCCAATTCTGACAAATCCCCCTCAATGTTACAAGAAGTAAACACCATGTTGCTGGGACAAAGGGCGGTCAGGATGCAAAGAGTGAACACAGGCATACCTGGTTGTGTTGTGCTTCACTTTACCACACTTCACAGGTGTTGCGTTTTTTACAAATTAAAGGCAAGACCTTCCATCTGCAAAAAAGATTAGGCCTAGCTGTGTTGTGGTGGTCTGGAACCGC